CGCCGTGGGTCAGGCCACAGAAATCCATTTGTCAAGTAGAACAGCAACCTCAAGTTGTCTATCCGCCTGGCTGTGATTCTAAGCCCGCCTGTCCTTCAATAATCGTTGCCAAAAGCAGTGACGGCGGCAAAAACAATGAATTATTGAAGCCAACAAATTGTGATTGGCGGAGAAAGAGAATTCTAATCAAAAGAGAGAGGCATGAAAACTTTGATTTGCCTGAAGTCGAGTATTTTATGAATTATGAAATATTGTAGAAAATACACGGGTCTTAGAAACATTTTGATAAAATTAAATTCGTGTCGCAGGGTTATTAAATATTACACAAATAATATTGTATTAAGTCCTTAAACCATATTTAGTGAAAGTAAAGGTGAATCATTTTGAGTCACACAAAAAACACTGAAAAAGGCAATGGTAATGGACAACCGATAACAATAAAAGCCTTGTAAATAATAATATAACAGGTTTTGTGCCTTTTTAAAATAAATAAATAAGTGAGTTAATAATTTTTGCTGATGTAGTCTTAAAAATATTTGTTAAATCGTAAAAAATCAACACTCAAACTTTTACAGCATATGATTTATGGGAATGGGAAAAAGAATGATCACCGCAATTATTTCGAGAGCTGGCGCCAACAACTCAAAAGAGCGACATCTGTTGCGATCTATGAACTGGGCTTGTTTTATTACAGCATCTCCGAGGAGCCGGGCACACACATAAATTGAACAATGTCACGAAATAAATTTGTCTAGAGCTTGGACCTCGGTGCAGAGGAAGTCGAAACAAAGGCAAAACTGTTTCAGCCAGCGTCTGTTAACGTTGGCTGATTTTTATTTATTTCGCTGACTTTTAGCAAGTTGCTAACTTTTTGTTTCTTCTCATTTTACTGCTGCTCCCACACCACCCCCTTCCCCAAACTCTTTGACTTTGTTGCCGCTGCCTTTTGGTTAATTTATGCAACGAACCAGTTTGGTTTGGTTTCCATCGCGTTCGCTCAGTGTCAGCCAATCTTCGTATCTCTGTATACCGCCACACATATGTATATATATCGAATTAAAATTTTATTAAAACATTGGCATTTGGCCGTTTGCTTTTGGTTAATTGCATTTGCAATTTCTAATTAAGTTGGTCGGCAAAACAAAAAAAATAATCTAAGAAGAAATAACAAAAGCAGCGATCATAAAGTTTCCAACTGGTTTGGGTCAGCGACTGTCAGAGGTCTTTTTTCGAGCGGATCTCTGGTGACTTTGCTTTGCTTTTGCCGTTAATTTGTACAGAGAAAGAAATAGTTATTGTGAAAATGTAATAACAAAAAAGTATTTGTCGGATTTAATGGATATAATAATTTATGTTATAAAGGGAGTCAAGAATCAGATCAGATCAAAAGGATTTAAGATGAAAATAAGTGATAAACACATCGAAACAATAAGTATTTTCTGTGGTGGTAGACCATATTGACTTTGGACAATAATAATTAATTAATATTAATTATTTATTTCTATTTGAATAATCTTAGCCGCAATATATATTTTTGTACAGTGTACCCACGGTTCAATGCAAACGAGAAGCTCTAAGCCCAGCCAGACTGAATCAGCTACCAGTTTTTTTCTCTCCCCCTTGTACCATTAAAAAGAACAAGTTTCAAAAGCGTTTTCAATGCAAAAGTCTTATCAATAGTATTTATTTACACAAGATATATACAATAAATCAATGCGGTCTGATTGATTCGCCACTAATCCTGTTTTGGTGGATTATCTTCGCTCTTCAGCCGCTTGGCCTCCTTTTTCAGCTTGGACACGTTGCTCCGCAGTTTCCGCTTGAACAGAAGCTCCCGGTTGACCGCCTTCAGGTCGTCCAAGCTGCACGTCTTCAGATTGCGCACCGTATTCGAGATGAGCTCGTCCGTGATCTCGATCTTGGTGCGGGAAAGCCGCAGCTGCCGGGCATTCCGCCTGGCCAGTTCGACGCGGTACAGGAACAGGTGATAGGTGACAGTGGGCTTCTGGAATTTGTCGTGCTCCATGGTTCGTGGATAATGGACTTAGCTGGGTGAAAGCAATGAGTTCCTTTCGCCTTGACTTCTCGTCGCCGAGTGATATCCGCAATCCCTAACTCTACTTCTTATATATCAAACTTGACCTAATTTTGGCTACCTGTGGTGACCTGTGAAAGGTCAGGTCAAAACAGGTCAAGTGCTGCTTGTCTCCTTTGTAAATATTTGTGCCAAAATATTTCATTACCTAATCCGGCCTAATCCCCATTTTTGGATCTTAAGCCTTTGTTCGGTTGACCAGACATTATTATTAGTCATAATGCTAGGAAAAAGGTAAGTAAAAGTGATACCAGGATTAAATGGGAAATATACAGCTGGGCATCTTGCACGAACTTGTTAGAATTCTGTAACAGATTATTTTGAAACCAAGTTTAGAGGGTCTCTTGACTATTCATAGCTTCATTAATAAAAATATATAAATACATATGACAAAATAAGTAAAAAGAAAATTTTATATATAAATCGACTAGTTAACTCACAGAATATAAGAGAAAAAAGCTTTTAATGAACACAGTCACGAAATCTCCATTCAAGTTATAACTACTAGTTATTTAAACTGTTTAAAAATATGTGTTAACAAGATGTTTAAGTTAATTTACAAGTTATCATAATAAAGTATGTGCTGTGAGCATTGTAATACCTTTTCCCACCGCATTCTCATGCATTCATTCCCATAAATTCTTAGGAGTATTCCCAAGAACTTGTATTTGTTCATTGCACTTAACCGAAAGTAAACCTTTCACCGACCACCATCATTCCACGGAATTCTTGGGGAACCTCCAGCGTAGAACCTCAAAAAGAGTTTAAAACCATTTCCAAGTAACCAACGACTAGAATTCTCTGACTCAGCACCTGAGTGACATCAACGTAAAGTACGTAGACTTACACATGTGTCGTATGCATTTGCATGGAACGCAGAGATGCGTATGTAAATGTAAATCATTAGCATAACTGCAGTTCCCAAAAGACCAGACTTTTTGCAACTTAACTACTTCCAGGTAATTCATAACGAAAGTGGATGAGCTGCGTTTTGTGCGACTAGACGACTCGGGTCGAGGGTTCCTTCAGGTCAGTGATGGCATAATCCTTTTATAATTGCACTTAGTAGCTGAAATGTAGCGAAAACAAAAGGATTTCGAAACCGGATTAAGAACTTTGGGAAAGACCACGCGCCGGATTAAGCAAATGTGCAGCATCAGCGTTTTATGGCCCCTCGAGGCCACTCGACCTCATCCTCGACCGCCCCGCTCATTTGTCGGTTTACAGGTAGTCGGGGCATAAGGTACAGGTAGGCAGGTAAAGGTCATAATGGTGGCCCAGGGGCTGGCCAAAAAGGCCATGCGGGCTAGCAACCATTTTGAGCAACTGCCTTTGACAGCTCGCCGACAGCTTCCAATTCAACGCGCTCAATGAATCGGGCCACGAAATGGATTTGGATTTGGGGGACTTCAGTCTGTGCGTGTCGAGGCATATATTTCAGTGTATATTAACCAGACGAGACAATCCCAATGATTGCTGTATCACCATCATTATCATCCGTACATCTCAACTGGAGGCCCTTGCATTTAGCACCCAAATGGCCATTGAATCATCATTTATTTACCACCAAAGAATTACCATAAATACGAAGCAACTTTCACTGGTCATTGTTATTGTTATTACCATTATTATTCGGACTTAATGCAGCTCAATAAATTTTCCTTAAGAGAATTCGTTGATAAGCCCCAGACAATGCTAGGGAATTTTCACTTTCCTTCGGTCGTAATTAAGTTGAAATTAACTTGATTCGAGGCGTATTTAGAGCGGGGGCCGCGTGTCAATTACGTTAAGTGAAATTACAATTACATGAAAAGCATTTTTAAAATCATCTAACCAACCCACATTAAATCGCTTTTATGGCGGGGGGGTCAAGCCAAGGTCGCAGACATTCGTTCATAAATAAATATTTAACATGCAGTCCTTCAGCCATGAGTTGTGGCTCAGAAAAAAGGAGAACGAGTGCCACTTTGGGATTATATTTATCACTTCATGGCAACTCATTAAATATAAATGTTTTTCATTTGCCGAGAGTTGAGTGGGAATTTATTTAGTAACAGGGTTTGGGTTAAAAGACGAACATTTCTTGAGCAGTGGTTCAAGTGGAATGTAATTCTTGAAAACTTAAAGGCGGGGCAATGCAATGAAATTAAGATTTGCTTTAGAGTTGAAAACTCAACAGTGGGGGTTAATTTTTAAGAGGATATCATAATCTTTTAAAGTGCTTATATTGAGTTATTCGCCTTAATATTATCTTATTAAGAAAGTCACTTAAAAACAATATGTCAATTAAATACTGTTATAGAACATTTTTCATTTTAAAATTGAAAATAAGCATAACTTTATGATCTGTTGATACCTTCTTGAAAACATGTATTATTAAACAAAAGTTGTTTGACATTTTACTCTAAAAGACATCATTTCATTCAAAAATATGTGTTCTCCAAGCAAGCTGATTTTCATTGACAAAATTTCCAACGGCAAGTGTTGGTCGCTAGTTAATCATGGCTCAAAACGATTGAACACAATCCGCAGACACTTAGTCACCGTATAATCTTCTCCTTATCCCCCATATTTATTCAGTGGCTGGCTCAGCTGTAACGTAAAGTCTTTAAGCAAAAGGTCAAGCCATAAACATTTTCCACTCGGCCAAATGCCGCGCAACATAAACACGATCCAAAGCCAGGAGCCACCCACACATGTGCAACTTTGGCCTGCGATGTCAAATATTTAACAACTTTTTGAAGGGATCGAAAATAGGTACGAGGAAAAAGGAAAGGATCTGGTTTTACCGAAGCACTTCAGGTAATTACGCGGCGTACACGGGTCAACGGGTCAACAGGTAGCTTTGCGCCCCAGATATAAATAATCCTGGCATGGCGAAACAGGACATCATTCACAGCTCAAGCTGCCAAGCAGTCACAGCTCGCTCTGTCAGAGATTTCAATCGTTATAAAATCTCAAGAAAAATAAAAAGATAAATATCTGGAATGGAGAGCCAACGTAATAACGTCAACCACCGACGCGGAGCTCGTCCGAGCGTGGGCTATCTGCTTTTCCAGTACCAGAGCGAACTGACCCGCCGTCATGCGGAACCCACGCGGCTGTCCCGCACCAAGATCCACATCATCGACGGCCTGGTATCCCGCACCATCCGCCACATGAAGCACTGCAGCATGGAGGACCTGAAGGCCTGCAAAAGGGAGCTCGTCTACAAGGAGCAACTCCGCGATCAGCTCAAAAACATGCGACGCAAACGGTCCTCCTCCGCCAGTAACTCCAAGAGTAGTGATGACAACAAATCCAACACCGAACCCGCTGTGAGTGTCAAGGCGCCAAGTACTCCTCCGAAGCCCCGATTATCCCGTGGTGGACCCGCCAAGATGGACATAATTGGTCCAGAAATCTTTGTCTAAGTCTAACTTAGTCTATTGCAATCTTAAATTCCCTAGTTTAGCACATCATATTAGCTTAATTGTTGACGATTAAAAATCATAGAACATGATATTGTACATAAACAAAAACATACTTTAAAAAATAAGGATAAATAAAAAAACATTACAAACAAATGAAATCGGCTTTCAGTGAAGTTCTTGCGGTAAAAATGGGTTTAACAATTGGAAAAATACAGAGAATTTGGTTGCCTGCAAAAGTCAAATTACTACTTTGGATATTACAAATTTTACAATACTCGCATAAAAAAACTGCAAAAAAAACTGTCTACAAAAATTATTTTGTTCTCAAAAAATAAAGTCATTAATATATATCAACAAGACTCCATTCAAAGGCTTGGCTTTTCAGGGTATAACTATTTAAGTCAAATTGAATTAAAATAAAACTCAAAATATTCATTAATTTAAACTCGCGATTAAAAACGTATTAAATCCGAAACTAAAACCACAGAAATAAAACTGGCAATTACACAAAAATGTCAATTGTCGGCGCATTTGTTGTAGGAGTGGAAATTCCTGTTCTGTAAGCCTGTTTTCGGCTCTGTTTTTGCTAGCTAGCCAGGGCTAAAATGTGTGCCGCGAAATGCCAGGCCCGAACTCGGGCTCAAGAGTCAAGAGTTCCCACGAAGCAGCTTCGATCCATTGAAAATTGGCCACCACTCACCGATCTGTGATAGATGCGTCCGAGTCGGAGAGTCGAGAAAACCAGGCAGACAGGCCAAGAATGCGGTTTAAAGTTCAATCGTGCAGCAAGTGTTATTTAGGGGTTCGCAGAAGAAGGAACAGCGAACTGTTCGGGAAAAACGTGAGCTGCGATGCGATGATCTAACCGAAGCTTTCTTCGAACGACAAAAAACAGAAGTTGTGAACCTGCGACACCGACTGATATGCAAATCGTCATCGGGAGAAATGTATACTAATGAATATATTAACCAAATCAAGTTCAGAGCAGTTCTGACGTTTTCACAATTTGCCTCATTAGCTTTATGCCCCCTTGGCGATATTATCTATAGTTTGTATTATATCTTTTTCTTGTTTGTTAGAATGCATTTGCTTTACCTTTTGGTGTTTTGGGGTCCAAATTAAACGTTGAAATATTCCACTTGCTGTACAAATTTGTTGCTTTCTATTTGCATATCGCTGGGTACAATAAATTATGAGCACAATGTTAACTGGTGAACAAATAGAAGAAGAACGCACAGACCGAGTGACGTTTTCTTTTTCTTTATCGAACACTCTATTTTTTTTTCTTATTTCTTTCTTATTTTTCGGCAAACACTTTCAGTGAAATGCAGCTGCAACTGGTGCTCTGGTTGTAACTGTAGTTTAGACACAAACACGTTTTCTTGCGGCCAGCCCAGTAATTACGGCAAAGGCTATTTTAAGGCCCCCTACCCAAAAAACAACGAAAGGCGATCCAAAAACGAAACCGAGAAATGCAATCGCTGGCCAAATGCAACGCGGCGAAATGGAACGAAAAGCGAGTTAAAACTAAAAAGCTGAAAAGCTAAAAAGCCCAAATGCAAATGGTAACACGCACACCGCAACGCGCGCACACACACACACACAGACGCAGGTCTGGGAAAACGTTCGTTCTTCGGCGAAGAAGAATCGTGTTTATATATCTCTTGGACAATTTAAGTATATATCCAACTGATCGCGTCGCGTTTCGAGCTGCACGACGGTTCAACGACGAATGAATGACCAAAAGTTTCAGCTGCCGGACAGCTTGGAGTTCGAAAACAGCGCTTCGAGTTCGAAAAGCGAGCAAATCTCGCTCTCTCTCTCTCTAGAAAGAGAGATGAAGATCTCGTCTCCCAAGATCGCAAGTTCGTTGCCTGAGTCTTCGGTTTTCCTCGTCATGTTTTTTTTTTGGGGGGGCTTAGAATCTGTAGTCTGCTGTTGCCATTGATTTATTGTCCAACAATAACTGTTTTTTTTTGCATTGTGCGTTGAACTTGTGAGGGAGCGAGGGAGACAGCAAATTATCGATTTTTTGATGACACACTTCCCCGGAAGATTTGTTTTTTTCGGGTGTTATTTGTTGATCTCTTAGATCGGTTAATCTTTGGCTCTCCGGTTCGGCTTTAACTTTCGCTACTCGTCGCTCTCGTTTGCTCAAAGACTTTTACTCTCTAGCCCAGCGCAATTACGATCGCAGCTCTCACTGCCGCTCTCACTCGAAGTTTTATCGTCGGGCTTAGCTCTGAATTCGCTCTGTTTACTCCAGAAATTACCACCTAGTGCTGATTCACTCACTCGCAGGGCGGCATAGAGCTGCTTCAGGTTTTTTGGTCTACCCAACTTCGAATGACTTCTTAACGGTTCGCTACTTAATGCCTCGTTTTTCGTACACAGAGGGAAAACGTAACAATGGCTTTTACTGATAATTATATAATTAAATTAAGGCAGACTATGTGTAAATGTATTATTTTTGTAAGTTTTTCGGTTTTTTAAAAACGCATTATTTAAGTGGCCCGTGAAATTTTAACTAAAAAAGTTGTTTGGCATATTATTTATGTATTTCTTAAGGTTTCTAAATGCATAATATAAATTATGATTTTTTAAATTGAAACAATAAAAATTATAAGGTTTTGGAATAAAAATATGTCGGATTATTAAGTATACGAAAATAATTAAGTATACGATAATAATTAAGTATACGATAATAAAGATTAGTATATGATACTTTTTATAGAATAAACAATTATTAAAGATTTATTTGTTATCTCTAAAAACTTTTCTTGAATCATTTTCTAAGCCTATTTTGTTTTCCGTGTTGTAGTTAGTTTTTTGTCATTGGCTGCGGCTCTCACACAGGGCTATCTCCCCACCGCCCCCTGGAATTGCAGCTGTTATTGTCATTTTGCTTTTAGCAGCAGCTTCACCTCAACTTAGTTCAGTTCAGCTCGGTTCGCTTGAGCGTAAATTTCTGTGGTTTTCAGGCGATTCTTTTGGATACCATAGCACTCCTTCCCTTCTTCTCCGTTTGCTATTATCGGCATTGTCATCGTTGTCGTTGTGTCGTTCCCCTTATTGTTATTGTTGGCGCTTTTTTGCTTTTTGCGATTTTTCCTTAGCTATTCGCAGTTTTCCCTGCGCCATGCCTTCCACGCTTGTAGGGCTGCTCTGCCGATAGATCTGCCATATAGCTTTATGGCTATATACATATATATACCACAACTGAAACCGCAGCAGTCGGCCGCCGATATGATCTGATTTATTGTAGTTTCCCGACTTCTTGTTGTTGCCCGTCGTCTGTTAAAATATTTATTTACAATTTTCACAATTGGCATTTCAGTTCAGCGAGCTTGTCTCTGATTGTTTGATTGCATTGTTGCCATTGTTATTGTTGGTGTTGCAGTTGCTGCAGACTGTTGCCCCACTTTTACTTATGCACATAAATAATTAGAGTATTTATGTTGTAAACTGCTTGATAACAACATTTGCATCGTTAGCCAACTTAGCACAAGTACGCCTCAAGTTTTAGTGGGTTCTGTGTGTGTTTATCTTAATTTGCTGAATGTGTTTCCAATATCCTTTCATCGCATTCAAGTACTAAAAGTAGTTTGCAAAATTCGAATTATCGAGAGAGCATAAATTTGTGAAAAATAAATATGTTACTTGTTAGACTTTGTTTTAATCAATGAAAAGACTATTTCAAGTATTCAGTGGTACAGAGGGTAGTGTATAGACAAAAAGTCTCACAACTACAAAAACAATATTAAAAAACATTTAATTTTGATAACATAATTTTAATATAATCTTAAATACTTTAATATTTATTGACAAGTTTTGAATGCATTTCTTTTGCTTTAAAATTCATTTAAAATAAAATCTATTAACAAAACATGAAGTATCACTGTACCATCGATAAGTTGCCCACTTTGGCGCTGTCATCTAATTAGCGGATTGTTTGTGAACTGGCAAATTGAAAATTCTCCTGCATACTTTTCGGCGGGTAAATATGAAGTAATTGCGATATCGCATGCTACTTTTTTTCCCTTATCAGAAAATATTGCGAGAAACACATTAAAGATCGGTGCTTCTCGTTTAATACAAATATAAGCAAATTTTGTCCTCTTTGACGGATATATTGTTTCTGTTAATTATCATTTTTGATTTCAAATCATAGACCTTCTCAGGCTAAGTTACTTTGCCATGTCTAAATTTATCTTACTTCCTCCATTTTTGCTAGATTTTTTTTCGCTTTTCCCTTCTTGTATTTTGTTGGTCTTTGCCACCGCATGAGTTCTTAATTAGCCCGCAATGAGTTGTCGATACGCCATTTGCGGGTACATGAAATTTGGTTTGGTTTTTGTCATGGCCTGACATAACAATTTCGGCTTGTCTAATTGGGGGCCTTTCGAATGCCTCCTCTAAAGTGTTCTTTGGGTTTCAGTTGCTCTCTAATTGCATTTCCAACGATGCCAAACGATTTTGTGTACTCATCTAATGGCTAAAAGGGTGTTGGGTAGCTGGAGAAGTTGAAGGGTTGGATTGGCAACGAGACATGTGCAGATAATAAGCCGCTTGCCAGGGTGTCGTTAATTTGAGGGTGGCCCCAAACCGGCTTAATTATCTGGCATGTGAGGAAAATTATAGAGGTCCGTTAATTGGCCGGAGGTGTTGGCCTGTTAACTGCCACAATTAAAATCAATGCCACGGCGACCCAAATCCACAGGGCCACCGAAGGCCCAGAGGTACTCATTCTTTCATCATCTCTGAACTTTGGATTGAGCTCCCTTGAATCTAAATCTAATGGTTAGTGCAAGTTAAATCTTTTTTAAATTAATAAATAAGCGAATTTCATATTACTTTGATTCAGACTTGTATATGACATACACTCAGGGAACACACAACAAAACAAATTAAGTCTAATTTTATAAATAATGACAAGAATTAAAGTCTTGCCAAGATATTTTAGGAAAAATTACCGAGAATATATGGGAAAGGTTCATTAAATTAATTATTCTTTAAATTTGAGTCTTTTTGTTTTTGAATGTACTTTTTTCCATTTGCAAGTTGGAGAAAAAAAAACCAAACTTTATCATTAAAGAAGGCTCTGCTGTAGAAATCAACTTTATTTAGGGTCACATAAGAATTTGGCTCACTTCAAATCACACACTCAATTCTCACTCCCCTTTTTCTCAACATTATTATCCAATTGTCCTGTCCAACATGGCGCTCGTCTACGGCGTGGAGAAGAAAACGGTGCCAACCTACATGAAGTACGTGATGGGCGGAACCTCCGGGATGCTGGCCACCTGCATTGTCCAGCCAATGGACTTGCTGAAGACCCGAATGCAGATATCCGGAACCTTGGGCACTCGCGAATACAAGAGTTCCTATGATGTTCTATCAAAGGTTTTCAAAAACGAGGGCATGCTATCCCTTTACAACGGATTGAGTGCTGGCTTGATGAGACAAGCGACTTACACAACAGCCAGAATGGGTGTTTTCCAAATGGAATTGGACTGGTATCGCAAGAACTACGAGAGTGATCCTTCAGTGGTAGCCAGCATGACAATGGGCATTATGGCCGGTGCATTTGGAGCCATGTTCGGCAATCCGGCGGAGGTGGCTCTGATCCGAATGATGTCCGATAACCGTTTGCTGCCGGAACACAGACGTAACTACAAGAATGTGGGCGATGCTTTCGTGAGGATCGTGAAGGATGAGGGCGTGGTCACCCTTTGGAGGGGATGTTTGCCCACTGTGGGTCGTGCCATGGTGGTGAATATGGTGCAACTGGCCTCTTATTCCCTGATGAAGGACCACCTCCGTGGTTATCTCAATGAGGGGATACCTCTTCACATGAGCGCCGCTGTGGTGTCTGGATTGCTGACCACATTGGCTTCGATGCCACTGGACATGGCCAAAACGCGCATTCAGCAGATGAGAATGATCGACGGTAAGCCGGAATATGCTGGAACCATTGATGTCCTTAAGAAGGTGCTGAAGAACGAGGGAGCCTTCGCCATGTGGAAAGGATTCACACCCTACCTCATCCGCATGGGTCCACACACGGTATTTTCCTTCGTCTTCCTGGAGCAAATGAACAAGGCCTACAACAAACATATGCTTGGCGATTCACCATCCGATCCGGCGACCTAAGACTATAACTAAGGGCTATCCTAATTATCCACGATCCTTTGTCAACTTTTTCACCCTCAAACAGATTGAAATTGATCCGATATATCTCTGTAAAATGTGTATGTTCTGTAAAGGAACTATTTTCATATTATATAAAAAAAGTAATATTCTATATACCAAAATAAATTGGGCAACAAAAAAAAAAAATATATGAATAGTTTAAGGGCTCAGTTGCTATTTTATCTAATTTAATTATTTATATGTGTGGATAAGCTTTAAATTAAGTGTGAATTTTACTGTTTTTAAATATTAAGTAATGTCCTTTTTGAACCAGTTTTTCGGGATATTTAGAAAACAGAAATATAGAAAAATATAATGATCAGATAGTTTTTTTTAACCAAGAGTGCCATTCTAAGCCTTTAAAAATCCGTTTCGGAACCTGTCTTAGAAATTAAATTTCGATTGCCGTTTTCTTCTTGTTGATGTTTCGCGATGGTGTACAATATTGAGAAAAAGTCTATGCCCGGCTACATGATGTACATCAATGGCGGTCTGGCCGGAATGATGGCCACCTGCATTGTGCAACCGCTGGATCTGGTTAAGACTAGGATGCAGATATCGGCCACGACGGGAGAGTACAAGAGTTCCCTCGACTGCCTGGTGAAAACGTTTAAAAACGAGGGCATTTTGGCCTTGTATAATGGCTTGAGTGCTGGACTAATGAGACAGGCCACCTATACGACTGCTCGAATGGGATTCTATCAGATGGAGAACGAGGCGTACCGCAATCACTACAATGCACCGCCAACAGTTCTGGCCAGTATGGGCATGGGCATTATGGCCGGTGCATTTGGAGCCATGTTCGGCAATCCGGCGGAGGTGGCTCTGATCCGCATGATGTCCGATAATCGCTTGCCGCCGGAGGAGAGGCGAAACTACAAGAATGTGGGTGATGCCTTCGCGAGGATCGTGAAGGAAGAGGGCGTGACCGCCCTCTGGAGGGGATGCATGCCCACTGTGGGTCGTGCCATGGTGGTGAATATGGTGCAGCTGGCCTCGTACTCCCAGTTGAAGAAGGTATTCGCCGATTACGTTTCTGGACTTCCACTTCACATCTGCGCCGCCATGGTGTCGGGTTTGCTTACCACCATTGCCTCAATGCCGCTGGACATGGCCAAAACCCGTATTCAACAGCAGAAATCCGGCGAATACAAGGGCACCATGGATGTCCTGATGAAGGTTGCCAAGAACGAGGGAGTCCCCGCCTTGTGGAAGGGTTTCACCCCATATCTGTGTCGTATTGGACCGCACACTGTGTTCGCGTTCATATTTCTCGAACAGCTCACCAAGGCCTATAAGCGTTTTGTGCTCGGTGACGAATCCGCATCAAATATTTAAGTTCTTTAATCGTGTATGTGTATGTGTTTGGACACCTTTTCTTTAAATATAGCAAGCCAAGACGACGTAACACGTTTTCTAAAGTTGGCAAAGTTATCTTAAGACTCACAATAATTTCGATACAGTTTATTCATTTTTATGTTACATAAATGTATTTAACAATTTCATTCAGTAAATAATATACAAAATACCAGCTGCAATGTTTAATGGTTAACATGTGGCTTGACTTGTAAAAGGTGATTTGGAATTGGATTTATAAAATTCACAACTTTACCAAATTTAAGCCGATTCCAAATTGGCATACCTCTAAAGACTTGTGGTTCGATCCTTTAAAAATCTGCATTCAAAATTTTCAGTTTAACGTTTATTAAAATTTTGACCCATTTTCATGTTAGTTATTTCCAATTTTCCGATGTCTTGTAAAAAATGACTCAAAATTGGACTTCGAGAGTGCATAACTTTACCAAACTTAAGCCGATTCCAAAGTGGCATACCTCTAAAGACTTGTGGTTCGATCCTTTAAAAATCTGCATTCAAAATTTTCCATTTATCGTTGATCAAAATTTTGACCCATTTTCATGTTAGTTATTTCCAATTTTCCGATGTCTTGTAATAAAGTGACTCAAAATTGGACTTCGAGAGTTCATAACTTTACCAAACTTAAGCCGATTCCAAAGTGGCATACCTCTAAAGACTTGTGGTTCGATCCTTTAAAAATCTGCATTCAAAATTTTCAATTTAACGTTTATTAAAATTTTGACCCATTTTCATGTTAGTTATTTCCAATTTTCCGATGTCTTGTAATAAATGACTCAAAATTGGACTTCGAGAGTGCATAACTTTACCAAACTTAAGCCGATTCCAAAGTGGCATACCTCTAAGGACTTGTGGTTCGATCCTTTAAAAATCTGCATTCAAAATTTTCCATTTATCGTTGATCAAAATTTTGACCCATTTTCATGTTAGTTATTTCCAATTTTCCGATGTCTTGTAATAAAGTGACTCAAAATTGGACTTCAAGAGTTCATAATTTTACCAAACTTAAGCCGATTCCAAAGTGGCATACCTCTAAAGACTTGTGGTTTGATCCTCTAAAAATCTGCATTCAAAATTTTCAGTTTAACGTTTATTAAAATTTTGACCCATTTTCATGTTAGTTATTTCCAATTTTCCGATGTCTTGTAATAGTGTGACTCAAAATTTTGACCCATTTTCATGTTAGTTATTTTCAATTTTCCGATGTCTTGTAAAAGAGTGACTCAAAATTGGACTTTTAGAGTCCATAACTTTACCAAATCTAAGCCGGTTGCAGTTGGATTCTCTTATATTCTGTTTAGTCCTCTAAGGGTGGTCTGTTTATTTACTTTTTTCATCTTTCAAATATTTTAAATCGCAAACTTGGCCACGATTTCAAAATGGCATAACTGTAACATTTAAAAGAGTAATTTTCTTTCCCCATCAACAAACTAACAAACAAACTAGTGACAAATTATATTGAAAGGGCCCGCAGACCCCAATTCAAGTTGAAAAATCTCGTGATATTAAATATTTAAAGGCAATCTAACTAAGTTTAACTTATAGCATGATCTGACTTTTCTCTCGCATGCTACAAGTGATCCGCCAATGGATTCATATCCATCCGTCCCGCTCCAACGATCAGCTGGCTTTGTTTTCCGTGGGGCTTTGCGGCGCTTATCAGTCGCTCGATCAGCCGGTCCGGTAATCTGGCCGAGTCAGTTGCGTTCCTACGTTGCGATCGAGCGGTTCGCGAGCGGTCACGGTGGATAGTCAGTCGGGTGTGCGGATCGAGATCGAGATCGGGATATCTTGGCGCTTTCGGATCTCTGATTTCTGGCAGGGAGCTGAGCAAAGCCGGGCGGCGTCTCTCAATTGAAGCCACTTAAGTCCACCGCCGGAGATCTGTGAAGGAAACCTCTCACTTGGGATGAATCAACCGTTGAGTTCATGCCGCGGAAGTGTTAATTTAGCGTCCAAATACAGATACAGCTTGTAGAGATCACTTCGGTACAAGTGCCATCTGAAAGTGCGCTTTGTGTGCCGCTAAAATCGTGTCTGTCCCGTTTCTCAAATAAAAATAAAATTATGCAAATGGAATTATGTGTGCGCTACCTTACAAGATAGACACATAAATCGGTAATTAAGTGATAATTATTTACGGTGTGAATTGAGGCCGGACATTGGCAAACCTTTTGGGCGCTGTAAATCGCTGGAATAGCCGACGGAACCACTCGATACAGGTGAGCTTGGCCGATAAGAATCTGTATCTATCTCGATTTTATGGCGGCACAGTGGGCACTCCTTCAGATTGTGGCGATAGGAGAGTTCTATCGCTGACGCCTCCGATCGAGTATGATTGATTGATTGCTTGAACTTAGAGGAAATTTACGAACGGTTCATTAATAGCACAGCCAATTTGTCATAAAGTCTGAGAGTTGGAAAACCCACGGGAACCTAAATTTCATTATATTCGTAGATTGCAATGTGGAAATTTTTGAAACGGGGATAATTTTAATATGTTTAGGATATCAGTTCTATTATTTTATACCTATAGTTAGCTCACTCGAAAGAAAATTATACCTTATTCTTGTTTCCCAATCTCTCTTTGAATATATAAATGATTTATAAACACGAAATGTATTTCTCACAATTAAAGGTTCATTGTCTAGCAAACGTGCCCTATTTTTAATGCAAGTTAAGCCAATTCCCTTTGGCTGTAAATAATATATATCAAGTATCTTGGTTGTCGCATATCTAAAGTCTTCTTTCCACTTTCGTTATTAGAATTATGACCTCATAAATCTGTGTATATGGAGATGAATGTTGCTTATCTCGAAGTTTATCTGCTTGCATGTCAAGCATTCACAGTAAACTGCAATTTTCCCAATCGTCTGATTTGACACTTCGATTACCGCTGAGGGAAAACATCTGAATACCTGATAATTGCCGGTTGTCAGGTGGGGAATTGTCTGGTGGGTGTGGGGGTGTAAATTATTTGGCATTTACCATTTGAATCTCTGATAATCCCCACAGTGCTTGTAGATATTTACCTCAGATAACTGAGAGATAATGACGCGCAAGGTTTTGCTCTAGTTCTATTTAATTATTTCTTGTTGACTTTTTCTTTGGGCAATTAAAAGTTTATGATGTTTGCTCGGAATGGTAATTACCAAATCTAGGAATTAAGGCACGAGAATAGGCAAAAGCAAATAATAAACCATTCTTAATATTTGCCCTAAGATCATCTAAAGGAATTTCCAGTAGTTCTTTCGGTAGCAAGTTTAACAACAAAGTTGTATGATAATACACAAACGTTAAAATAAAATTAAAATTTAATTAAAATCACCCGTCAATCTAAATGTTGTCCTTTCGTTTGATGTGTATTTTTCCTAATTTTATCCATCGCTTTGCGGTACAGACAGTAGAAACGATTTGTCGGGTTATTTGAACTAGAAATTCTAATTAGCTCCATGTTGTCTGCATATTAATTTGTCAACAAATGAGTGAAAATAAACAATGAGTAACAGCTAACACGCTTCGCTTGTCATTTGAATTTTTTTCCGATTTGTTGTTTGTTGAAATTTTAATTGGAAATCAAGCGGCAGAAATCAAATTAAATTGCAATTCGCCCTTCCGAACCAAACTCAATAATGTAGTTAATGTTTGGTTAGAGCGATTAATGAGCGGACAATTGGTAGTGAAAACCGAAATGTGTCAACAAAAAACTGAACGCGGTTGACGTTGTGACAATACAAATATAGCATTATATAGTGCAAAATTAAATATCACAATAATCAAATTAAAAGAGGTGAGCAGTTTTTTACTTGCTAGCCGACATTCAGATACTTCTTTTGCGGGTTAATAAATGTAAATATAACTTTTAATTAAATCATGATTTAATTTGAATAAATCTTTTTAAATATAACTTTTGCTATTTGTTTAATTATTGTATTTAATCAACTGTTAAATCCATTTGCATTAACAATATGGTATATTTCGACCTTTAAGTTTCGAGATGCCAGTAACATAAATAATGCCACAACTTTAAAAAACTTATCTAAGTGACATTTTAAAATACACACCCTTTAGTATTGTACTGCATGAGAATAGGCTGATTAAATATAGATAGCAAACATATGCTCGAATTTATTAGCTAATTAAGTTGAGGTAACTCATGTTTAAAAGGTGTAACTGCGAGTATCTTGTCACAGTGATTGTACTCAATTTTACGCTGTTCAGCTAGTGTTTTGCAAATTGAAACAAGAAAGGAAAGCTAACTTCGGGCGGAGCCGAAGTTGAAATACCCTTGCAGAATATTCTGCAAATTATATTCTCCAAAATTATTCATATGATGCATTTTTAATACTCATAAAAAATCCCACCTTCCTAACTTTAAAAACACCAAAGTTATTTCATTTCCGATCAATCAGTTATATGGCAGCTATAGGATATAGTCGGCCGATCCTTATGAAATTTAATATGTCGAATTGATTGGGCAAAAATAAAACCCATAGAAAATCCCAACTTCCTAACTTTACAAACACCAAAGTTATGGCATTTCCGATCAATCAGTTATATGGCAGCTATAAGATATAGTCGGCCGATCCTTATGAAATTTGGTAGGTCGGATTGATTGGCCAAATATAAAACCCATAGAAAATCCAAACTTCCTAGCTTTACAAACACCAAAGTTATTGCATTTCCGATCAATCAGTTATATGGCAGCTATAGGATATAGTCGGCCGATCCTTATGAAATTTGGTAGGTCGGATTGATTAGCCAAATATAAAACACATAGAAAATCCCAGCTTCCTAACTTTACAAACAGCAGAGTTATGGCATTTCCGATCGTTCAGTTATATGGCAGCTATAGGATATAGTCGGCCGATCCCGGCCGTTCCGACTTATATACTGCGTGCAAAGGAAAGAAGGGTGTGTGCAAAGTTTCAACTCGATAGCTTTAAAACTGAGAGACTAGTTTGCGTAGAAACAGACAGACGGACAGACGGACAGACGGACATGGCTATATCAACTCAGGAGGTGATCCTGATCAAGAATATATATACTTTATAGGGTCGGAGATGCCTCCTTCACTGCGTTGCACACTTTTGACCAAAATTATAATACCCTCTGCAAGGGTATAATGACAAAGCTTCAGACAGACAGTGGTCACACGTCTCATGGTGTTCGTGTGTATCTGCATCTGTGAGTCTGTGTCAAGTCATTACCATATAGCCTATAACGGGCAGACAAAACCGCACGTGATTTAAAGTCCCCCAGTTCTTGTTGTTGCTTGTATCGTTATTGTTGTAAAACACCCGCACACACAACTGCATCCATAACTGGTTTAATAAGCTCGCTCGACGTCGCTTTTTTCGATCACATGACAACAGATCAGTGGTTGGATGCTGTTCGCGCGCGGCTTTTATATGTTTTCGAGCAACAAATGCAATTAACTAATAAGCAAATTAACGAACGCCTCTAATGAATTCACAACAATAAAAAAGCCCATCTCAAAGTAAGCACGCAAAAGCCGGGGTCAAAGGTCAATCGCCAATTTTTCGTTTGACCGAGCCGCACAAATCTCACATGTCATCGTTTATGACACAAGAGACAAGCGTACACATACATCATACATTTAAGATGTGTGCAGACAGAAAAATGATGGAGTAAATATTCATTAATTTGTTTTAATTTATTTTTAGATAATAACAATATATATTATTATCTAGCAAAACAAGTCGCTGTTTTAGGAAAGTTCCAAAATTCTTGAAAAAATGTAATATATTTTTAAAGGCATAAACACAAACATTTTGAAATATCTAGAGAAGGTATTATATTTTCAAGCGTTTCTCTCAGTGTGCGAATGTATTTGCCCTCCCATTGATGGACAGCAGATAAGCCGAAGCAGCAACAAAATAGAATTCTGGCTGTCATCTGGTCGGATCTTGGGACACAATCATTATCGTGGTTGCCCAGATGCGTACACACTCGTGCATGGCCACAATTTGTCTACGGCGGACCGCGAGAGTTGCAATTTTCGAATTAAGACAATTGCCACACGAATTACGGAGCCGAGATGCCCCGTCTAGATTCGCGACCCATGGCATCTGTCGCCCTGCCTCGTCTCTCTTCTCCGTGCACAAAATCAATGCCAAAAGTAATGCAAATTTTGTGACAGACTCTTTTTTCGTGTCGCTTTGTCGGGCGGCTGCCAAAAATAAATTGAATTTTAAATGAGCGGCACAAACCTCAGAAAAAAGTAATCAAATATTTAGATAACACTGGGGACTGAGAGCCCAAGGCTAGAATTTAAGACTGAGAGGACATCGGATGGCATGATGCTCTAGAAAAACTGCACATTTCAATGTACCCTGGCATTGAACCATAAAGGAAGAAAGTGAAATTTAATCTGTATTTCCAATTAAATTAGTTAGCAGTTGCTTTTAAGGAAAATATAGTTTTATAATTAAATTTGTGTCTTTTGAGATTGTAAAACTATAAGGTAGAATCTTTTTTACTACATTTTTCTCCTTAAGTATTAAAAGAGAAATAAATTCAAGAAGATTATATTAAACAATATTGGTTGAAGCCAACTAAAACCTAAGCTTTAAAATATTTGTATATAGTCAAAACTACCCAAGCAAACTGAAGAGTACACCATAAAGGGTAAGCAAATAAATCTGAGAAATCTTAGTCCCTGGCCTTTTGTCTTCCACCACGACACAATCCCAGAACAAACACCCAACAGATACGGATACATCGCCTCAGATGTGCGGCAGATCGGCGGTAATTTTCCAATTGACGCCTATTACGGTTAATCGTAGCAGTGACCCAAGTCCGGACCAAACTTAAACTAATAATGTGCCCAGTTTAATGGCTAAGCCGCAGCAAATCGCCCGGTCAATCCAAGGCACCCCAAAGCCCCCTCTTAAGTCGGCACCCACTACATAGCCACCAAGACCGCACGGCATCGTTGTCTCGTATGCTATATGTCACTACACACACCCACTCCACCAACCACTCCCCACCAACGTGAGTCTACACTGGAAAAAATGGCACATTTTAAGTACCTACATTCCTTTTTATTATTTCCTAGATATTAAATAACTCAATCATAAAAGGTTATATAATCAAAACATCATAAAAACAATATAATAAATTAACAAATGACATATTATTAATTTATTAGTCTTGTGTCGCTGTGTTTATAATAGCAACACAATAATAAAATAATAATTTGTACTTAGATTAAAATATATATTTTTTAGTATATGAAAAGAGCAAAGAATTGCAAAAAGTTATAACGTCATTATATATATTATTCACTTTAAGTGTAATATTTAAGTTTCAAAGCATTGAATAAATAAATCACGGACCAAAGAAAATTCGTTAAGTCTTGACAACGAATTTATGACCAATTTGTATGATAGTTTCGCTCAGTGCATGGGTGTGCTATTGTTGTTCCTGCTGCTTAGCACGCTAACTAACTAGAAGCCGTCGCCGCTGTCGGCGTCGTTGCTTAAACATTTCGTCGCTGGAATTAGTCGCACCGCGTAGGTCGAGGCAAGTGGATTAAATGGCAACGAAATAGAGAGCAAGGAGCGCCTCCTGTCTCCAGCCGCCAAATGAAGTATTCATTATCCTGGACAAGCAATTAGCACGTCGCCAGTGAACGGGTCGGTTCAATTTCGAGTCAAAGGATTGGCATTGGCATTGCTCATACGACGAGTTGGCCGGTCGAACCCCAATCTCGTTTAATCAGTAGACCTTCTGGGGATGTGTGGGGTCCTTAACTGGATCTCGGTATCTGTGTCCTGTTTTCGACTTTTCCGGCGTGTCGGTGCCGTCCGTGTATTCGATTGTCTCTGATTTTCAACGCAAATGTAATCCTCGACCGCTTGATTTCGGTGCGTTTTTCGGTTTGTGTTTCGTGACTTGAGTAAAGGCAAAAGTTGATTCATCAGCCGCAGGATACAGGCAAACAAACAAACAGAGCTGGATGAGTTCACACGAGCTTGAGTTTATGTGTGTGCGTCAGCAGAAAAATAAAATAGTGAAAATATAAAGCACAATACTACTGCAGCGACACATCCTTGAAGCGTTCGCTCGTACAAAAATAAATATGCGAAGAGCGAGCGAAACGAGCGCTCAGTCACGCAAAACGCCAGCGCACTTTGACCTCATTTTGGGCAACGTTTTACGCTCGAGTGTGTGACCCTGCCACGCCCCCTTTAATCCCTCCAATCCCTCGAATACCCCCAATCGACATGTGTTTGCGCAAGTTCTCCTCTTTCGGGCGTAATGATTTCAGCGCACAGGAAGCAAATTAAATCAATAAGTTGGCATATCATCGCTTAAACAGGATAAACGGCAGATTGCATTTTTAGTGCAGTGCTTGTGTTTTTTTTGGTGCCATCTATTGAAATCGTTTCGAGTGTTCGTTTGTATGAATTGCATGTAATTAAGCCATTTTTGGCCAGTTAATAAAAATGCATAAATGAAAGCGCATTTAATTTAATAAATGCGGATATTGAGAGTGCTAGAGCCGCAAATGTGAATTGATATGGAAATTTGAAAAATCGTTCTTCTTTTTTGAATGAATTAACGAATATAAATTAAAAATAATATAATTTATTTGTGCTTCCCCTATTAACATGCTCATTTTAGCTAATAAAAATAACAAACTTGCTGGCGGAAATGCATTTAAATAAATATTATGATAAAATACGAGAGTGAAACATGGCCAGTAATGGAATAACAAGTGCAAGTTTAATGTAAATGATGCCAATTAATTTACACCAACGTAATAAAAGGGTTTTGTTTTGTAAATCAATAAATGAAATTAAAGCCTTTAATGTGTGTCGCCGCAAGAAATTATCAATTATATACAAATTGCATTTAAATGTATTTAAAGGATCAACATAAAATCGTGATGTAAAGAAAACTCGGCGATTACCATTCAAGTTTATTTATTGCAGCAAATTTTTATTTTTCATTTTATAATGAAATGATTTTTCAGTCACTTATTTAATTAAATTTGTGCATATATTGAAGCAACCCAAATACACAAAAATTTGATAACACGCACAACAGTTAAATGATATTCAAATCAAAAATACAGAAAAAAGAGTTATATAAAGGAGCCGAATAAAGGTTGTGAATTTAAAAAAAGTCTGTGCAACAAAAATATTTGATAAAACTAAAGCAACGAATAGTTTAAAAATACACAAAGCGATGGGTATGTAACAGGTAAAATTCAAGGGTTACCGAATACATAAACAAAATCCATAACAATCTCTGAAATTTATGAATAAATATAAGAAATAAAATATAATCAAAACAAGTCAAGGAAACACAATTTGCAGCTGCATAAAACAACAGTCCATTTCGAAGTTGGCTAACTGCAAGCAAAGAAGTGGCTCAATTGCGATGGGCAATTTATGACATGCCGTTGCGGTAAGGAGTAATTTATTAATAAAATGACTATATAGATTATAATGTTGCACGAGGCTCAGTCAATTAAAATCCCGTGCACGCTTCAGGGCTCATTAAAAAGTATTCAGTTATTCCCATAATTCTTTGGCGATGCACTCGCTGTCCAACTAAGAAACAAATAATTTGATTGCCCGAGCAAGTGCAGGCTAATTAAATAATAATTATTTATACAATGGCCAAATAACAGGCAATTATAATGCATATGGAGCAGCCCAGACGGAAATCCCGGACAAACAGACAGCCGAACAAACCCAAAACTAAACTCAACGCACCCAGCCAGGCGTATAAATTTCGTTTGGTATTCTAAGCCATGTTACTGGGCATTAAGCGAATGCGAGTGTGTGACATAAACTATTGCTAAATGCAAACATTTATAGTTTCATTTAATGGCTCAGTGTTTCGCTTCGTCGACGGACAACAGACGACAGGCATTAAATCATTTTTAAAGTGCTTGCAAATAATTGAATTTGTTAGTGCGAAAATGTTCGCACAAATCTTGTCGGCTTTTCTTTTGTCAGTACAGTGTGTGTGGACTATAAGGGATGGGCCATGTTTTCGCTTTGAAAGACATAGTACATTTATGTTAGTTTCAAGTACAGCTAACATTTTTAAAGAAACAACTTTTAAGAAATACACTAAAGATTGAATTTAAAGTAAATAATATAAAACTTTTGCAAACAACTTATTTAATCTACTTCTGTCTTTTTAAACTGTTAAATTGTGCCTTCGCTATAAATTTTAATTAAAATGTGACATGTGAAATTTTATTTGCATAACATGGTGCATACATAATATAATAACAATTTGAGTTATAGTCTTCCTTGATTAGATTGGTTAAGTTTATTCATTTATTAATTGAGAAAATTCAATTATTCACTTTAAAAAGAATAGATTTTGATTCGTTTGGTTGTACAAAGATTACTAGACATGAATTTATTTAAAATGTATATTAATAACCCTAAATTTGTATTGTATTTAAGTTTAATTTTTCGCTGTTATTGGAGGATAATATATATCATTATAAATAGTAAAATCTCTTAAATGATATATAAAATAAATAATATATAAAATGATGATAAAAATTTAGTTCCTCCGCCAATCTCTGTTTTTCTTAGCCAATCTCCACTGTGAAGTTCAGTCGCATAAAGGAGTCTAGTGAAGCAAAACACAACGGCTAAATGCCTGCAGCATTCGCCTCGTCTCTCGACCTTCCGCCTGCTTTCCTCCTCTTTTCCACCTCCTTTCTCGTGTCCTTTGTCTTGCCGGCTCCTTCCTTGGTCCTGACAATGCTCAGAATCCTCCCACGCAGTTAGCAGTGCTCATTCATGCATCCTGACTTCTATTGTAGGACGCACACATATGTGCGTATGTTTGTATATGGAAGACATATACTTCGCACTTGGCGTACGCGACCGTGACGCTAACAGCATCAAAGACTAAAACAACAATGACAAAGGCCATTGTTGTTGTCTTTGCCATTGTCGTCGTCACTTAATATACAAATTTCAGTGAATATTTTTCACACATATACGGAAAAAGACGCACAAGGAGTGCAATTTCCGCGAGCTGCACTCGCTCTGAACACGATTTTCCTTCCTTTCCCCCATTTCTTCCCATTCACCAAGCCATTTCCCATTTCCATTTTCTGTCCCGCGAGTTCCTTGGGCAACAATTCGTTCAATTTCATGCAATCAAGTTATTTTAATTCATTACCCTTACGCGACCAACACTTGGGAGACATGCACACAACACCAACAACGCACACCCAGTGACACCCCCTCGAACATCCCCCTTCCACCACCCCCTCCCTCGTCGAGCCCATCGATGCCACCCATTGTCCCTGCAAGTGCATGTGCATTTGCCTTGCGACACTTGACTTTTACATACACAAATGTTATAGCACTGCAAGAAATCAAAGTAAAAAGCAAAAATATTCTATGTAAGTAATATTTTTCATAACTTAAAGAACATGTTAGGCTCCAGATTAAACTCATTGAGAAAACTTATTCATTCACAACAAAAAGAAATATTTTAAGGGCTTAATTATTGTTAATACTGCTTAAGTTTATTTGCCTTTTATCCTATGGATTAATTCTTTAAAAAAATCAAAATGAAAAATATTTATATAATACAACTATGTATTGCCTTTATATAACTTAAATACTAGTATTAAATTAACACGCTTAATCACATGTTGGGTGTATTTTAAATTAGAGCGTTATCAATTAAATGAAACCTTGCGCTATTTTTGTCGTATAATTTATAGTAAATATAGAAATATAGGTACTACTTGCAAATGCCTTGATATACTTTATTTTACTATTATAAACAATATGTTTAAAATCTTAAATGATTAAAATGGTATCCTATTTTTTTCCAATGCACTATTTGCATGTGTTTATATTGCATATACACACATACCAAGGGACATAGAGCCTCACGCACGACTATCAAAATGTCAGACATCTGTCATTTAATTTAATTTGACTTCACTTTGCTTTCATTTGCCCTCCTTACTCCCGCTTTTCGGCTTGCCTTGTGCGCTTTCTTTTCCCACCGTCTCACTCTTTTTTCCACCCTATAGCTGAATATATATATCATATATATATATATATATATATATAGCTATATAGGGCGGGAGGCGGCGACGTTGAGCACAAAACGTGTAATTTAGCGGGAGGTGTTTGGTGGAGGTGGTGGGGAAATTTCTTCAGGCTGCTGTTATTACTTAGTTTTGTTGTTGTACGAACTAGTTGCTTTTGTTATTGCTATTATTGTTGTTGTTGCTGTTGGTGTGCAACGTACGCGAGCTCAATTTAAATCGCTTTGCGTTTGCTGTGAAAACGGTAAAAAGCGAGGAGGAAATGCCAACATGGCGGGGAAAGTGCGAAAAGTTTCGCGGAAAATGCATCGATCAATGGATACCCTTAATGGGGTTAGTAAAAAATTGCACGAGTTTAAATAAATGGTTGAGTGGTGGCAGGATATAGGACCACAAGTGCAAGTGAATGATTGAATTAATGAAACTCACCAGTTTATTGATATCCGAAAGCTGATAGATGGCTTAAATTCTCAATAAAAAGTAAGTGCTTATGAGATTAATGCTGATTTATATTGTTTTACATGAACGTACGGGTAAATAACTAAAAGGAAAAATGCAATCTATTTATTTAATTGTTTATATATGATTCATCATTATCTTCATGGTAAATGGAAATATGTTGAATAAATTATGGAAAATAAGTAGCTTTGTATTTGGATGAAAGGGAGAGAAATCTTTAAACAGTTTATGAATTAAATTCATTCACAATTAAATTTTGTAAGTGTCAACAAAATGGGAAAATTAACAAATTAATTATTTAGCAATGATTTGTTACTGATTTGAAAATTCACTTAAATTTTCATTGGTTTTTAGTAAAAAAATCAATTACCTCCCATTTCGTATACCCCATATTTGTAGAGAGTACCTCCAAAGACAACTTGGCTTGATTTGCATGGGAAATTTTATTTCTTTGAGCGTAAAACTAAAATAAACTATACTATGGAAAGGCACACATCATTTGCGCTAAACTAAAACTAATTAAAGTGGTAGCCCTGAGGGAAGTTGGGACATCCTTTTTTGGCTCATCCTCGCCTCTCCTGTTGCTTGGCAATCGCTTTTAGCTGCTTGTTCCGGTGCTTGAGTTTCTGCTGAAGTTGCCGCTTGAACTGGGTTTCTCTGGTCAGGATCTGCAGATCCTCGGCCGAGCAGGTGGCCAATCGTTGCTTCTGCTCGGCGATCAGCTCCTTGGTCAACTGGATCTTGGTCTTGGACACTTGGATGTAGAGCATCTGGCGGCGCTGCAGCTCCTGGCGGTGCAAAAATAATGCGTAGGCGATTGATGCTTCCATGCTGGCGGTTTACTGGCAAATGAATGCCAGCTCTGAGTTTGGGTGGGTATTTAAGGACCTCCTCCTGTTATGCAGGCCACTGCTTGTTTATCTTGTTTTTTGCCTGTCCTGCGGGTTTTCTGATTTTTCGCGGCCAATCCTTTGGGCTGCCCTTGTACCTGAGTGCCGGACTTAGGTCTCTCTAACCGCCTGCCCACGCAGGTAACAGATGGTTTATCGGCTCAAGTTTTCTCTCCTCCTCCTAATGCACTTTAGGCCAAAATCCTCGTCCATATGGCCGGCAGGCAATGGTTTTCCTTGCGGGTCCCTCGGCAAAGTTGGGTAAACTTTTGCGCTTGCCTGAACCCCGTGAAAGGAATTTGGGCCCCGGAAAGAAGGGGGATTTGCGGGGTGGCCGACAGACGAACTTCTTGGTCATGCAGCTCCACAGCCAAAATCCAATGCAATTTTTGGGCCATCCATCTAAAGGACACCGCCACCCTCTGGACCCACTCAACGACCGGATGGCACGCACGTCCTGGACAGCCCGGCATATGCATCAATAATTTCTGCCAGCATGCGACTTCACTGCAGGAAAACCCCATATAAAATGATGAATGGAGTTCGAAATTTCTGATTTCAAATGAATAACTTTAAAAAATATTAAACCAACCCTACATTTACATAAAGTTTACAATTTATTTGTTACATATTAAAATCCGTTTGTATTTACTTTTCAATAACAACATTATTTAGGCCAAGAATTCATGATAGCTTTTTTCACATAAAATAATATCCAGCATTTGCTAGATTTTGAATTTTAATTTACCAAAAAAAGTTTAATTAAAGTAATTCAAAGGGTGTTTTCTTTGAATTTAAGTTCCACCTGAAACATTTTACGTCCGTTTCTCCTACTTTTGATTTTGTCCCATTTCCTCATCCTTTTTTGAAACTTTCAAACTCTTTTTTCCGTGTTAACCCGACCTAAGACCCCGAACCGTTCTAGGATACGAGCCGGGACCCGTGTCTAATGCCACACCAGCACTTTGAGGTTTATTAATTCGCATGAACTCCGTCCGGCTGCTCGACCCTGCGCTCATTTTTCATGCTGCCCGGGCAACGAAAGCCACAATTAAAAATTGCTTATGAACGGAAATGGCAGACAAAAACATAAAACTGCCGCCCATAGGGAAGATGAGACAACTTCCAGTATTAACCATAATCTGAGCCCTGTGAAACTCTCAAAGTTTTCCAAGGGGGTGTGCGAAAAACTTAATTTCCTATTTCCTTTTAGTTTCCGCCCAATTCTCTACCTCTCCATTCCATTTAGTGTAAACTGTGCGCATCATTATTTTGAGATTTTTGACACTTTTTTCGCTTGATGGTGCTAAGCTACTTGTAAATCAAGCCAAGCTCATGCGTCTTCCTCTAGCCAGTGTCTATCATACATATATATATATATGAGTGTGTGTGTGTGGGTGAGTGTGTCACATTTCCGGCGGAAGTGAAAGCAGAAAACTTGGTTCGTTTTCCTCTTCGCTAAATGGCATCAAGAAATGCAGCATCGTCGCCTCAGAGGAACAGAACAGAGACATTGACTGATGATGATGAGCACGATGATGTAAATGGGATTTTAGTGCCGCACATGACAATAGTAAACTTCTTCAGCAGCCGGAATCATAAGCTGTGATGGCTCTGTTCAGATCTGCTCTGTGCTCTTGTGACATGCAAGTAAATTGCCTTGGTAAATTTATTGTGCAATTACAAGGAAATCTAATGAACAAAGAGGAGGAAAAATGTGCTAGAATCGCATGAAGGCACTCGATTCGGGTTACAAAAATGGAGAAGTGAAGAAATTACTTTATTTAAGCTAGATGTATGTAAATGTAAATGTTGTTTTTTTATAAAGAGTGGTTTTATATTTGTTTTTATGTGTCATAAATAAATGTTTCACTTGCGTTTTAAAAGTAAAGAGAAATTCGATCATAGAAAGACCATACTTGAAATTATCTTTATTTGTCTCAAGAACTATAAGATTATGTCGGCTTAAGTAAATATTTTCAGCTTAAAGTGATAAGAAACCAACATAATTTCTATTCAAAGTTGACCCCTTGTTTCCTTCTTTTGTTACAGTTTCCAAGGAAAAATAGGCCATCGCCTGTCCTCCGTCCTCGACATGGCCTTCCCCCATATCCTGGTGCTACTGCCTCTCATTTGCACCGCCTCGGCCCTCAGCCTGCCGAATATGACCTCAACGGATGCCGTCGCTGCCGGTGGCGGTATTTCGCCAATCCTTGTTGCAGGAAATCCCAGCAATCTGGGCGGCAGCAACATAAGCCTCAGCGGAGGGGGGATTGGCCGGCAGCAATCCCGGTGGACAATCAGCACCGGATTCGGGGGGGCGGTACCTCTGCGGGCGGTTCGCCAGCGGGTGGCAGCAGCGGTGCCGCCGGCAGTAATAGCGGTATAAGCGGCAGCGGCAACAACTCTGCCATGATCCAAGGTCAGAAGAGCAGCCAGTACGAGAAGTGCGCCGGTCCTGGGGATCCGGGTCCCTGCAAGCAATACATCTACAAGTGGCGCTACGAGCCAACCACAAACGAGTGCACCAACTTCATTTGGGGCGGTTGTGAGGGCAATCCGCAGAACCGTTTCGGCACAGAGGCGGAGTGCCTCTTCCATTGCATCGGCGGACCTCGTAAGTTTAACGAAGTCATTAAATTAAAACTAAAATATTTAAATTAGCCTTTTTTTCGATTTAACAAAAACACTACAAAAAATTTGAATTAAATTATACACATTTTAACACTACAAAGAGTTATTTATCATATTTTTGTTAAGGTGCTTCAATACATGCCACAATAAATTTCACAGAAAAAATTGTCCAATTTAATATAGCATGCTTTCAGTCATATTTTTAAGTGATTTAAAATCCCAACAAAATTCCGAATACATACCTAGCCAAATGAAATATTTATAATTGTGGTTGTCAAACATGCCTTTTAAAAATAATGTAGTCAAATTTCTCACAGTACTTAAACACGTAATTTTCATTAGTTTCATTAAATTGGGAATACAGTTAAAACAAAGACATTTTATTTGCTTTTCCTTGTCATAATATTTATTAAATAATAATTTATTTTTTATAGGCATATTTTAAAAGCAATAGTTATGATTTGTAAAAAAGCTAGCCTATTTTTGAACTGAAAAATATTTAAACCAAAAAATCAGTGAATTTTATTGGTTGTAACGATGATCCCTTCTTAAGCTACTGCCTAGTTATTTTCCCATGATTAATTTACGTGCCTAAGCTGACCCATTAGTAATCCCAATTGACGTCACATCTCTTGCAGATACTCTGCCGCCGTTCCTGCAGTCCACCACCCGTGAGCCGAGCACCACGGAGAGTTCCATGCTCCTCGGTTCGCCGTACACCCAGGGTCCGGCCCAATCGCCGGACGGAATGGGCGGGGCCGAGGGCGGGGATGGAACCACGCCCGTGCCCATCGAACAGCGCGGCCCCGAGCTGACTTTCGCGGAGACCGGCCAAGGCAAAACTTTCATTTTCGCCAAGAACAACACGTTCATCCAAATGGACGGCGACATCATACAGACATTTCAATTAAGGTGAGTGGGCTGGGAGTGCTGCGGGGCATTGCAGGCACTGACCACCTGGCAGGTGGCAGCCTCAGGTCCTTTGCATGCCACTACAACTCGCCGGTGCTGCAACGGCGCGTCATTTAGCGGATTGTTGTCCTTTTGGCTCAAAAGTGCTTTATTCCCTTAACCCCAGAAAGGTCAAGGGGAAGTTTGGAAGGCAATAATCTAGAGAAGGTCTAATTTGAATTCTTACTAGCAAACATCAGTCGAATTGGGAAAATCAGAGTAAAATATTGCACACTGGCAGACTTATAAAAAATCTTTTAAATTAAAAAAAACGGGTGGTAGTTTAATTTTGTTTAAAACCACTTTAATAACCATATTGAATTATTCATTTGAACAACCACTACTTCTAAAATGAAATGTATTTAAAAAACCTGTCGGTAATATGCTTTCCATGTACATCGATTGCGTGTCTTTAGATATTAACATTTACCTCTAGTGAAATAGAAAACAATTAAATCTGGCATTTGAGTGAGCGTGAGTGAAAGCTAACAAATCGAGCTGACAACCGAGGTTATTAAGTGTAAAAATGTTTTAAGCTTTTTATGAAATACTGCGATACCTATGGGGTTAATGGGGAAAGCTGTGTACAACGGCAATTAGCCAAACTGACGTTGCCTTCACCGTTTGAAAATTGATTTTCTCTCAACAATTTTCTTAGGGGACTGCAATCTTATCGGTAGCTTACACAAAACAATCAAAAGGCAAGCAGGAAAAGGTAGAAGTAAAAAAGCATCCCAAAAACCAGGTCTGAAGTTAATTTTCTGCTCAATTGCCGAAACCTTTTCGCCCATGTTGTGACATCTAAATGGTCCAAAACGACTTCTGGCCAAGATCTTTGGGCTTGCTGAATTTAAAATTCAACTTGCCTAGAAACATTTGACATTTGCATATTAAATTAAGATAAAAAACATTATTTAAATGCGGTGTATGTGCGCACATGTTGGACAAACATGTAGACAGTCAGGCAAATAAAATTAAACATAACTTTGCCAAATATAGAACTTATATTTGTTATCGTTGTTGCCGCTGGTCAGTAACTGCTACGTACTTGGCCCAGTTGGCAATTTGTGCTGTAGTTTTAATTGTAACTCATGTGGCTGCCGACAGCAGGAGCAGCACAAACAACAGCAACGGCAACAGCAGTCAAGAGCAAAGAACAAATAAATTTAAAACTCTGTCAGGCAAACACACCGACCCTCACACATATGCTAATAAGTGTGGCCAACTTGGCTATTTTCTGGCCAAAACTTTGGGCTCCTTTAAAAAGTTTAAAATGATTTATCACTAATTAAGATGGAACATTTCACATTGTTAAAAAAAGCAAATTGCTTAATAAGGCCCTTTTTAAATGTCCTTGGTTGTTAGAAAAAGGAATTAATTTTTAAGAACTATGTTTTATATTTAATATAACAATTATTTATTTAAAAACAATAAAAGTAAATCAGTAGTTTTGATATTACTTTAAAATGCTTTGAAAAATATGCAAACACATATTAATTACGAAGTAAGATGTTCTGTTTTTCATTGCATACTTTTTGATGCCTTTTTTAAGTGATTTCAAATCCCCAATGATTTCTGTGGCATCACCGAATAGAGCAATTATTTATAAAGACAAGATAATTATACTTCGAATTAACTCGTTATAGCTATTATGAAGAGACTCAAGCCTCTTTAAATTAACCCAAGCCAGACTAATGCCGCATTGAGCTACTTTTCGGGGCCCACAATTGCAACACTAATGCTAATGCACTGGCCGCTCTACGTCCTTCTGTCTTTGCAGACTTTGCCGTGAGATTTCATTTCAATTCCGCACCCGACTGCCGCACGGCCTGCTCGTCTATCACAACGTTAAGAATCCGGATCGCATTATTTTGGACCCCTATGCACTCTATGTGATTGTGGAGAAGGGCCAGCTGAAGGTGGTCCATGTCTTTGGCAAGCATTCAACGAGTGTCACTGTGGGCGAGAGTCTGAATCGAGATGAATGGCACAGTGTGATGGTGAGTTTCCCAAAAACGGGGTCAAGTCTGGCAGGGACCCTCCAAAGAAACCCGGTCGAATACCACAAGTCCAGCGGGGCTATCAGACATCCGGTAGACTTAACTCTTTGGGGACTCGCAAGGGTAATTTGTAGTCGGTTAACATCTGGCGTTTTTCGACCAACATTAGCATGGCAGTGCGTTCAGCAAGCAATTAGCAAGATTGCAATGCGGAATGTGTGCTGCCGGTGCATGTGTGCAAAACGCTTTATCAAACTTTTATAACAAAGCGAGCAAGTTGATTTATGTGCGTTCAACTTTGTTAACTCACCTCGGACATGGGCTCCAATGGTTGCATGTTGCTGCTGTTACTGCTGCTGCTGCTGCTCCTACTTTTCCACGCATGTAGCTAACCGCAATCCCTCAAGCATCGTCAGCATCATCATCATCAATAACAATGGCAGGAGCAACCGAAAAACCAGTAGCAGCAGCTTAGCTTAGTTCATGTTTTCATATTTAAAACAAGCAGATCCCCTACTAATCACACCCTCATACAGAAAGTGGGATAGTACACTCGAAAAAAATAATAACAGCCAGTCAGACAACAAATCATTATCAGCTCCTGTTTAAATATCTGCAAAAAAATAAAACCAATTTTTTTTTCTTAGTGCACACGCATACACAAATGCAGACACATGCATGCACTCATAAATAACACGCAAATTCCTAATGAATTTCAGCTGATCCCAGTATGAGTTTGTGCGCACAGCAGTTGCAATTCATTTTCGTAGATTTTTACCCATGCTGTTGCAGCAGCAGCAGCAGTAGCAACGACAGCAACAAAAGCGGTAGCAACAACAATTTATCGCATGCCGCTTGGCAAAAACTTGCAACTTCAACTCGGGGCCAAAACGCATAAATTCATAAATTTTTATCATTTGTCTGTGTGCGAATGCCACGCCCCCATCCCAGCGCCCCCGTGACCATGCCCACACCCATGGCAAGCTGGTTTATTGGTTTTACGCTACTAACCGATCCCTCGCTGTCTGTTTTGCACAGGTGCGCATCGATGTCCATGGCGCAAGATTAATTGCACGCGTCGACAATAGTCAGGAGGAGGTCTATCTGAAAGGACTGAATCACGAGTACAACTACGGCGTCTCCACGAATCTGCCGTCGGTGGTCCTGGTCGGAGGTGAGTGCCCAAATCAATTGTGTATGTGTACCCGTTCCATCCGAAAATCCTCACGGACTCCACCAAAGCTTCCACCCCCCACAATCAATCATATTAAAGGCTACGCCCGAGAATATATGCAATGATTCTCGTACGCGAAATTCACACATAAGCCAGCGCATCAATGTGGAACATAGAAAGTTTAGTATGCGTATATATATATATATGGGATAGAATAGCACATAAGAGCGCTGACGAAAAATCGGAAAATGTGCAACTGAAAATTGAAAATCGAACTTGCAGTTTGGCGGTGGCGACGAACACATTCAGATAATACATACAAAACATAATAGTACTTTGGCACCAGTTCTATCAGAACAATATCAAATTTAATTTAGTTTTGCGTATTACAGTTCTAAGAATATTTATAAAATTCACGAAAAAAATTTCTAAATAAATTCAGGAACAATTTAAACAGATAACACATATTGTATATTTTTCTGAATAAATAAGGCACTTGCATTTTCTTACCCACCTACTAAAATAAAATTCCAAATCTGCAAAGTTTGTTTGAAACTCTTTTTCTGTTGTATGAATTTTAATTTCATTATTAAACACAAGGTGCAAGCTCAAGAGATTAAACGATTTCAACTTTTCTTCAAGTGTATCAGCGTGAACGACCCTAAACTGAACATGCTCATTTCCCATTGAATCGAGGCTTTGCGAGTGTTCATATGTATGTCTTTGAAAGCTGCTTTAGTGCGTTATTTGAAAATTTAATTATTTCACGTTGCGAACACCAGAGGCCATGGAAAAAAGGGTTTTGTAAGCAGGCCAACAGAATGGGCCATTGATTGCACTCTGATGATGTTGGTCTAGTTTTTCCGAGCCAGCTCCCGCTGAGCGTGTTTTTGGATTGAATGAAGCCAGAGCGTATAGAATGTGTAGGTGGATACTATCTTTTTTTTGCCCTGGAAAAATGATTTTGTTGCGGCTGCATTGCAAGGAAGCCCCTGGAGACTGGCCCACAATTGATGGGCAAAAGTGAAATGTGAAAATGAAATGGAAAGCATGCAATCAATAAACTTTAAAAGCATTTTATAGAACGTTTGCAGGGAACAGTATTTATGGCCAATGTCTATAAGTAAATAAATATTATTTCACATGGTATTTCCATATTTAGAAATTGCTAACGAAAAGGCAAATAAATTATTTGTTTTATGGTTGGGATGAATTTCCATGGCCACATTTTTGACTAACAAACCAATATTTTGCCATTTAGGTATTCTTTTAACAAATATGTAATACCATTAGTGTATCTACAATTTTCTAACATTATTATATTTTATTTATAGTTTAAAGTGGACTGGAAGTAAATAAGTAATTACAAACTAAATCAAATAAAATACGAGTCTTCAGAAAATATAAGCTCCAAAAATCTGACAGCCACAAATAGCATTTAAAACGAATTTTAGCCATACGAAAAACACTTTTATGACTATAAATAATTGCGGAAAGTCCCACCGCCCTCTCTGCTTGTATTTATTTAAACCGGTCTTTGGTGATCCGCAAAACTGAGTGGAGACAACTTTTTTAATTAAGCAATATTTAAATCTCTAACAACAGCAGCGGCCAAAAATCCCATCAAAACTTTCAACTGTAAACAACGAAATTATGTTATGGCCGTCCGACATGGTCACTCCGCCCACTAGAGCCCACACAGATATAGCCAAAATCCATTTCCAAATATTCAGCATGTTAATTAATCTGTGGTTTCCCAGCCAAGACCAAACACTGACCAATCCTTCCACCCCCCGTCCCTTGTGCAATTTCGCAGGCCTTTCCTCGGAGGAGAAGCTGCACGGCGTGAAATACATTACGGAGTCCTTTGTGGGCTGCATCCGCAATGTGGTCCTGAGCTCCGGCAAGGCCGCCTCCGACCTCCTGCCCATCGCCCCCCTGGTGGCCACCAAGCACGAGAACGTCAACGAAGGATGCTCGGACATGTGCGAGTCCCGGCACAACCTCTGCTTCGTGGGATCGCGCTGCATCAACCACTACGGCGGCATATCCTGCGACTGCTTTGGCACCGACTACGAGGGCGAGCACTGCGACATATACAGTGAGTACTGTGCCTAAAAATAAATATTTCAAAAATTTATCAAATGTAATTAAAACATTTTTTGGGGTTTAAAATATATATTTTATGAAATGCTTTCCTTAAAATGGGAAAAAAATTTACTTAGAACTTATAATAGCATATTTTAAAAGGTATTAACATTTTAATGGTTGGCATCAAAAACCTATTTTAATTCGAATTTTGAATAATGAAAGAAGTTGTATTTATTTTTGAGATTACACAAGAAAATATATAATTCTAATGAACTAGAATTGAATTATATATTTTATTTTGAAATGGCTTTCTAGATGTTAAATAAAAATGTTTTATGTTAAACAAAATTTAATTCAAAGATCTATAAAAATTTTTCTAAAAATGTTACATATTTCAAATTATGTTTTTATTCAATTTTAAAATATTCGGAAGGATAAATAGTTTTATATTAATTTATAATGTTGATTTAAAACATATGCTCTTTTCAAAATAAATAGTTCTAAAAATGTATCAATTGCAGCACTTTTTAAACAGCACATGTAATTTAATGCTTTTACGTGAGACTTTAAAATTTTTCCAACTGTTACGTACATCCGTCTAGCTCTGTCTAAATCCCAATATATCTCTGTATCTGGACATGGCCCTAGGGGCGCCATTTTGTTTTAATTATAAACTATGTTTGTTTGCTAGCGGTTAGCCACTGGCACTGCACTCCCCTTTTGGTCGCTACAGTTTTAAACACGCTAATGACCTGACCATAAATTATGCAAAATAGTGTTTGACTTTTTGACTGTCGGCCAGCTCGGGCCACACCAGGGCAGAATGTGCGCAAAATTAGTTTGTTAAGCTCAATATATATATACCCCATGGAGACCACCACCGCTGCCATCCCCCCCACTCCCTTCCCCTCAGCAACATCCGACATTTAGTTAATGACATAAAGCCAATTCCAGGCCGCCATAATCTCAATTAAGTCACGCGAGGCCATTATATAGGCAAGCCTATTAAAAATTGAGCAGCTCGTTTATATTTTTTGACATTGCACAATTTTCAGGGGTCTTTCGAAGCACTAACTTCGCATTTCAGCACGAAAATGGGAGTTGGGTTTTCGGGCAGGAAAACTGAATTCAGTTTGCCCTAACTAGGTAAAAAGAAACCTATATTATTTTGAATTAAGTAATACTACAAAAGCTCTAAAAAAACGTTTAAGCTGTGTGTTTACTTTGAATATGAATTTAAAATTAAAACAACATAATCTAAGCCCCTTATCCAACTGTAACTTCTGTTCTTGTTTACAATTTTCCCTTTCAAAAACCGAAAAGCCATGATCAGAAATCATAAAATCAAGTTACCTAACAAAACCAAACTCTAGTTAGGGCATCTCAACATGCATTCTTCAGATTTAGCCCCCCCCTGCATTTCAAATGTTTGCTAAAAATTTGCATGCAAATGATGACCAACACATGCCAGCGATGGAAAAAGGAAAAATCCAAAATAAAATCCTGACTTCGCGGGTGGCAATGAAATTAAGCGGAGTCCAGGGGAAAAGTTGGGGAAGAACGTGTGGAGGAGTATTGATGCAATGGACAGCTGCAAATTGCAAAATGAACAAAAAAAAAAATACGCTAACGGTTGGCCAGCAGCCGTGACAGTGTTGGCCATTTTGGAAAATGCCGCGTGCCCTTTTTCCCGCCTTCCTCCTCCCGCCCTCCCGCTTTTTCGCATCCCCCTCTCTATCTGTCTAAATGGCTCCTGTCAAGGACAACGAGCGACCGCCGTGACGTGCGAGTTTGTCAAGCATTTACGGCGCCTGCTGGTGCTGCTGCTGCAACTGATCACAATTACGTAACGAGCGCCGGCAAGTGCAAGCAAATTACACAGATGTACCTCACCCACACGCCCACTATCCACCGCCCACTGCATACCGCCCACCCCCCGCTGGTTTGCCGGTTGCATGTTGAACTGCTCCTGGAACGGAAACAGTGTCAGGCCATTAAAACCTAGCACATTGCGAGCGGTAGAAATGTACTGCAGAGAGAAAAAATAAGGGCTTCTTAATAAAAAAAAAGTTATATCTATGTTTTTAAGTTAAATAAAAATGATGAAATATTTTTGTTACTACATGGAATAGTTTTATACCTTACAGGGGTGATTATCCGCCTTTGGTACTAGCAACTTGAAATTAAATATGTTCCATTAAAAAAATAAATGTTTTATTTTTTTATCTAGTTCAACTAATTTCAACAATTATCAGAGAAAAGAAAAAAAATATATCCCAGGCATTTCAAATCTGAATTTTATTTTGAAAAATCCGATTTAAGAGATGTATAACATTATTTTCGATTTCTAAAATTTGTTCAATCGCCTTTTTCTCAGTGCTTGAAAATTGTGAAAATTCGTACAGGGTACGAGGGACACGAGACATAATCAAACGCAGACGCTTTTGTAATGCAATAACTAAAATGACAACTGCCAGTACAAGGACAAGCCTGTTCATGTGCAGTTCACCCGGAATACCTCTCTTCGCCAAAAACCCCTCTTTACACTCATTCCGATTTCACAATTTTCCATGGTAAAAGTGTCAACGAAATGCGTACAGTTGGGGAAATCATTAGCCCTCCGAAAAACCAGGCATCAACATTTCTGAAAGAGACTACAAGATTTTTCGCCTTCTTCCGGCATAAACGAATTGAAATGCCGGCAAAGAGGACGGATTGGGAAACTACCAAAAGGGAGGGCAACATGTCCTATGATGTCCGATATGATGACTCCGGGCTAAGTTCATCTCTGGACTTTGGCCGACAGTTGTCAGCTCAACTGGCATTCATGATGCAGCAGGCAGAGATGCATTTTTCCGGTCCGATTTGAGTTAAAAGTGCACTGGCCAAGTTGAAAAATGTCAGTTTTAAGGGATTGAAATTCATCCTACATATTTTATCGGATGCCAATAATTTCTTATTATTTTTAAAAAAAATTAATTACAATTTGGTGGAGCTTTAAAATTTGTAAATTTTGTAGTTTGATATGCCTAAAGTTTATTTTTAAATTTTATTTAAATTGTATGTGTTACATTTGTGGCTAATTTTCCCTTTATGTTGTGACACACAAAAACAGAAAACAGCAGATTGCGGTCTGTTTTGCTCCAATGATAATGTCACACCTTTAATTAGAGCTATGGTTTTAATAAATAATTTATTTATACAACGAATTATCAGAAATCTATGTATAGCTTTTATTCGAAATTAAAATGCCGATTAAGTGTGACAAACAAATGGCTTTTAAGATGATTAAACTCGATAAAATCGAATACAAATAATAATATTTGTTTGTTTTCTACAATATAAATGTATGAAGCCAGACTATTAATAGTTGAATTATATTATTTGAAATATAATATAAATTCAACGATTTGTTTTGACTCAGGAAGTCTAATTAATTAATTTAAAGTTTAAAACACTAGTGTTTTCTGAGGCATATTCCTGTTAATCTAATAATTATGTTTACCCCAACTAAGCTGGCTATTCGTTAATAAGTCACAATCCTTTACACAAGCAGTTTGCTGTCAGTGCTCAGTTTGTTTACCTTGAGCACAAACAAACACATCACCACAAATTGCTTGAGTCCACAAATTTGCAAGTTAATCTTGAGCGGAAACCATCAATACTGTGTACAGTAATCCCTCTAATACCAGTCAGTATGTCTCAACGCGGAGTTGCCTTCTCGGAGTTCTATATAAATGCCCCAACTAGTCGTTCAACCCAGTGGCGGGCCCAAAAGGTGGCCAATGAACTGGTGGTAAAAAACAAAGAAGTGCGAGACAAGTTAATGAACAACAGAGTTCCCACATATTCTGAATTCCGAAGGATAATGCGATCCGCGGGCAGGGAGGCGGACTACAATCCGATCACCTATAAGAGCATGATAGAAATCCGACAGGCGCAAATCGATCGTAGGCGCCTCAAAAGTATAAAATCCTGTGCCGACTCCCTTGGATTTCATCCTCGCATCCTAAATCGCAGCCAGTTAGTAACGGAATTCAATCAGAAACAAGACATATTTCGCAAAAATCTCGAGCTCCTTGGACGGATCAACAGGACCAATCGACTGAAGGGCTGTGTGGATAGCTTCAACCGCAATTTTCCCGCCCTTCAGCCGAATCGGACCAAGATCCATGCCCTCGCCCAGCGTTTGAGCCAGGAAAACAGGCAGTTCGGGTGTCGCCTCTCGGCGGTCAAGTCTAAGGTTTGTAACCTCGAGTTTGGGGAATCAATTAATGTTTTGAAATTATTAGAAAAAATTTAAAATGTAGTCAAATATAGGATATACAAAATATTGGGAAAACTGCCGCAGAATATTATTAAAATTTATGAAGAGCAACATATTAACGATATTTTAATATCGCATTTATAAATGTGTGTTATATACAAAGCTTTGGAATGTAAGTTTTAGTTAATTTTATTAAAGAGTTGTTCAGCTTTTACTTTTCCAAGACATGGGATTGTAATTAAAATCCAATCGACCGTATCAACACAGAATTTTCTAAGACCAATAAGTTATTTACTCAAATTAATTTTTACTAACAGAGATTTTTGTTTTAATCAAATCAGTTAGAATCTTTCATCAGTTTTTTATCACTAAACATTAATCTACTATTTATGGCAGTATCTAAAATGTACTTTTTTTAAGAATTAAGTTGGTTTTAAGCCTGACCATTTATCCCAAAGGTGGACTCGCACAATCCTTGGGTGGCACCCGTGAAGCCGCTCGAACAGAAGGCCTCTGATCAGACGGTTTCTGCTTTTTTGCCCTATATGCCATCGCCTCGTTTGGGAAAGCGAAGTGCCCATGTCCTGCTTCGCCCCATAATATATTTCGACCTGGCTGTTCGAGAAAACTTCTTGGGAAGATTACTTCTGCAACTCTACACGGAACTGAGTCCCGAGGTGGTGCTTGAATTCGTGCGGATGGCCACCCACAACGATGTGAGATGTCACCGTTTTGTGCGAATATTCTCCAATCTTTGGATGGAGGGAGAACTGATGCCGGGCAGCAACGATCCATTGCGGAATCACCACAGCGTGAAGTACTCCTTTCTGGATCCCAGCAAGTTGACGGGGGTGATCTCGTATCCGTGGGACTACCGCCGTCACTTTCCCCAAGGTCTCCTCAGCTACACCATCAGTTTTAAGCCATCGGCGGTTCCATGGCAGCGGGTCATTTTTGGACGGGTGTGCGGTGGCCTTAGGGTCCTGCAGAACTGCCACGAATTTGGCACCAAAAATGGCAAGACCAAGAAAACTGTGATTGTCACACGGTGTGGCCTGCTCTAGTGGGAGTTCATGGATATATATTTCCCGCCTCATTATGCACCTGCATTAACATAAGCCCAGCGAAGGACTTGCGTTGGCCCAACAAAATTGTAGCACACCTTTGTGCTTAAATGCAGCAGACTGTTTTTTCTCCAACAAAATGCAAATAAAATTACAAAGTAAGCGGGTTTTTGCGTGGTATCTAGGCACTGGGAGAAAATCGATTTTAAAAGTAGAGAAGAGAAGAATTATTATCCGTAATTTTCATAGAAACCAGATTGAAATTTATTAAACAATTAGAAACGATTTTAAGTTGTTAATTTATTTATATGAGCTCTTAAAAAGAAGCAGTGGTTATAAGAATATATATTAAAAGGACAAATTATATTTTTAATTTGCATAGTATTTACCCAAACATAAAATAAATATTTACTAAAATCGTTCAATTGGTCATGGTTTTATATATTGCAAGAACCTTTTCATATGTTGGCATGTTAGATCAAAACTTTTCTCTGAGTGAGTGGGGGTAAAGAGTAATTTTGTGGGCTGAGATGCGTTATCGGCTGGGCGTGGCCCACGTGTGCAGTGTCAGATAAGAGGGCAAAACGCGGCTGCTGTCATGCAACCAACCGAAACCACCCATCATTCCCAACCACCGCCCACTGCACCACCAGCGGACGCAAATGCGCGTTACACGATTTGCACATTTGGTCCACGAACAGGACAAGAGGCCAGGATCTGGATCAGGACAGAACCACAGCGAACATCAGGCGAATGCCTAAAGGCCGCCATAGAGCAAACAATATAATCTATTTTTGTGGCCCACTGAAGCTTCATTCGCAGAATTTTCTTCTTTTTTGTTGTTCTTTGTGCAGCAAGCAGATAATGCACAAGTGGCAGGGGGATAAAAAACGCCAACATGGGTCAAAGTTTCAAGTGCTCCGTTAAATAATTCGTATGCTAAATATAAAAATATGTTAACTAATTTTTTTTCCTATCGCAAGAGCTTACAGGTGTTTCACTTTATAATGTTGTGATATAAAAAATACTCGGATTACAGTTTTCAGTATGAATTGTTACTGATGAAAAAACATTTTTGTATTAAGCTGAATGAAGGGTTTAAATATTGGATTTAATTGTTCTGACTTTGTTTTTTCATTCTCTTTTTTTTTTGGAAAAATATGGACATCTCTTTAAGAAATATTGGATTTTTAAGATGGAAAGAAGTCTGACAGGTTTTAAAAAAGATTTTAAATTTCCTTAAGGTTCTGTAGTAACTGAAATAAAGAATATAAATAATATGCTAAATGCAAAATAACCAGGACTTTCCAGAGGTCTAAATAATAGATTGATTTCTTGATTTCTTTCAGCGGCCACAATAATAACCTTGCGAGGAGCCAGCTATGTGTCCTACAGGATATACGACTGGAAGGATCGTGTGCATTCCTCCACCAGGCGAATAAGTCTGATGTTCCGTACGAATTTCGACGATTCAGCCTTATTTTACGCCAGTGGAGAGTCTCTGAAGCATCAGTATATAGCGGCTTCCATTAAGAACCAATCGATTCATGTGGAAATGGACTTTGGCGACAATGTGATGAGTACCATACTCACAGATGACTTGACACGAGGATATTGGCACAACTTAACGATTCTACACGAACAGAGGACGGTGAGCATTATCCTGGATCAACAGCAAAAGGTACTGGAACTTCCAGCCACGGCCAGTGGGAATCTGCTCTTCGATCCGGAGATATATTTCGGAGGAGGACCGGAACTGCACAAGAAGAAGGGTCTGGCCTCCCATAACAATTTCGTGGGCAGCCTGAAATATGTCTACTACAACGACATCTCCATTCTGTATGAGCTGCAAAGGGGGAATCCCAAGTTGCACTATCACGGTGAGTGGAGTGCAATTTAATATCGACTGTTGCGATTTGCCGTGTGACATATTTGGCATACTCTTACTGTCTGTCCAAACTATATCTATCTATCTATTTTGGTTTCTGGGTCAGGCGTGCTGGAGGCGGAGTTCGTCGAGAATGAAGTGAATGTCATACCCATCACCTATCCCTTTGCGACATCACACATTTGGTGGCCCATAAATCACGCCGAAGAATTTAATATTAAATTCGATTTCCGCAGCAGTCGGCCGGGCGCGGTGCTGGCCTACAGTGACGTTACGACCAGTGCCGGAAATGGCTTCTGGGAGGTAAGTGTGAGCATTCAAGCAATCATCCATACGTGCACTGCGAAAAAGGGTGATTTAAGAGTGTATAATGGTCTACATTTAAGACCCGTAATAAACATTTTCGACTCTTAGAACTCTTGATGAAAAAAAAAGAAACAATTAGAAATTACATTCCCTAAATTTAGAAAAATTGAACACCCCGTTTTTCTTCCATCTTTAGCCACTTGGCTATTTATTGTATTTCCATCATGAATATATCGTTTTTAATGACAACCAAATTCGCCACTGGAATGAAAATAGAATTCATTCATTTATTATATTATTAATCAAAAACTTAAGGTTACTTGTAATATATTTATAACTACTTGAGAAAATGTATCTAAAGATTTTCAAAGAGTATTTTTCTTAGGAATATACAAGTGCGCACAAATCTCTTATAATTTCCCCAGTTTGGATAAGATATATAGGATCTTTGCTTCAGTGCACTTGGTAAACACACAACTGTTTATTGCTTGAGCCTTTGAGCTGCACACACGCATTACACACAGCCACAAGCACGCACACACAGACAACAGCTGGACGTTTCCACCGACGACGTGCTCCTTAAGACGACTTAGCAGACTGAGAAAATGAAATGCAAATCAAATGTGCCTGTGGTTGTGCATGGTTGTGAAACTTGCATTGCAATTGCTTGGGTTCCAGCCCAAAATGTCTGCCCCCCAAAAACACCCACATTTTCCATGATTCGCAGGCATGCTCCTTATATGTGTATGTGTATACACATGTACATATATGCTGTGTGGCATACATTGTGAGGCAAACGAAAATGCTCCCAAAAACACTGACTGCTATTGGGAATGCGGAAAATGCAATTAAATTTAAGCGCTGCTGAGTGAAACTCGACTCCGGCTAATGCAATGAAAAGTCAAATGAGCTTAGTGTTTTGTAATTGTTTGGCATTATTCATCTCGTCGGTGGCCCAAGGCGATTGTGTGCTCTTGCAATGACTGTATTTTCTTTAAATATTTATTTTCTGTATTTGCACATGAACTTCTGTTTGGCGAAATAACTCAAATGATTTACCTAGAAGGGCGTAGAGCCTGTTTTATTATGACATATATTTCTAATTCAGAAAGGATATCCCAAAAACAAAGTATTTATGAACAAATTTTGAAATAATTTACACATAATCTATGCTTAAACTTCACTTTATACAAATAAGAACAAATTATTTTCACAGGCCTCAGTTTTCATTTTGAGTTATTTTGAAAAAATGTTTTTTATAAAGAATTTATTCAACAAATAAATGCATTTTTAGAAGCAGCATAATAAAACCAAAAAGAAATCGCCACAAGGATATTAGACAGAATTGCCTAAAAATGGTTTCAATCCTCTTTTCTGTTCCATTCTGTGGCCTGCAATTTATTTGGTATACCAATTTTTATAGATTTATGTCATGGCCATCGTATAACAATTGAAAGCAAGTTAAATGTTTCCATGAAATACCAATTTATAACCAGACAAGCAGGGAGATACTGGGCAAAACAGATTGGAGTCCGGCATAAAAGTGCGTTGTAATCGATCACAAAAACAATTCAACAGTTTAATGCCAGTCGAGTAACAATGCTATCCCGAAAACACGACCTATTCCCACCCTTTGTCCCCCTGTGAGTTGTATTTATATGGATGTCAGTAGCATTTATCTGTATTTAAACAAACAAACCTTGTCTTGGCCTGTCCAAGAACGTTTATTTGGTTACTTGTCATTTCGGCAATGTCCGTAGTACGTACTAAAAGGAATATTCATGTGTACCGGCCGTATTTATTTGCATTTTATTGTTGATTTTGTTCCTTTTGATTGCAAGTCGCACTCCCCCCGCCCTCACAAAATATACCCAAAATGTCACTGCAGAGACTCTGACTTATTGGCATTGCAATAAAATTGCCGTTGTAATGCCAATGAATATTTATGCCGCAAGCCATTCAATTTTGCATCGACTGACTCTACGGCTTATTTGCTATTTTGCCATTTGCCGTTTGACGATTTATGCGCACCCAAATTAATACTAAATTGATTGTGTCAGGTTTTATAATATGACTCTGTTTATATTTTTTATTTGCCGAATAATTCAACTGCTGCTTGTCAATTCGGGCATGCCCACAGTTGAGGTAAAAATAATAGCTCGTGGGGATTTTCATAAATAATATTCTTTTATATTTGCTTTTTTGTATTGGTGGGTTTTCGAAACGTATTTTTTTCCTAGAACTTTGCTTTCTGTTAGCTATATTAATTTAAATGAAATGTTGTCACAAGAAACCTAATCAGCATGTGCCTTTCTTAAATTAAAGTAATTTCTTTAAATGACGTTCTTTAAATAAATCACTTTTAATTATAAGAAACCACACTTAAAGATATTATGTTGACCGCAGGTTTATATTTCCGCGATATGCTATCTACATTTGGTCAGTTTCAAAAACGCATCAGTTACGAGCTTTTATTTATTTACTATTTACCCCGGCGTAGGCCACAAAATTGCCACCTGCGTGTTGCGTATGGAGCTCAACAAACTAATAAATTGCCAACAGCATTTCCCCCTCCCCCATGAGATTCATTCGGAGCCCAAAAAAAGTGAAAAATAAAAACACCCATAGAAGAGCCCAAACAAGTGTATGCAACATAGAATGTCATGTCACATGCTGCACAGAGGGCTTGGATTTTGGGGTGTGACATAAAAACTATGCGCCCGCATAAATCGCGAATCACAAATCGAAAATCGAATTTATTGACAGCGCGCAAATGGGCGAAATAGGCAAACAAAACAACAGAACTCGCGGTGGCAACGGGGGTATAAAAATCATTTGAAATATTGTCACAGAGTGCGACGAATGTCCGGGTGGGTGGAAAAGTGTGTGTGTTGCCTTTAAACATAACGCTCTGACAAAAATCTAATGAAATATGCAATAAAATTTGAGTGTTTGCCATTTCGCATAAGCGGCGCAAAAGCGCAATTCACAATGAGCATAGATAAATAAGGAGTATACACACACACACTCGCCAGCTTGTTGGTACATTTATTTATACGGACATGTACAAATTGCAATTGTGCTGAGCTGTGTTGCAGCAACAGACCCAGCCAGTTCATGAAATTTCAATAAATATTTTTTTCGATTTCCTAAAATAACAGACTGCAGTAAGCGAGCGGGGGGTAAAAAAATATATATGTATGGCTATCAAATTAGTTGGATTATGGCATACAATTTTGCAGATAGATAAATAGTTTACGGCAAGGTTATCTGTCAGATTTGTTTGTCTATAAATTTTCTGCGTTATTTTACTGGATATTTGTGAAATATGAATTACCATTGGCGTTCAATTTATCAGCAGGTAGGTAACTAGTGCATTTAAATACTTTTATGGGAGTTAGAAAACATTACATTTTATTAAAGAAAGCGACTTTGAAATATTATTAGGCCCAAAACTATTTCCCAAATCAGCATCCTAACCTATGTTTATGTTCATTTGCTGCCAAAAATAATTATTGCTGCATATGACACCAGGAACAGAGATATTTGGTTACAACGAATGATTAAGAGTTGTGGATAAATACCAATCGAAACGCCCCCCTTTAAAATCCCCCGTCGCAAATTAATGGGCAGCAATTTCGACAACAGCTCTCCCCGGATCCCATTGAAACCGTCCGATTGATTCGGCGAATGCCAAACTTAACGTGGCTACGTGGCGTATGCGTAATATGATTTAAGCGAAGCTAATGCACAAAGGCATTTAAATTGAAATGTGTGCATGGAGGCGCGGTTAAATGGGAAAGCGGGTATTTGCATGTGGCTGTGCAGCTCTGCATTTCAGGCATTTTCGCCATTTTGATTTATTTCCACGTACACACAGTTAAATCTTCTAATGCTAACAGAATTTTGTATATTTCTCTCTCTTCTCCCCTCCTCGTCTTTTACATGACGATGACAAAAACTAATATTTGGCAACACACTAATGCGCGGCTTCGGGTTTTGTTCGGCACTACGTGCAACATCCGACGGCGGCGACAATGGCTCCGCTTCGATAAAATAAAATACCGCCATTGCAACTCCACCGGAAATGCGCGACTAACGGAAATTGCAAAATGGCCGCCCATCCATTAGATACGTCTGACGTCGGACAAACTAAGTTTCGATCTGGTGCCCGATGTCAACAACAATGTAACGCACTCGACCACCATTAAAATCAATAGGGCCACCTCGTGGCACAGCGTGGAGTTGGACTATAAGCTGGGCGAGATCCGCTTCACGGTGGATTATCGCCACACTCTCAGCCAAATGTACGGATTGACCTTTAACATCGGCGACAAACTGATCATCGGCAGCAGCTTAAAGTCGGCAGCCATGGGTTTGGTCGGTTGCATACGAGATATTGAAATCAATGGTCATCTAATCGAACCCCGACATGTGGTTAAAACGGAGCGCGTTGTGGGAGAGGTAAGTACTGCTCGATACTAATTACCACAAAGAATAATTATCTAAAAATGTTTTTTCTGTGTATATTTGTATTTAAGAAATATTTCATTACTTTTCAAGTTCTTTTAAAAGTTGTTTCTTGGTATTTTAAATCAAAAACTATTATTTTAGGTCGCTCTGGACAATTGCAACTACATAGATCCGTGCAAAAGACCCAATACCTGTGAGCATGGGGGCAAATGCTTTGTAAAAGACGATCGTGTAACCTGTGATTGCAAACACACGGGTTACATAGGCAAAAATTGTCATTTTACCAAGTACCGAAAGACCTGCGAAGAGCTGGCACTTTTAGGATTCACCAAATCGGATGTTTACCTCATCGACATCGATGGCAATGGTGTATTTCCACCTGCCCATGTGAAATGCGATTTCCAGAGCCTTGAAAATGCCACCAAAACGATTGTGGAGCACAATCTACCCAGTCAAGTGGATGTGAGATCTGCCAGGGAAACCGACTTCAGCTTCAACATCAGATATAGGGAATTTTCGCCTCACATGCTGCAGGAACTTATCTCGCATTCGCTGTACTGCACACAGTACATCAAGTACGACTGCTACCGGGCTCAATTGGAACTTCACTCGGCCACCTGGTTCACATCCTCGGCCAAGAATCTCACCGTCGACTTTCTGGGCAACGTCAAGAGGTAAGCAATGGAATCACACCTGGCTCTTGGGGTTCCCATGGGTGGAATTTGTGATAAACGTGCTGAGCCACGTCACCGCAAACAACACAAAATTGGAGGATAGGAGCAGGGCTTCTGATACAGTGGATAACAGGGTAGAAAATGAGACTTACATAAGAAATTAGAGGTCATTAGTAAAACCATTTAAAATATTATATATTTAAAAGTTTTTAATGTCAACAGAATTTTCAATAATATGTTTGATTATCTAGTACTACAAAAGCAAGCTTTTCACGGTCATTATTACATAGCTACTTATTTATTTCGTTTAAAGGGTTATAATACTTCATTTATCTTAAATATTAATCTATAATATACCTTTCAAAGCAATTTTCCAACCCACTGTTCGTAGCTTAGCTTATGCATATGCTTGTGGATGATTTTGGCCAACCGCTGCCCACACAATTAATGTTGCAGTCTATTTGCTTAACTTGTTGTTGCACCCTGGATTATCACCGGTACCCGCCCCCTCCCCCCATTCCCCCCTGCAATTGTGTGTGCGTTCTGCTCCAGTGGACTTTATAGTACGTGCGGTAATCCAACAATATAAATCCCAAATTTCAGTGAGGGGGGAGATGAAACTCACGTTCTTCGTGCTGGCGTTTCAATTGTAAACGAAACTTAAATTAATTGCTCGCACATGCATAATATAAATGCCAGGCAGGAACCTTCGCTTAATGCTAACTGACATATTTACCCATCACACACAGATGCTGTGCTCTATTTTCCAGGGAAAACTGACTGCAACTTCACTTCACTTTCATGAGGCATCGATATACGTATTTTACAGAGGCTCAGACCACGTCTACAATTGTCAGTTGTGTGTGGTTGTACTTCGGAGCCATCTGTCCAGTTTAATTTGTCATGGACTTCGGCCCAGTGAACTGACCAAGATCTAGTGTTGGCTTAGCTCTTGAAATTTGCTTTCTTTTCTTATTTTGAGTTCCTAGCCCCAACTCTCCTCCCTTAAACCAAAGTTATATCTGCCGCATTTGTTGCCATGCATTGGAGCATAAAATTTTATGGTGCCGAAAGCTTGAGCAGCATAACCGGCTGCCAAATGCCGTTTATCCAAGGTAAACTAATGGCGAAACCCTTAAAAAAGCCAAACGAACCGAAGGACAAAACGGCGCATGAGGCAAAATACGGCCAAAATTGCAAAAGTGCAAAACAAAAGGCCTGAGTTTGGTATTTATGTCAGGCAAATATGTTTCCGCCTCAGCGCTAATAAGGTTTATGAGTGAGTCCCGGCATATCTCTTCTCGTTCCCCTTGTCCCATTCAAAATTTGTGTGCTCAGCCACCATATTGTCGAACAACTCTTTCGTTATTCCACTTATTATACCCGTTACTCGTAGAGTAAAAGGGTATATTGTATTCGTGCAAAAGTATGTAACAGCTAGAAGGAAGCGTTTCCGACCCTATAAAGTATATATATTCTTGATCAGGGTCACTAGCCGAGTCGATATAGCCATGTCCGTCTGTCCGTCTGTCCGTCTGTCTGTCCGTATGAACGCTGAGATCTCGGAAACTATAAAAGCTAGAAGATTGGCATTTTGCATGTAGGTTTTAGGAGTTCCTACGCATCGCAAGTTTATTTCAAAATGGTGCCACGCCCCCTCTGACGCCCACAAGCCTTAAGCTGTGGCCACAGTTTTGATGCTATTATGAAAATTTTAATTGATATGTATTTGTTTCGTCAATACCTATTATGGCCTAATAAAAGTTTGCCACGCCCACTCTAACGCCCAAAAACCCATTAAACGCTTAAGCCTGGCTAGCGCCTACATTTCCGCCTTTCATGGCGCCATCTAACGGATGACTTTGGAACAGCTGGCCAAGGTGCTCAACAGAGTCAACGTTAATTCTCGATAAGGATTTATATTAAAGGAAATTGCGATGGTTTTCATTTGTCAATACCGAACTATATCCCAAGAACTATGCAAATCAAATCAAGTTAGCCAAGTTGGAGGTCTGAGTCAAACAATGGCGTATGTGTGTATGTATGTAAGCATATACATATGTATGTATGTATTTACATTGTACACAGTTGCAATTGTTTAGCTGAGTAACGGGTATCTAATAGTCGAGGCACTCGACTATAGCGTTCTTTCTTGTTTTTTATATTTATTTGCAAGGGTATATTCAAGAGAGTTTGGATACTTAACAAAAAAAAGCTACATAATACCAAAAATTTACAAATATACAAAAATGATACTTTAATGACATTGAAATGGAATATTTCTGAGCCATTAGAGCCGCTTTTTAAAAATGTATGACATATAATAACTCACTTTTGTGGACCTCCATTGGTTTTATGTCTATTAAATTCATAGATTTATTTTTCTATTGTTTTTCTTATTGCTTAAAATCAACATAAATCAATATAGCAGGTATACTTTAGTCGATCTATCAGATTTCACATTCATATGCTTGTTCATTTTTTGTTCGTTACAAGTTTGCCCGGGTAATTTTTCTTGCAATGGCAGTCCTTTTTTAAAATGAATGGCTTTGAGCACACAAATTTAGTCTTTACGCCTAATTTCTTGGCATAACCTCATCCTCATGAGTTAAGTTCTCCAAAGGTTGGCCAAGTATGGAAGTTTTGGGTTGGTCGAACCCCTTTTTGACAATACATCATGCGCAGCAAAGTAGGCAACATCTGGTGGCACCAATTTCCAGTCGCTTGTTGCTGCCACACGCTCTTTGTTTTTGTTATGTTGGGCCTGCGTCACTAATTTCCGCTTTCAGTAAATCAATTCGAAAACCTTAACAGCTCCGACTTTGGTTTCGCTTTCATTTTTTTGGCACTTGTTTGTTTGCCTCCATGAATGAATGGCGTTTCGGTTGGCTACGACCGAAAAATGCAGAAAGCGAGGAACACACACACACAGTCTGGGTCAAGAAAAAAATGGGTTAACTTCTAGCTGGATTCCGGGTGGTGAGCTTGTGTTGGCCCAGACCATTTGGCCATCCATCATTTGCTCGTAGCTTGGTCTTTACTCATTCAAAATTTGACAGCATCGTTTGTTTGTTTGTGTGCAACTGTGTTGCTGTTGCTGCGGTAGCTTTGCTGCGGATCTTGCAACACGGAGACGGAAACGGAAGCAGCACATGCAGGCCCAAACCGCAGCAAACATAAGCCGGAAAAGGAGTGGCTTTCCTAGATAACAATATTTGGTTCACTGGTTACTCATTAATCTAATTAAGAAAAGACCTTTTCAGAAAGTTATAGATTTATGATCATGAGAAACTTTTAATTCAACCTGTATATAATTCGAGGTTCTTTTAAGCTGGGAACGCAAATTCTTAAGCATAACTAAAACAAAAAAACCGTTAAACAATCTAATTTCTTAGTAACCCAATCGCTTTAGCATTTAAATGGTTAATATTTGGAACAGTTTATCGAACCTCATTCAATATTGTCTGTTAGCTAATATTTCCCAAAACTCTGGGATAAAAAAAAATTTGTTCAATATTTACATCCCATTAATAAACAACCTAATACCTGCCCTTGTAATTGAACTTGATTGTACCTTAATTGCTTTGTCACTGATACATCCTCAAATTGTTTGATACCCAACGAATATTTCTGCATAAATGGCGCACCGAAAAGCCAAAAAAGAGGGAGACGGATGTGGCTCAGTCGGTCACTCAACGGGCTCGTCAAACTGCCGGCAGCTCTGCGGCTCAAATGTATGCAAATGTATGCGAATTTTTTCTAATACCTTTCACCTTTTTTTTCGGGAAACCACCCACATCCTCCCTTCAAAAAACCAACCCGAAATCCGGAACCAACTCTTCTGCAGAGGCGCCTGCCCGTGCTCCGTTAACAAGACGTGCGTGGACCCGAATCAATCATGCAACTGCGATGTGAAGGAGAACAAATGGAATTCGGATGAGGGCTACTACCAGGATCCGCAGAGCTTGGGCATTACCAATATGTACTTTCTGCAGCAGAAGGATATGGATGCCGAGGCCCAAGGTCGCATCACTCTGGGTCCGCTGGAGTGCGTCGAAACAAGTTAGTACATTCTTGACTTTGGAGTAATCTATTCTCGAACTATAAATTAGATTTTAAAAGGTATTCTTATCCAATTATACAATATATATACTAAAGGGTCACCTTTTTTTTTTTTAAATACAATCGCTTACTTTTGATAAATAAATTACAAAACCTTTTCATAAGGCCCATTATAATTCAAAATTTAAATCTAATACTTAAAATGGAGGTTTTATCAAATATTGGAGGGATTTCGAAATAGTTTAGAGAATAGTTTGAGAATAGTTTGTTCTTATTTATTTTCGGAAAATTCCCAAGATAATATTACGAAAACTATAAGATCTTAATTAGTTTGGGGTTCCATGGTATCATTATTTTCATTACTATTAATGTAAGGATGCCCATCTACTTTTCTCTGCTCTCTTTTGTTTGCATTTTCTTAATTTGATGTCACTCTATAGCTATTTACTGCATCTCCCATTAGCCATTAGCTACTAGAAAATGAATCCCCTCCTGTTCCGCCCACAGATACGCAGAAGTACGTGGTCACCTTCACCACATCGCAGTCGTACATCGAGGTGCCCGGGTGGCGGAAGGGCGACATCGCCTTCTCGTTCAGGACCACCGGCGAGAAGGCCATCCTGCTGTTCCAGCCACCCATCCGCCCCCACTACCCCTCCTTCATGGTGGCCCTGACCGGCGACGACCAGCTCACGTTCACCTTCACCCTGAGCACGGGCACCACCCGCGAACTGGTCATTAACTCGCACCGCCGGATGAACGGCGGCGAGTGGCATAAAATATGGATCGACTACAACCAGTATCATGTGCGCTTCATGATAAACACCGATTACCAGATGCTCGATTTGCTGCCCGAGGAGGAGTTCGGACCGTTCGAGGGCAGCATGTACATCGGCGGCGCTACATCGTGAGTATTTTCCAGGAGTTGTGTTACCAATAACACTGGGCAGCCCAAAATTTAATTTATTTTTATCTTTCAAATTACTTTATTTGGTTACCCTTTTCACTTACTTAAAACTTTTAGTGTATAGGTGTTAAATGGACTGCCCTTAAAAGCGGTATGATATAAATGTAACAGTGTGGAAAATAAAAAGATATTTTATTAGGCAGTAAAATTATCTAGGATGGCCGTAACTTATATAGAAAAAAATTTGGTTTCTTCGTTGCTTATAAAGTTATTTTGTTTACTCAATTTCATTGCGATCATAGCTTTAAACCACTTTTACGTTCTTTCAACACAAACCCAATCAAAAATTGGTTTTTAATTCCAAAGATTTCGGAATGAACAAACAATATTACTTTTTATTCTGAAAATAATTGCATTATTAAAAGTAGTTCGTTAAACATTTTTATTACAAATAATTTAAAAATGTTTTTCAAATAAATGTGTTGGTTCTAAAAGTATTCAGAAAATATTCTTAATGGTATATGTAAAACTGATTAAAATATGTGAACATTAAGAAAGCAAGGCAAAATTTTAAAAAGAATCTTATAATAAAGATTTTTCCTTACATCTTTTTTAGTTGTTACCCAGTGTAATCAGACATTTCTTTTTATGGCTGCTTGCATCGGTGGCAGCTGTAATGGCAGTCGACGGGAAAAGCTCTATTTCTGCCACTGATGCTGCTCCTGCCGGAGTGTCCGCTGGCAGTTGCGGTTTGTGCAATTTATTGCGGCAATTACGTTTTAATTATAAACGCGCGACTAACTGCCAAGCAGCACTAACAATGACAGTCGCGTCCGTCCGAGTGCAGGACTCCAAAGGAATCCGTCGATTCCTATACCTGCCCCGCGGGTGGTGCATGCCACGGCCCGTTGACCGACACACTTCGATTGATAATTGGGACAGCGCACTTATGAGTTAATTACGGATTGATGAAAGTCGTTGGCCACGCTCAATGGGATAGCCGATACCTTGGGGCGTAAAAATCTTAATTTTCCTTGCTTTTCTCCATTGTGTTTAAATGACCGAGACAATCTATGCATAACTATGCGCTTTTCAAGGCTTTTCATTTGCTTGTCTGCTGCCATTTTTATGGAGAATTGAAAAAGTACTTTAGGTGGAGATTGATTTTTAAGTGAGGTAATGACACTTTTTGAACTCTCGGATGGTCCAATAAAAACTTACTCAAACCGTTTTTATGATAAAATAATATTTGTATTGAGTTTCTAAAAAACTACTCATACGACAAGTAGACAACAGTACGTATGCGTGATATAACTCAAATTTGTACTCAAACATTCATTCTTTATACTTTTGGAAGAACTTTAATGAGTGTTCAAGTAAAAATTTGTAAGTAGATTTTAGGTGTCTTCTTCTATTCACTCTGAGTTATATCACTCATACGTACTGTTGCCCTCTTGTCGTATGAGTAATTTTTATGGATAATCAATATTGGACTTGAAAAATTAAAGTTCTTCCAAAAGTATAAAGACATTAAATTGCTTTAATTTTGATGTCTAAGAATGCGTAGTGTTTATAATAAAAAAAGTTAAATTTATCAGTCTTTTTTTAAGTTAACAAAATGATTAAACATGATAAAACCAAGAAATATGAAAATAATACATTCCTTTTCCGCATCTTAAAACTTCCATTCAAGGCACCACTTTAACTTTAATTGCCCTTGGCTTCAGCAAATTGATCAAACGTGTAATTTGTATGCACAAACTGCTTTCCACGTTCACTTTCATATTTCTGGAAAAATAATCCCTTTGGGGAATGGAAAGAATTGCCATAATTAAATTAACTTTTCGCTGAAAATTCATTCCAAAGTCATTATCAATAATCAAGCCACGGCGTCAAAAAGGGGAAACCTGCTGCTGCTGCTTGTGGCTTTCCGAGAATTTTTCTGTTGCGACCTCTTCCGGCTCATCCCCTTTAGGAAGTTAGTGCACTTAAAACGCGCTTATTCTTGATTGGCATAATTTATAAAGTTTTTTTTTCCCCCGGTTGCCATGGAGCAAGGACCGCTGGATGCTCGTCGTGCTCATGAGATAGATGGAGCGATGGAAAAAAGCTATCGAGGGTTCTTTGAGTGTGCTCACATGTGCAAGCTTTTCTTTTTTTTTAATTATTGAAAATGTATAAAAATCAAATTGAATATACACACATATATATATGGAGCAAGGAAAATGTGTGCTCATTGGCACTTAACCCCGAAAAATTCTGTACATCCAGAAGCACTCATAAAATTTCGATGAGCGGTAAACACGCAGAGTAATTAACGGTAAAGTGCATCCCTCAGTTACGATCCGCTTTCACTGAGCCAATTTATTCAATTTATTTATCACGGAAAAGAAAGCTCTGTGAAAACATACAAGTAATATGGAAAATGCAATATTGATGCACTTTACCCTCGCAGGCTCCTAGGGAAATTCTGACGAACGGAGGCGAAAGGCAGTGTAAGGTTGCACGTAAGCCAATAAGCGGAATCAGCGGCTGCGGCTCATAAATAAAAGAGTTAATCAACATATTGATAGGGACATGGCGAGACTTAAGCGAGACGACGAGTCGGAAAATGGGTGCGGAGTGTTAACCCATTAAGAACTTGCTAGAGAGCTTAAAATTCGTTTCACGCCACTGAGCGCATTGTTCGATTGCTGTTCAATTGGGTTAACAAACAAAAGCACACAAAGTTTGACTTTGGAAATAAAATTACTTTCATTGAGATGTTCATTCTTCGAGGGATGGCATTGAATGGTTCCCCAAAAGAGCATCATTTAATTTGGTACGCCTTTTCCAGAAAATGGCTTAATTTCACAATAAATTACATGTAATTATTGCTTTAAAATAAATTACTTTTGAGCATGTTGATATTAAAGATGGTCAAATGATTGAATTGCATTTAATAAATAAAAATAGAATGTTTCGATTCTTATATAAATATGAATTTTTAAAAATATAAATTATTTTAAAATATTTTAAATCTATCGATTCCTATCATATCCTTATATAATATTATTCCCGATATTTTCGACATTATTGCGAAAATCAAAGTATATAATTTTTATTATTATTTACTCATAAATGACTTTAAAGGAAGTTACTTGAATCGACTTTAAATTTATGAGAATAAAGTTAATCGGCTCATTTTCGCTGAGTTAACCCACTTTAAAATTACTTTTTCGCCTACCTAAGCTTTTTGGACGGCAAATGTGTCCCCTTTTTTTCAAAGTTTTTCGCCCCTAATCAATGGAAAAACTTTTCGAAATATGCTGCGAACACTTTGCAAACTTCAACGCCATTCAGTTAATGGGTTAAGCAGTGCTTTTCACACAGCTTAAATGCCGCCAAGGATGCATGGAAATTTATGCAAAGTCGGGGGCAAAAATTACAATGGCCGATGCTGCTAATGATTGTTGTAATCGGTTTTTGTGTGTGGTTCGACCGCGTTCCTCCATTCGATGTCGTGTTGTTTAGGAAGCGACAGCAGCTGCCAATCCACCAGTTCGTCCTTCTGGTCCTGGTCCTGCTGCTCCTGCTGCTCGGATGTCCGTCTCATCATTTGCATGGCCATCGATTACCACCGCACCACACGGGGCACCACATGCCGATGGGAAAAACACGGGCGACTGGCGTGCCAAATATGCGAATTATTTTCCGCGCTGCAGGAAACAGGACGACGTCCACTGGGGATCGGGGATTGGGGATCGGGCAGATAGGGGATATATATCCACGTATATAGTAGTGGCTGGGTGGTAAAATGTGTTGCTGTCGCGGCGGCCATGAATGAATGAAAAGTGCTTAATTGCTTGTGACGGCGTTAAATAAATTCTTAATTGCTTCGCACTTTGCGCGTTTGCAACGTTAATAGGATTTCCGTCGCCTGCATGTCGCCAGGATATGCACATCGCCTGCTACAACTCCTGTTCCACCAGCTCCTGCTCCTCCTGGCCGAAAAACTTCTTTCCTTTTGCGTTTTATTGCCGTTAATTTCCGCGGAATTTCGTCGTTCGTCGTCCTTTTTTTATTTTTTGCCTTTCAGCTTTGCCGTTGCAGCCCTTGCGAACTCGCGTTTTGGCCAGCCGCCGTACAAATCCTTTTAGCCAAGTGTCATCCAGGCCAGAGCAGCCGGCGGCACATCATTTGCAAGGCAAAGCGCTAAATTTCATTTTGCATACGCGTGCCACACGCGTGTCCTCCCACGCGTCCTCGTTACAACGTTACTGCACCCAAAAAAAATATGTTTCCAATAAATAAATGTCTGAGTAACAGGGAAATACAGTGTCAGTAAATATTTAGTTATTTTTTCTAAGAGATTTTACAAAAGGAATGAAATGTGATGGCTTTATAAAATTTAATAGAAACCAAATGGGGTAATTATCTAAATAAATAATTTATATATTTTTAGAAGATGTATTTTTTTATACATTAATTTTTCTTAGTATTAGCTTTTATAGTTACACATTACACATTCATAAAAAAGAAATATAATTTCCCTCCTTCTGATTATTTCTATAAAAACCTTATTTTAAAACCTTGAAGTACTAAATTTCTTCATAATTTTATTTTGTTTCATAAGACTTAGGTTTTTTATTCCTGAAAAATTGCAAAGGAAATATTTATTGATAGCTGCTTCCATTTTCCCCAGTGCACTTGTCTATGTATGCAAGAACCGTGTGTGTGGCTGTTGACGAAAAAAAAAAAATTAAAAATGCATTTGTGACATGCTCGGAAAAAGAAATGCAGCGCACGTTGCAAAAACTAATGACTTAATAGCTCGCTTGTGGCAAGGACACCGCCGCACTAAAGCTAAATGTGGGTGAAGTGCACTCGGTAAATGCAAATCGCGAATTTGGAGCTGCTCACTGACCGATTATAGCCAATTCGGTGACGGCCGTCGATAAGTTTGTCGCTTAAATAACGATTACGCAACGCTTGGCAAACAATTACAAGGAAAAGCGAAAGGAAAGCGAAAATAAATTGTAATAAATTCAAGAAGAGGCACACGACAAACCCCAAAAACCGAGTTGAGGGACTTTTTTTTTGGGAAGAATTTTAATTTCACTTCATGACAACACTTGGGGACTTTGGATCCTTTTGCCGACTTCTGGTGCCAAAGTGGATCAGGGGGTGGGGGGAGCTTGGGTGGGTGGAATGTCTCGTAATGAAATTTACATAATTTAGAAAGACATTTGAGCAACTTTCTTTTGCCGCGGTACGCGTATAAACAAGACATTTCCGCCACTTTAATTTTCAAAAGCTTACACTTGAGTTTTTATTGGCCAATTCATTGTTGGCAGTGGTGAGAAAGGGGGCGGGGGTGGAAACAGAAGCTAAAAGTGCAGGGGAAAAACTTGCAAATTGCGAAAAATAAAAAGGAAATCGCTGAGAAGAAAATGCAGGAAAATATAGAGTTTAAAGTTAACAGCTAAGAAGTTGAGATGCCCTTTTGTAACTTTAAATTCAACGTGAGTAAAAGCACTTGTAATATTTATAAGGGATTCCTGCTTATTAATTTTTTTCTTGTTTAAAACTAAGTACATTTTAATATAGTTCCTTTAAACCCTTTATTTTAGTAACCAAAAAATAATATAATAATTATAATTAAGGTAATATTTGTTCTTTAAGCGTTCAATTCAAATAAAGTAGGTTTGAAATAGGTTTGATTTGCTGATGATCCCATCTTTAACATCGCAAACTTATACCCCTTTAAAAGATAAAAAGAAAGTGGGAAGTTGAAAAACTTTTGCCACAGCTGTCCGCTCGATTCGCCGTCAGCATTTGTTTTATAGAGGGTGTCACTTCGACTTTCAGCTGGGCAAGTTTAAAACTCAAATGCGTCGCATACGATTGAACGGGTCACAATTTATTTGCATAAAGTCAGTGACGGACTGGGCAAAGACATGGAATCCAGAATCCAGGACACAGGACGTGTGACCCGATGATGTTTTATGTTTGTCTAAGTGGGCGATATCGGTGGGGGAAACTGAAGCTTAAGCCAAAGTGGCCAAGTTATTGAATAGTAACGACAAGTCATAATATAAAGTAATCCTTAGCTGACTTTTCCGTTTTTTTTCCATATTTTTTTTCCACCTCCACAGCGACCTGCTGAAGAAGCTGTCAGTTAAAGCCGGCCTTATTGGCTGCTTCCGTGGCCTGGTGGTCAACGGCGAGATTCTCGACATCTACAGCTACATGTCGGTGCATCTGTCGGAGATTATCAAGGACTGCAAGCCATCCTGTGTGCCATCGCCCTGTCGGAATGGAGCCCAATGCAAGGAGCTCTGGAGCAGCTTCAAGTGCGTCTGCAACAATCCCTGGGCACATATCGGCGAGTTCTGCGAGACAAGTGAGTGCAAGGGGGAAAATATATGCTCTTATATCATGAAATGTTCTTGAATAAAGTTATTTCTGCCAGAAGAACGTTGAATATGATGATAATATAATGGATTAACAAGTCACTTATTAAGATAAACTTCTCTCTTCTTATTTAATGTCTTTCACAATGTTGACTTATCAAACATAAATTTAATTGTGTGCACCATTAGTTTAAGTGTTTTGTGCTAGTAGTTTGGCAAAGCAAATAAACTTATTTGTTCATTAAAAATACAGGTAGAAAAAAATTACAAAATCTGAACTAAGAAATAAAAATAATATATATAATAATAATAATGATATTTAAAAATAGATTAAAAATACATTGACCAAACTACTTACACACAATTTGTATTCATTTTATGAATTACCTGAAATAAGATTGTTTAATCATTCTTAAATATTATTAAGGATAATCAATGGAATCCCCTTTCTTCCGCAGACATTAACGAAAAGGCTCTGACCTTCATCAACCGAGAATCCTTCCTGATGCGAAATTATTTAAGTGTAGGAGCTACGCCTGCTATCCTTATGCATGGAATGAATGACGAACGTGATATCCTGAAGGGGATCCTCAACCAAGATCTACTGATCAATCTGCGAACCTACGACACTAATGCTCTGGTATTATATGCCAACGATCACTACAATAACTTTGTGCACCTGTACATTAGCATTAACCGGGAGATTGTATTCCTGTATAATTATGGTGATGAAATTGTGAATCTCACTCTACTGGATGATACATTGATGGCTTCTTTGAAAAGCATTCAAGTGGCAATAGTTCGAGGAGAGCAGGAAACTAGAATGCATGTGAATCAGCGAAGTGTAAGCATCGATAGGGGAACCCTACTCTTAGATGAGTATGCCAACAAACCTTGGAGCAATCCGGAAAAAGGTAAGTCGAAGTCACCTGGTTTTATTTGCAACATGAAAACAAATAACCAAATCCTGAAAAAAAGATAATGTGTTAACTAATGAGTTTAACCAAATTAAAACCAGAAACAAAACACATTTTTCGAATTTCACATATTGTTTAAATTTATTTCTATTAGAAACAATTAGACAGTGGTCAAGTCACGCTTAATTCTATATTTACATTTATATTTTGTAGTCTTTTTTCGATATCATGTTTTATGAATTTATATGGAGAACCCTTGATTAATACTATTTTTGAAGACCCAATGATTCCCATCCCCTAATCTACTTTCGTCACTTCCAGCGACTGCCCATTTTAGAGGTTTTACTATGAGCATTACTGCTACTATTTTGATGTTGTTCATCTTGGGCGGCCAATTCCTCATCGATGAGCAGTTCGAAGTTACCCAAAGCATCTGCACTGGGAACTTTATTCCAGCGGACATCGGGCACTCCATCAGGAGGCAAAACCACCGATAATATATTATCAATCAGCTTGTATTTCAGTATCCTATCGTTTACAGTGGTGGAAGTAAGCGAAGGTGAGGCATTGACCTCCACTAGCCAGGGTTTCAAGGCATTGTCTATTATGATGTCGTAACCATAGCACTCGAAACAATGTCTGTCACTGGCCATCACAGGAGCCACAGCTCTTAGGGAATGCACTATAAGCCAGGATATCGCACCAAACAATCGATCCGTAACCTCTTTTCCTCGGGTTCCTTCCAAATACAAAGCCAGATTTTGCACAGACCACTTGCCACCATGTAGCGTATTATATTCGCCACCATGTTTCTGAACACTCACATTGGTCAGGTGTACGTACATATTATCCAATTCCGTAACACTCGTATCATATTTTACAGTACAAAATCGACAGAAACCCTGCTTAAATAAGTAGGCTTTCAAGGGTCTAAATGAAGCCACTAGAACATACAGACGAAGATCAAACTTTTTGCCACCAATCAGCAGGGGATTGTCTATATATCTCGAGATCACATACGACTCCTTAGCTATTTGTGGATGAAATGGACCCTTAGCCTCCCTCGACCACTTCTTGAGTTTGGATAGCTTGTTGATCAGGAATATTCCCGCTCCTTGGGACTTTCCACAGGGTTTCATGATCCAAGTGCTCAACGGAAATTTTCGATACTCCTCCACGAACATATTATAATCCGCTGGTAATACGAATGTGGTGGGCACAAAATCCAGATACAAATACCTAGTGCCACTGGAGTTATTCGATTCCGTTTTCTCAGCCAGGGGATTACCATCCCTTTCGAGATCCTTGCGATAACGTTTGATGTTTTTCACCAGCAAATCCTTGCGGGATAGTTCGTAGTGATTGGGAAAGTGATTGATCATCTGGTTGTCATGCATCCTATATCCACTGTCCACGCTGAAAATGTTGCGACAGGTTTGCACCCCAGCCCAGTAGAAATGCCAATCATCGTCACCGTTCACCTGATGCCAACCGCGTTTTTCGAAATTGTTGACCAAAACCGATTTGTCCAGATCCGTGCAGAAGCCAATTTTCAGTTTATCATGTCCCTGGGCACCGCCGCCACCACCGCTATTTGCACCACCATTTGAGGGGCCATTGGCCGCCGATTGATTTGCACCGCCCGCTTGACGACCGTACATGATGGTACCGCCCGTGTTGGTGAGTGTACCGCTCGAGCGGACCGTCGGCTGCAGACTGTCGGTCCGGGTCCACAGGCTCATGTCCCACACAACGGCCATGTTGTGTTGCCAACGCTCCAAGTTATTGAACCAACAAAGCCAAAATTTATTCACAACCCCTTTTGGTGGCGGTTTATTTTTCGGGGGGCGGGAATGGTTGCCAAGCGGCTGCGCTTCCTTTTTTTTTTTTATAAAGTTTATTTTTTTCTACCAAGGGGATAGTAGCGTTGCACCAAAATTTTCAAATAGTTTAGCAAGTTAAGCTGCAAAAATGCCAAAAATTTCCACTCTCACAAAATCTGTGCGCACTGTGTGATGGCCAAATTATGTGCACTTGAATTTTTTCTCTGCAGTTTTTCTCCTTTTTTTTTTAGCGAACTGTGTGTGTTTGAGAATGGCCGTTAAACTCGGTAGAAAATTGTTGGAAAATAAACGCCATGCGAATGGATAAAGTTTGGCTCTATGGCATAAAAACAACGAGTTGCTTTGTAGTTTGTTGATATTTGAAAACGTTCAAAGTTTTTATTTCGCTTTGCTCACTCAATATGTAAATTGAACGGCATTTCAATAGTAGATAGTATGCGGAAATTGTTGTTAAACGAGGGAAATGCATATAGAGTTGATTATGATCTGAACGGATTTTTTGTAAAACTGTCTGTAAATGGAAATATTTGAACAAATACAAATCGGGTTATTTGTACGGTAGCTTACATTTTGTATTTTATAACAGATTAATAAACGCGTTTGCTAAGGAATTTCAATTCACAATTTAATTATTAGCCTTATCCAAGTTTTAAGCGGAACGAGTTGGCACTTATGATTCCCCAAAATCAGATTGCATAAATGTTAGCAGGGAAAACTAAATCGATCATAACTAAACATCATAAACATAAGTAGAACATTTCCAAAATCCTTTCCACTCAACCAACCTTCAATTACACTAGTTGTATTCGATTTGGCAACAGTATTTCCCTACGACTACACTGCAAAGCCCCATCGTAATTCACCTTGCAATTGAATTTAATGGAAAAGTTCAGTCCATGGAGCTCAACTTGGCAATTGGCAAAAGGGTAAAATCAATCAAATTGCCCGTAACTCAATGCCAGCGATTTGCCAGTAAAATCAATCATAATTACTCCACGTTGCCCCGAAATATGGTTGAAGGATTGCGCTTGAAAATGCATTTTGGGCAAATGAGAATGCGATTTCGTCAATACTTTGCACAGAATAACGCATAAGCACTTTTGTAATTAAATGCGTTAACCAGATAGACTGGACGGCAGTAAAGCCTAGATTGTGGCAATCCAGCCATCGGATCGTTCTGTTTCAATTCAGTTTAGTTTGGCGCGTCCTGCTGGCTGGCAAACATTTCAATTAGACAAACTTAAACTCGAAATTGATGGGCCTAAACCTCAAAAGGCCGGGCTTGGTCTGCCCGAGTCTGGATCCGGGTCTGGGTCGGGGTCTGTGTCCGGCAGGCCGGCTAAAACCCGAAATGCCACGGCAATGAAGGCTCATTTCCGCACACACACAAACATACACACACGCTCATATAAAGCAAACTGAACCAATATGTACACCTTCAAAAACACTGACTATTTCCTAAGCTTTCTATAAATTCTAATCGATAATAGATACACAAGTTGTGAAGTGTAATTTATTTTATATCAAAATACTTATAAGCTTATCTAAAAATTGTAAATTGATTAAAAATGTATGATTTGTAAATTCATTAAATGGCTTACCAATTCAGTATACCTTAATAAATAAAAAAAATGGGATATCCTTACATGGGTTTTAAGCTATTAAAGTAATAACATTTTTATAAATTCAGACTTTATTAATCATAAAATAAAAAAAAGTTCTAGCAATAATAAAAAAAATTCTATTTTCAAATATTTAATTAAATGTTTCTATTATAACAAACGCTATAACATTTCTTTAAATTTCACAGAGACATCCTGCACACCTAAGATTTTTTGCCATAAATATTATATATTTGTATAATAAATTACACAATATTTATTTGGCATACGAATATTAATTGTTATGTTTAATGGAAAAGAAATTGGTTTTATGTTATAACTTATTTACTTTTAAAATAAAACTACGCACAATAGTTTGATTTTAGCTACTATTTTAGTGTATATCGTAGCCCAAATCACCCACACTCTGCCCAAAACCACCCATTCTCATTTGATTTTGTTTATTTGCAGAGGTTCTGTCGCCGCACCGCCCCCCTGCCCCGCCCACCGAGTACTTCCAGTTCCACGTGGGCGGCTATGATCCGGCGAATTTGCTGCGCCCCAATGTGGATGCACCCACCCTCGAAGGTTATATTGGTTGTGTGCGAGGCCTGAAAATCGGAACGCAGTTGATCGACTTGGCGGATATCAATGAAAGGAATATAGCGCCCAGTAAGTAGGCAGTATAAATCAATTTTCACTGAGTGCAATTTTCGGTCGGCCCTAATGCCATTGGCTAGTGTGGCTCCACCGGATTTCGATACTTCTGCTCCTGCTCCTGCTACGAGGATTCTAATTCATAGGCCACCAAATCGACTCTTCACTGCGTCTGCGGTTGTGGTTGCTTCTGCGGTTTGCTGCCTGGCTAACTTAATATGCATGCAATTTCCGTTAAGTGCTGGGGACTCCTGCGAAAATGGAGAGATGGCCAACAGGCCACTTTGGGGCCGCGCCAAGATTAATGCCATTGCGATAAGCTGCAGGCCCACATGGCGTATGATTTATGCGGCCACGTATCGCGGAAATTGCAAGCTGACTTTGATGCGATTAAACGCTGCCGCAGTCAATGTAAACACTTTGAAGAGGCAATCCTTTCTATACAGATTCGTTATTGCCAATTGAAAGCATTCGCCTTGAAGGGGCAATATGCTTTGGGGTACTTAGATTGAAACGCCTCAAAATGGCAAATTATTAATGCTAACATTTTGTAAAGTAAAGGAAATTTCAATAGAAATATATAGAAACTATCTGTGTAAAATCATAATATATTATAAAAAGTAAATCTATAGAAATTACAAAAAAAATGTTAAAGGTGCCCTTAAGAAAAGACAACTTAGTATAACAATCGATTTAACTAAAAATGTTTCCCTTTTTTATCAAATGAAGTTTTTCTGTTTCCATTTACTATAGTTTACTTACAATTTCAGAAATTTTAAGAAACACTAACTCGGTGATTCTTTTATTTTAATTATAAAATTTTCTTATATTTTTCTTCAAGAACTTCTTGGATCTTTTTCCTTAATACTTCGATTAAATCCCTTTAATTCCAGCCCAGGAAGGTGTCCTGCCCAACTGCCAGATCAAGTGCGATGCGGAGCCGTGCAAGAACGGCGGCACCTGCAAGGAGCACTTCGCGGAGCAGCTCTCCACCTGCGATTGCGAGCACACCAGTTTCCTGGGTGAATTTTGCTCCGAGGAAAAGGGAGCTGACTTCAGTGGCGAATCGACGTTGCAGCGCAAATTCGATCTGCTGCCCGGTACAGGTCGCGTTGACTATGTGCGCCTGCAGCTGGCCTTCTCGTCCTTCGACCTGCGACGGGCCAATCGCATAATGCTGCTGATGCAAACGGAGGCGGAGCGGAGCTACTACCTCCTGCTGGCCATCACCTCCGATGGCTACCTGCAGCTGGAGGAGGATCGAGACAATGGGCGAACGGTTGGCGCCCGGATCGATCGGAATTTCCTGAACAGCGCCAGGCATTCGGTGTACTACGTGCGAAATGGCACCCAATCGCAGCTCTTCATTGATCGTGAGCAGGTGCCCCTCACCGAATTCGCCGCACGTGTCCTTACAACCAGCGGCGATGCGGGCTCGAATCGCGTCCAGATCGGTGGCATCAACAGCACGGACTCGCGGTTCGCCGTCTTCAAGAGCTACAGCGGCTGCCTGTCGAGTGAGTGTCGTAAATTTTATCCCGGTCCTCCATTAATTTATTTTCGGTCTCATCAACTGACATACCCCTGCACTCCCTTCACTCAGAAAAAAAAGTTAGTAGGGGCTGTGATAATATCCAAAATAAAGTACACAAGACAGAAAACTTGACTTCACAAGGAAAATGTTTTCAAGGATTTTTAGTCTTTTAAGTGGCCACTCTTTAAAGAGTGTTTTCTTTGTAATTCAGAATATTCAAAAACTATATAAGAATGGAGACTATATTTGTCTGTTTTTTTTTACTTTCTAGGGACAAGAGTAAAATGAGTAAATTCTATATCATATTTCTAACAAAATTCTGTCCTTAGAGTAAAATAAGAAATCAGGTTAAAGGCTAAGAATTCCTCTCAGTGTGTCCTCTGCTTAACTGCTGTAACTTTATGAACTCACTGAGCTGAGCGCTCAAAATTCAGGGTAAGGGGGGAGATAGTGCTCGCCGGGGGGCTAGAGGAAAACTGCTTCACATTGTTGACCAAAAAATTAAATTTATTCGCTGCCATAAAAAGTCATTTCCGTGGCCGTGGCGTCGTTGCCATAAATTCTGTCAGTTTTTGCTCTCAAGATTTACAGTGGCTCATATTTAAATTGCTGCTTTGCTGCCACTCCAAACCGCAGCACAGTGTCCAACACTTTGATTAAAAATTCAACCCAGCAACCCACCAATCTCTCCTCTACCCAACCGCTCATAAAACAGATGTTCAGCCAACCACGCCCACACCACATGTGGGCGGGGCTGTTAAACTTCCTTGATCATCCCCTTAAAGAGGCATCGAAGGATAATGCGATAGTTTTGGTCATTTACAGTGGGCACAGTGGGGCAATGTATCCAAAAATACTTAAATTATTTTTTTTAGTTAAATGAAATATTATTAGCAGAAAACCTTTTAATATATTCATTTTTGGTGAACCATTTCTAAATAAATGAATGTTTTAGATACAAAATAATGCGATAGTTTTGGTCATTTACAGCGGACACAGTGGGGCAATATATCCAAAAATAATAAAATTAATTTTTTTAGTTAAATGAAATATTATTAGCAGAAAATCGTTTAATATATTCATTTTTGGTCAACCATTTCTAAATAAATGAGTGTTTTAGATACCATATTTAATATTCAAAGTCCACTATCAAATTGGCATACCAAGAACTAAGTCACTAGCTTAATTATCATCTGAACACACTAGAAATTCCATTAATTTGCCAATTTAGGGTAGCACTCCCCCAAAATACACAATCAAGGAGCGTCAGTGGCGTTGTGGGAGTTTACCGATAGGCATTAAAAATGTTATTGCTAATTTCGGGACGGGCATCAAACACGCACGAACGACTTGCCACGGGTCCTCCTCGAACGGAAGCAAAGTCAAAGTCAGAGTCAGTCGAGCCCAACCCACCGAGTCGAGAAGGCAAACGCAATTCCAATTTCCACTCCGCCATCCACACACATTTGCATTTCAATTTGAATTAATGACCAATACTAATGAAAATTTCAACCCAACCCCCCACCCCATCCCCAATTCATCCGCCGCAAATTGGGTAAACCAACCGCCCATCGGTAGACATCTATATACAGGTGAACGGGCACGTTATGAAGCCACTCGAGGAGTACATGCTATTCACAAAGTCCACCGCCGACAACATTACGGTCATCAATCCTCAGGGAGTGCGGAGCGCCCAGTGCAACGCCAAATTCGATGTGAGCGAGCAGCCCACGCAGGAGCCCATGGTCAACGTCAGCATGGTGGGTAGCACACTGCGAAAAATATGGGATACTTGTTTTTACACTTTACAATTTATGAGTCAAAACAAAAAATACAAACTCTTTAAATCAGTTTTTTAGGGGGTTAGTAAAAGTTAGTCTTGAAATAATTTAAGATAAAAATAAAACTGACAAAAAATCGACCCAAAAGCTTAAACGCAGATGTTTAAAGAATTAGATCAAAATTATTTAGAAGTACGTCACTTTAAAATCGGATATCTGTAAGAAAAGTTTTAAGCCTAGAAATGCACTTTTCCACTATTCTAAATTTAGAAATGATTCAAATCTGGTCTCTGTAAGAACAATTATGGGCTTAAAAGTTCAGTTTATAAATACACTTCTGCAAAGCCATTTTTTGAAAATATGGATAGGGGTTACCTCGTAAAATTGACGAAAAATCGAGCAAAAAACCAAACCAAGATGAGGATACAGATTTTCGGAAAATTAAACCACAAATATTTCGGGGTATGCCACTTTGAAATCGGATGTCTGTAAGAAAAGTTATGGGCTTAGAAGTGCAGATTTTTGTTTTCTTTTTGGCAAGCCATTTTTCGAAAATTTGGAAAGGGGTTACCTCGTAAAAATGACGAAAAATCGAGCCAAAAATACAAACTCATATGAGTATACAGATTTTTAAAGAATTAAAGCAGAATCAATTAGAGGTATGCCACTTTGAAATCGGATGTCTGTAAGAAAAGTTGTGGGCTTAGAAGTCCAGCTTTTTCACACTTTTCTCCAAAAGCATTTTTTCAAAAATTTTCATTAAAATTACGAAAAAAAAGTAATTTCAAATTAAGACTTAAAATCAGAAAGTACATTTTTGTCAGTGCAAAGAAAGGATGCCTGCTAGGGGCTTCGGGAATCGGATTATCCGAGGCAGCCAGGCGACAAATTGTGTTAATGAATGCCCTCTACCTGTGTGCCGCAGATACCGGAGCCATGGGTGGAGGAGCCGCCGGCCCGCGTCCCCTACGTCCCGAGATTCGTGTACGACGAGGACAAGCAGGAGGACTCCACGCAGGTCGTCTTCCTCACGCTGACCACCGTCTTCGTCATCATCGTGATCTGCTGCCTGCTGGAGGTGTATCGCAGCCACTTGGCCTACAAGAAGCGCATCGAACGCGAGACGGACGAGGACATCATTTGGTCCAAGGAGCAGGCAACCAAGATGCACGAGTCGCCAGGTGTTAAGGCCGGCCTCCTGGGCGGAGTGACGGCGGGATCGGGGAACGGCCTTCCGCCATATACCTACAAGGCGGTAAGTAATGGCCCAGCCGACAATAATGTTTTATTAACTCCCTTTAAAATGCACTGGGAAAAAAGACAATTTTCAAAAACAAACTTTTTATTTTAATATACATGAATTTGATACCATTTTCTGTTAGTTATAAATAACTTCATTTAAAAGTGCAGAACAAGATTTAATAACAAATAAAGCTATTTTGAAGATTCTATAATCAATAAATTATATTTTTTAGTTTTAAAATATATGAATGATCCATTTTAAAAAAACAGTTGAACTTAAACCGTTTTATAGATAATATAAAAATAAAATAAAATAAAATATTTGATCCTATTCTTTTTTTCTTTTTGAATATTTAGAGAAATATATTTAAAAATTTATTTTTATCAAAGTAAAAAATATTTGCTATTTAATTTTCTCAAATAACTTGTGCAACAGTGAAAATATTATTATTTTTATTTCAATACTTCTACATCTTACGAATAAAATAAATCCAAATATAAAATTTCCTTTTTTTGTGTGAGTCTCAGCTGCCGCAGGAAGACAAAAAGCCGGGCAATGGTGCCCCCTTGGTGGGCATATTGAAAAACGGCAGTGCCACGCCCTCCCAACCTGGCACGCCCACCGCCATGTCCAAAAACGGGGACATTACCTCGCGCATCGAGGAGGAGGAAGAGGAGGAGGATGAGGCGCCGGTGGAGAAAACAGCCGAAAAAAGCAGCGAGCAAGAGGAGCCTCAAAAGGACACACCTGCCACCGAAGTGAAGGAGTCGCAGGCTCAGCCAGCTGAGCAGATTACGACGGACACCACTGATTCCTCTGCCACAGCCAATGGTGCGTCCATATAAATCACTCAAAATCCCACAAAATATGAACAATTTATAATTGGCTTTTGCGCCGCTGACACTGAAAACAAAATCAGTATGTGAAGTTTAAGTTTTCATATTCTGTTTAGTCTATGAAACTTAAAATAATTTAAATCTGATTTAAAAGTATTCTTGGTTATGCTAAAAAAATAGTTTATATATTATATATATTTAAATATTAAAACAAATAATATCTTAATGAATTGCGTAGTTCTTAAAAATATTATATAAGGAGTACATTTTTTTCAGTTTTTTAATTAATATCAAATATTATATGTGGTAAAAAATGAATTTAATTTTAATTTTTTTTCTGTGCAGCTTCCAAGGATCCGGAGGCGAAAGCAGAGCCCTCAGAGCCATCATCTCAGTTGCCCGCCGCCCAAAACGGACAGCTGCCCCAAAATGAACAGGTGGCTGCGGGGGATGAGGGGCAGGTGCAGGTGCAGGTGCAGGTGCCAAGTCTACCGGTAAGCAGAGGACCCCAACCCAGTGTAAACCTTATCAGAGTGGCGCCAATAGCCACAATCAGCGAGACCAATTTGCATGCGTTGGGCTGAGAGGCACGGCCTTGGCATTGGCATGTAAATAACACCCAAAGCCACTCATCCATCCAAGAACACAACATATACACACAACCACACACCATAAGTCAAGTGGAAGAGCTTGTCATTACATAACGAAAGTAAATGGCCTGCAAATACATAGGCATACAGCTGTAGGGCATGAAAGTGCATCATTTACAATTGCAATCGCAAGGACATCCCCGAAAACAAACACACATATTCATGTACTAATATTTGGACAGTCAACGGGGACATTAGTAGTCAGATTGGATAAACAAACGTTATAATGTCAAGTACAATCAGGGTTACACACGATCGGGAATCAACTGTAATTGCAACTCAAGGGATTTACTTACAGTACATCGAGTATTACTAACAATGCAATATTGCCAATACAATAACATCTAGTGTACTTATTTTTTTCCTTTGAAAATAGTTTTAATTGGTTTGTTACTATATACATAAGTTAAGAAATTTTTTAATCAAGTATACATTTTAATTTTAACTCCCCATTTATACAATGTTACTTTAAAATTTTATAATTTATTCCTTGTAAATATACTCTGATTTTTGAATAAAATCATTAATTGGCTGCCATTTTCAATTCAATGACCCCTTAACTTAAAAACGTTTTTTAAGGTTATTTTATTGATAAACATATATTGGAATTTCAATTAAAACTCAAGGGGGTTATCACAAAGCCACTTAAGAATTAAATATTAATAACGATGTATTTTTTTGGCTTGTTTGTTATTACAAATGAAGTTGTATCTGCGCAATTAGAGTCCAATGTTCTTTATTATGGTAATTGAAATCTATTATTTACTCACTGATGTAAACAAATTTAGATTAATTTCACTGAAGCTCTATTTTTTAAATATTTTAATCAAAAAAAAATTGGGTTAATGAATAAGTAATCATAGTTTTGTCTAAACAAACACGACAACCTTCTATTTTAACAAATATTCTTAAAATATATAGCATGACCCTAATGTTTTAAATATATTCTTAATGACGTTTTAAGTTGTTTACTTCGAATGTCTGCATGTGTATGCGAGCGTTGTGTTGTCTCTTTTGCACACTGCCTGGCGGCCATCATAAACTTGGGAAAATGTTCCGTTTAATTAAATTGCATTTAATTGAATTTAACTAAATAAACAAAACTTGGGAAATATTTCCCCCATTTTCCGTGTGCATATTTGAATAGCAACAAACATTTTCAGATGTATTTTAAAAATATTTAATCACAATATAATGGTAAAATACACACCCGTGCGTAAGAGAATGTGTTTTTGTGCGTGTCCTTTTAATTGTTGATATTAAATGCGCTTATGGTGTGACTGTTTAATTAAATTTAACACAAACCAACTGAGAACAAAAAAAAAGACGTGGAAAAGGGGAAAACTATTGGCAATTGGCTTATCGCAACGAAATTGGTCAGGCCAATAGGTATTGAACGGAACAATGCTTTTGCCAATCGAGTCAATTCAATTATTTCTCAATTATTGTATAAGCCGATTAACGGCACTATCAAGTTGAATGAATTAAATGCAGCGAAGGTGATTGACAAAGTCGAGCCCCAAAAAATATGCTATAATTTGTGTACAACAGTTGATTATTTCGATGAAATAAAAGAAAAAATTAATTTTATTTGCTTTGGCACTGTACAATTTATTGGGACAGTATTTTAGGGTTTTACTAACTTCCAAATGTTGACAGGATGCTTTTAAATTAAAAGCTGTTTAAAGTATTTTAATTTTTTGTAAGAACTTGGTTCAAGAATGTCTTAAGATTTAATGTTACCTAATTAATTTTGTATTTCTAAGAACCTCAACCAACTCTTGAACCCAAAAGAAAATACGTATTTTTTTAACATTTAATGTCTGTAAGAATGACCCTAGAATCTTAACTACTTGATAGTTTTTACATCCCTTTGAAAGTTTCCGATTTCTATGTGAGTGTGTGGTTTTTCATGTCTTTTCCTCCTTCGTTTTCTTTGTATATTGGCCAATTCCTTTTCCTTTGTTAGCCGGGGCAAAAAGCATTAAAAAAATATAACCTTTTGCTTGGTTGTTGTGGCCAGGACAATTTCTTAAGCGGCATCAATGCAATTTCTTGCCAGCGGCAGTCGCTCCTCCTTTGGTTTTTGCAGCCAAGCCAATTGTCTAAAATGTTATTTAATAGAAGAAAAGCTCTGGCCAGCACAAAAGTTAAAATACCTTCGAACAAAAAGAAATTGAACTGCATTTGGGGGGATGCGAGTGCTCTGCCTCCTCTACTTCTTTGTTAAAGGACATTTGCCAAATGAATATGCGTTGAAGAAAATCTGGGAAATCCCTGCAAGAAAAACTGCCTTTTTGAAATGAACTTTGGACGAAGAATAACAATTGTTGCAGGCCACAATTTATGGGAGCATGATGGGAAAGTCGGTCTTCTTGCTTATCAAGTGCCTGTCCATGATTTATATAGATTGTATATGCATGGCGGTGACCAGAAACTCTTTTGGCCAGAAAACTTAAGACAAAACCTTCAACTAAGCAACAAACGCGGCACGAACTTTCAACTTTTGCATCGACTTTTCGGCACGCCCAAAAACAAACTTCCACCGAAGTACGAACTCCCTTTTCCGTCGCCCCGATTTCTGAAGGGGAAATTGGAAAAGCAAAATATTGAACTTATTGGCTTTCATGTAGTTTTAGCTGGAAAAGTGTCTATCGAGGGGGTCGCATGTTACTTTTGAGCTTACTTAGCATGTACTTTGTCTGAGCTTAAGCTGCAGCGAAATTGAATTTTCCCGGCATTTTCTCGAGGCCAATCGCTGCACATTCAAATCTGGCGATGAATTTTCCCACTTTTTTTTTTTTTGTTAGTTCCATGGCGCTTTGGTGACACCCGAAAAATGGCGAAAGTTGTGCAGAGTGCAAAGTGCGTGCGGCATTGTCTACCCACCACCCAACTTGGCCCACATTTTCCCGCCATTTCCCCGCCGCTTTCCACATTTCCACTTGACTTGCGGCGTCTACGCGAGCCTGATTGCAAAGCAACCGAAATTGAAGCGCACTCAAAACTTTTTTCCTGCCTCAAAATCAAAAAGTTTCGCTTCACAAAGAGTGGGAGTTGGCTGGCTGCTCCTTTCAAGGGGTTAATACAGTGGCTGATCGGTAGGGAAACCTCATTTTAAAACGGGGTTTCTGGGGAAATAACTTTGCAGTCAAAAATTAATTCGATTAATTATGCCCTTTAATTGTTGGACTTTCAAGAGATTAATTAATGGTTAGCTGGCTTATATTTCACAGTAATTAGATTACTTAAAAATGTTTTTAGTATTACTTTTATTACTCATGATTAACTTACAACAATATATCATAATAAATTATTTAACAAAAATAAATAATAATCTGAAAGATATTTTATTTTGTTTGATTCTTGTCTTAAATATTTTTTAGTATACTGCATAAGTTAGTTTTATCTATTTTTTTTATCTAATTATTTATTTAATATCAATTTGATGTCCAAAAGTTTTGGTATTTCTTAGTTTACTGTAGTTGAAAATACATTTTTGCGAATCGTCTTCTAAACATACTTTTCCAAACTGTCTATTTCCCATTTTATTTTCAATTTATTCATTAATAATCTTTTATATCCGAAAGTTTTGGTAGTTTACTGTAGTGAAAGTCGTAGGACGTGGCTGCATCTTTTGTTTGAGCAGCACCAAAAAGTGCAAGTGCCTCAGCTGGTGGGTATTTTCTGCTCGTGCTGCTGATTCTACTGAGGTTGCTCCTGTCATGCATGCCAAGTTTCTTTTTATTCAAAATGTTTGTGGGCGTCTTTGCACTTTTCTTTCATCTTGCGTGGCTGCTGGTGCTTCTGCTCCGTTTCTTGCCGGCTTTTCCAGCATTTCCAGCATTTTCGCCCCCGCCTGCCGCTGTTCATTTTGGCCTGCCGCAAACGCTGCACGCACTTAACTTTGCCAGCTACCACAATGCTGCGGTGAAACTCATTACGAGCTTAGAATGCAAAAACGAAACCCCAAGCCCCCACAAACTGCAGCAACAAGAAAGTCTCCACACCCAAAAAACAAACCCACTGGCAGCACCCACATGCAGAGGCCATCACACAGATTTTGTGTTGTTTGCTCAAGTTTTATATAATTCTTAATGAAGGCAAAGAATTCGAACCGAGCTAATGATGTGTAAATTAAGACGCAGGCCACAACATAAAAAATAAATTAAAGGAAGTCGGTGGTTGAAGGTTTATAGAGAAATAATTTTGATTTACCTAAAAGAAGTAATTAAATATATATAATATATATTACATAAATACGTGTATGCATGTAACAAATATACTTTGTTAAACATTATTTTAAACCTATTCATTTTAGACAATGTAGGCTTATATTTTAAATATTGAATTTAAAGAATATTTTATTTGTCTAGCATGATGATTTTTTTATATCGCTGATTTTTCAAAATTTTAAATAATTTTCCGTTTTAATTATTTCCTTTTTTGTAATTTCAACCACTTTTCTTTCCATTTCAAAACCTTCCCTTAGGTATTTGTGTTTAATTTCATAGTATTTAATATTTGATTGCCTCAGTAAGAATAGTTTTAATTAGCTTCGCATGTTTTCACTCTGCTTTTCAAGTATACAACAAAACAATGTCTTTAAAAATGAACAATAAGAGTGAAATACAATAGGATGGCTTTAGGGCTCCCTCTCAAATTACACACTTGAATGGGTGCTTAATTCTGGAACATTTTCTCCTTACCTTGTTTTAAAAGGTACACAAAAAAAATGATGAATTTCAATTGCTTGCTCTAACATCAAATATGCAAATCGTATTACTAACAAGTGAGCTTTACCAATATGACTGCGAGCATGTTGATTAAAAAAGAAGCAAAAAACCCAGCATGAAAGCATGTCAACGTATGAAACTAATCAAAGAAAATCTTTTTTAAAAGGAATGTCTCTTCCAAACGAAAAGTTGCATGAAAATGATTTAAAAACACCCACCGCCGCCCGAAAAAAATATGAGCCAAAAAAGTTTTTAATAAAAAGCAATACGAAACATTTCTGCACTTTGACAGCAACAACAGCAGCAGCAGCAACATGAAATGCAAAAGCAGCTGCCGCAGCAACGACAACTGTCTCAAAGAGGAGCTGGTGCCTCACTTCAGCAGCAGAGTTCCAAGCGGAGGAAGCCGGGATCGGGGGGGAATGGTGGGTCCGGAGGAGCTGGGACAGGACCTGGTTCGGGTTCTGGTTCTGGAGTTGGACCGGCAACAGTGCGGCGACAAGTTTCTTGGGGTCCGCCAATCGTGGCCGAAACGGATGTGGATTTGGCCAACAGCAGCGGCACTACAAACACCAACAGCAATGGAAATCGCAAAGCTGGTGGCAAACAAAACGGATACCATGGCGTCAATAGACGGGCCACCACCACCAGAAACTGACGGCAAAAAACAAAACGAGACGAATGCAAAAATTGTGCCAGAAAAGATGTATAAAAGCATAAATATTTAGGCAAATTGATGGCAAGACAACAGGGCTGAATAAACAAGGCACAAAAGGCACGAGAGTCGAAAACAAAAGCAATTTGTATAAATAAAAGCAAGTCAAAGTGCGACAGAGACAAAGGCAAAACAAATAATATAAATTGAAAAGAAGCAAGTCCTTGGATGGTTGTGTATAAAGAAAACTGTCTGCCCATCGACATGAATATTCCTCAAAAAATTGAAGAAACTTTTTGCATCAAATTCAACCAAAATGAAACTTGCACATAAACGTTGCAAAAATTTCATTAAATATTTCATGGAATTTAAGACTTTGGTTTAAATACATTTGGACAAAGATAAAAGGATTTCATTCTTACTAAACCAAAACTATTCTTAGAATTAGTTGGATCTAAAGCATTAAAGAGTTTTAAACAAGTGAAACCCAAAAAGCACATTTTAAAATATAGTTAGGTTTGATAATTCTTTAAATCTTTATTTTATAAGAAAAGTATTTTTGTGTATTTAAATGAGAAGAGGAGATACAAAATATTGCAAGTAGTGAAGGTTTGGAATTTGAAAGTTCCAATTAAAAATATACCTTTTCAAACTCATAAACTTACTGTAAATTTATACCTTTAAAGTTAAGCTCGAAACTGCTTTTGCTGCAACGCAAAAGTTGCCTTCATTAAGTTTTAAGAATTGCACAACTTTCATTCTTTCCCATTTCGCAATTTCCCTTTTTTGTTTATTGTAAATTCCATTCCTTACTGTGTGATATACGAAGGTAATAAAAGTTCTTTGGCCGGAAAATGAGAACACAACCTTAACTTGTTTCATATTAAATGATGAGAAATTACGTAGAATAACTCGGCCATACATCAATTCATTTAAATGCGTTTATTAAAAAACTTTCCACCAGCAAAGTGCTGACAACAACAACAAGCTAGCAGCATCATCGAGATTGATACAACAACAAGGAGCGTTGAAGTCGGAGAAGATGGAAAAAGTAAAGCGCACATAATGGCACTTCAATATGTGGTGGAAAATGGGGGAAAACTGAGGATATAGTGTGTACTATGGGGGAAAAGGAGGGGCTTTCGGGGAAGGGGAGAGACAACTACCAACAGCTTGTTAGTGGCTTTGTTGGTCAGTACTTTTAACTAATGTGTTTTGTGCGACCATAGAAAATCTCAAGTACTCATAGACGCACTGACACTCATGCACACTCACACATATTTGATGTACTTAACGTTTGCACTAAGAAAAAAATTTTTGTCATTCGAAAAAAAATATTTTAATTTTATTTTAATTTGCATGAATTTAATTTTTTTATAATTAAATTTAAAGCATAATTTTAATAGAGACCTTTTTATTTGAAATATATTATTAAAAACCGAATGATACATATATTAAATATAAGTATAAAGAATTTCTATTTTTTGTATTTAACAACATTTTTTTATACCGATTGAATTCCTTTAAATTCCCGACAAGTTTTTTTAATATGCTTAGTATTATTTCTCTAAGTGCACCTTCTCCATCTCCACTTACTTTGAAGGGTGCCAGCGGAACCGCAAATGGCGTGTGTGTGGAAAAGGGGAGCTTATATAGCTAGTCTGGCGCTGGGCTTCCCTTGAGCTCCTTCAGTTTCGGCTCTTGCCAGCATAAAATAATCGCATAAAATGTCGTTAAGTATAACGAAATTGAGTCTGCACATAAATTCAGATTATGAGATTAAAATGTTGTGATTTTCGCACATAGAACGATTCTGGTTCGGCCAGAAAACCCTTTTTGGTAATGAAACCCAAAAACGAACGCCAAACATTTCGGATGGAGAATACGCTGGAATAAGCAACAGCCGCCCCATCAAAACGGGCAACAACATCAACAGCAGTCAAGCCAATGTAATGAGTTTATATCGCCCTTTTGCCCCGAAGCATAAATTTATGAAAAAACAAGAGAGAACGCTATAGTCGGGTGCCTCGACTATCAGATACCCGTTACTCAGGTAAAGGGAGTGCGAGGGAGATGGAGATAGAAACTTTGATTACGCATAACTTTTTAACGAATGGTCCGATTTGAAAAATTTCTTCTACATTTCGATAGGTATTGATAAACACAATAAAACTGCATTTTTACTTTTCCGAAATATTTAAATTTTTAAAATCGTATATAAGCGATTGTGGGCGTTAAAGGGGGCGTGGCACCATTTTGAAACAAACTTGCGCTGCGTAGGAACTTCTTAAATCTACATGCAAAATGCCAATCTTCTAGCTTTTATAGTTTCCGAGATCTCAGCGTTCATACGGACAGACAGACAGACAGACAGACAGACAGACAGACGGACAGACAGACGGACAGACGGACAGACGGACAGACGGACATGGCTAGATCGACTCGGCTAGTGATCCTGATCAAGAATATATATACTTTATAGGGTCGGAAACGCTTCCTTCTAGCTGTTACATACTTTTGCACGAATACAATATACCCTTTTACTCTACGAGTAACGGGTATAACAACACGGCCGAGGCACAGTAGAATCTAATGGGATTATTTTATTCAGATAGCAGATCTTGTGGAAAAATGGAGTAGACTACGTTTCTGGCTCAGTAAATAGAATTTAATAGCTAATATGTAGTTAAAGAATTTTTATTTTATTTTTAAAGGCAGTTAAAACATTATTAAAATGTATATATTATATTTCTAAATTATTCATTTAAAGTTGAAAAATGCTATCGTAGACTTTCTAAAAAGATACTTTTTTAATAGTACACAAATTTAAAGAAACCACTTTAGTTGATACATACTTTAAAATTTACTAAACTTATATTCTAACGAAAGTGGGTACTTTTAAGTTTTTTGCTCGCTTAAAATCACTTTCATTCCACTGTTCGTCTGACGAATAATAAAGAAGTTGCGGTTGTGGCCGGCGATCAAAGTCAAATATTTGGCTTGGATGTTTACAAATTGGGTCAGCTGGTAATGACCTGGCCGTCGGCTATACAGCTCCTCTCCCAAATGTCCCCGGCGCCTGGTTTCAACCCGACTCTGTGGGAATTTACCAAAAACAGAGAACGTGCTATCAGCTGTCTCTTCATTATGACGCTAATTGCCATGACACTGTGACGAAAGGATTAGCAGCATGTAAAGTGTACGGCGGAGAGAATCGATGCGACCGCAAAATCAGGACGAGTATGAACATGAGAAAACACGACCGACGGTCTTTTGACCCATAAACAGTTCAGTTTGTCCTAATCCGGTTATATATCCGGATTAGCGACCATGAGTGCCACGAAGGAGTACTTTTTCACTATTCCCGAGAACTTTACGACACTTTTTAGGTAATGAATGGGATTACATTTTTTAATCCACTGCCACCCGCGTGCTGTAAAAAAATTAATGACAAAAAACTCGCATTCAGGTCAGTTTTTGGCCTGGGAAACCGATTGACCTGCGAGAATGGATGGCATGAATGGGCAGGTCAAAAAAAGGATTGCGTATAAAATAAGCCATCACCACTGACGTAACCAGCAAACGCATTCAAGCAATCGCACAGTCAAGATGTATCTCATCCAGAAGAACAAGGAAGTCAAGGAGAACTCGAAGCAGAATCCTTCGCAGAATCTCGTGGAATCGCAAAAAAAATCTCCCACCGCCGCATATGCAATGTTTATGCACCGCGAAGAGTTAAGAAGGAGAAAAATCCATGTGTCTCGGGTTTCTGCAACCAAAATTCACCTGACCAGTGAACTAATCGCTAAAACTAAGAAGAATATTCGACAGTGCAGCTTCGAGGATCTGGAGATTCTCGCCAGGGAAACGCTCTTCAGGAAGAATCTTCAGCGACATTTGTACTATCGACGCATGCAAATTCATCAATACATGATAAACAAGAAAAAGCAACAAGCCAAGGAGAAGAAATGAGGAAAATATAATGTTATTTAATTTAAGAACAGCAAAGTGATTATTAAAGCTATGTATTGTAAATAAATATAAATTAAGATAAATAAAATTAACAAAAATTAAATCAATATTAATGTTTGACAAAGGGAAAATTTGATCACATTTAGGAAAAAAAGCAGTTGGGATAAAGATATGAAATTTATATTTTTAACACTTATTGTTCAATTTTTAGTAACATTTAAAGGGTTGCTTTTCAATAAACGTATATAAAAAACCACACAAACGAACCTGCTCATATTTCATAATAAAGTCATTTCCGTTTAAGGTAAACTTCACCAGCCATTACAATTAAGAATATCTGAGATCTACCAAAAGATAGTGCTCAACCTTAACTGAAACTTAAATTAAACTTCAGTCATTTGTAAAGGCCAAGCAGAAAAGTAAAATGCCCCTCACTTTCACATCTTATCTTTGCTCCGGCAAAAGTGCAATTTTCCATTTAAATATTTGATTATGTATACGTATTCCCCAGTGGTAATTGTCAGGGAGCAAAAGTGTCGGCGTCGACCTGCACTTGTAATGGGTGTAAAAACAAATTTACACATGATTACCAAAAACCCGGTCTGCAACACTGCGAACATTTAATACAACTCAAACAAAATTGGGCGTTGCATAAATTTGAAGAGGCGGGGTGTAGAAAAATTCTTGCCTTTTTAGACTACATAAATTTTAATTAAATGTCACTCATACGCCATGTACGCCAAGCACAATGTGCTGCGGAGTTGACTGTGTGTGTGTGTGTGTGTGTGCGTGCAGCTGAGTGGTTGTGTCCTGAGATAGTGTGAGTGAGGCGACAAATGAATGCACATGAAAGTGGCGCACGAATTACAGTTTATTGAACAGCAGCACCAGCAGGAGCCAGGATAAAGGATAATGGACCCAGGACAATGGCGACGAGAGTGGAGCTCATCTAAAGCGGAGCGTAAAAATAAAGCAGGACACCAAGGAGTCTGGAATGTTTTCGATGCCTTGCAGCTGCAAATTTTTCGTAATTTACCACAAATTTATTTTATGAATATTTCCAAATAGCTAGAATAAAATAAACCAAAATATTTTGGTTTAAGACAAGTTGTTTTTTCTTCAAGATATTTTTTTAACAAGTATAAATAATATGGAGTTTTATTTAAATATTGAGTATTATTTTAATATTGAGTATTATTATTTCCAAAAACAATTTTCTTAAATTATTCTTAAATAACTTTTTTGCTCTTAATTTGACTTTTTATATTAAAAATAGAAATGTATTTTTTTGCTAATATATTTCCATGTTTTCAAAAAATAACTTATATTAATTCCATGAATTCCATAAATTCCCAATTTCAAATACCAAAATGGAAAAAAGAAAATGGGGACAAAAGCCAATTGCCTTGGTTGCTTGGCAGCTAGCTCTAATTATTTTTTTTTGCAACTTTTTGTGTGTCTAGCAGTTTGTTTGTTTCCATTGGTGGCGAATCTGTGGCGTTTCCTTTTTCGTGCATTTTCATTAAACTTTTACAGCATGCATTATTCATGGTTTACAACAATTGCCATGGTCCAGCGGCAAAAGGAAAACTCCTCATCCTAGTCCCTGTGTTTAATGAAAAACCATCAGGACCAACATCATCTTTCGCCATTTGCCACTTGAAACTTTTTCAATAATTTTAACATATGTATGCGCTCGACTTTCTTGACAAATTAACTCAAGTGCGCAATGAAGTGTTTATTGTACAGGAAAAACTTTTTCCGATGTCCATTCTGAACTTAAGGCGTATCCCGGAAAAAACAGGATATATGTAAGGATGTTCTTATGCTTGCACACTGATTTTTGGCTACCATCGAGTAAACAGTGGTGGCATTATTTAAATACAAAAAGTAGCTTATTTAAAGGAGCCCAGTTGATTTTTTTAAAATATTTTTTCATAACAAAATGTAATTGAAAACTTTATACAAAATTTGTATAAAAAATTTAGCTATTTTGTTTATAAATTCTTTTATGACGACTGGGTTTCAATTAAGAACATTTATTTGGATGTCTTTCAAAGAAATATATTATAAAACCTATAGGTGAAAAGTGGAAGTCTCCTAAAATCGGTTTAACAAATTTAAATTGAAATTTTACTTTTGTACTTAATTTTGGAAACGAGTATTTAATATAGTTAATCATGTCGTAAAAAATGCTAAATTGTCACCACTGTTAAATGGAGGCAGGGGCAGAACGTAATCGTCATGGTGGCTTAAAGCAATTTGTTATTAATTTCCGCGTTGAAAAGTTGAAAAAGCGAACTTTTTCTTTCCTTTGTTTCCAATCTTTCGCTTTTCGCTATATTTTCCCGCCCTTTCCATCTTTTCCTCCACCCAGTGTCTCAATGCCACTTGGCATTCATTTAATGCGAAAAGTTATTGTCGTTTTTTGTTCTTGTTGTCGTTTGTGTGTTGCTACATTAAAACATGGCCCATAATGGTTAACAAGGCATTTGCTTGTTGACCATCGACCAAATGAGCAGCAAAACTTGTGCTTACATTGTTCAACATGTGTAATAAATATATTTCCACCGCCATCCTTCCAAAATGCGTGTGTGTATGGGTTATTGTGTGTGTGTTTAAGGGCATCATTGTTGTAGTTGGTACACAACGAAAATAATTGGCATTTTTCCAGATTAATTTTAAATTTCCTTTTGCAAAATTTAATTGTTATTTTAATTTTTGTAAAGATTGTTTCATATAATCCAAAACGTCTTAAAAGAATCTACGAATAGAAAACCTCGATTTATTTTATTTTTTATTTCCAACATTTTTCCCCCGAACAGCAGGTAATAAATTGCAATATTCCGACAATGCATGATGACTTGGCAAAGTACGTAATACAAACATATTCGAAATGCATGCGCCGCGGCACATGCAATGAAAAATGCCAGAACAACAATGTTAATATGGCTTCCAAAGGATCGTAGATGGGCTGGGCGGGTAAATAGGGGCGTGGCCGGTCGAGAGGCAAAGGAAGTGTGTCAGTGTCAGTGTGCTGCATGAAAGTGCAAGTTCTGCTTATTGTTTCCACTGCTTCCAGTGCCAAGTAACCTTCAGCCAAGAACAATAAAATTCCACGAAAATGAAACTGAAATGGGTCCCATGCAAATGCAAAATGGAAAAGTATGAAAAGCGCATGCAGCTGCAAATGCCAGGGAAAATAAACTTTTAAATGCTTAATACCCAGTAGCAAAGAATATGTTTGTATATGAATTCACCAAACTCAGGCGGTTTAGCTTTTTATAACTTTTATTTTTTGTGATACATTTTTTTTTATTTTTCAGAAGCTAACAATTCAATTATTTTAAATTACAAAAAAAAATAGGTATCAACATCAACCATAGTAGTTCCTTTTTTTATAATATTTAAAGAGATTATTTGAAATTAATTTATTTTAAATTCTATTAATTTTTAATAACATTAGTTAGGATATTTCCATGGTCGTAAGTCCTCCTATTCCCTAACTTCCTCCAATGGCAGTATGTAAATGCATCGCTGTCGCTTGGCCAACACATTTGCACTTGACTAAAACGCGTTAGCCGCTTGTAGTTGATTTTCGGGCAGATGCTGACGATGCCACGCCCCTAGCTCTGGGAAATAGAGGGGCGGAATGAGTTGAGAGGCTTCCATACAAAATGCTGTGAAGTGACTGGCGTGTTTCGTGTAACCAAGACACCATCCGGGGACTGACATGGCGCCTTTGTTGGCCAGAGCCTTGGGGCCGAGCTTATGGAGCTGCAAAATGGATTTTGGACGGGGTCCAGGCAGAATATGCTCGGCAATCCAGAATGCAATACAGAAGGTGCACACACAAAACACTCACACACACCGGGGCTCACGCAAACATACACTTGCAAAATTTTATGAGAAAGTCAGGTGATTCAGAAATATTAAAAAAATTAAAATACAATTTTGTAATAATAAAATAAATATATACGTGTGACGGCAAATCGTATTTTCAAAAGGTTTTAATACTTTTTTCATCCCCCGAATAATAACTTGGGAATTATAAGCTTAAAATATGTATGTTCTATAGTGTAAGCTCGTATACTTTCAAATAACATTTAATGTTTTAAGTGATCTGCGATTCATTTCACCCAATCGATATTATTTTAACTACGAGAATATGTTAAATGTCATTTTTTTTCCAGGACTTAAATTAGAAATGATGTGTTTTTTAAATATTTGAATTTTTTGTATAAGTACATAAATTTGTATAATTCGTATTATTTGGATATGTAGGCTAGGGATTTTATCTATTTATTTTAAGTCCAATTAAAAAACCGTAAAGTACAAAGCCAGACAAATTTTTAGGTGTACACTTTCATGTCAGTTCAGTGCATTTATATTAACAACATAAAGTGCCAAATCACGACAGGTGCCAAAATCCGGTAGAAAAAAGCGAAATAAACTTTTGCCAGGACAAAAAGGAGCTTGAATAACCGCCATTCCCCCACCCCTTCTCTATCTCTCAAAGCCTTTAAATAATTATAAAACTTTATCTCTTCTCTGGACACACACAAACATGAACCCCTCACTACCGTCCATGTCCATTGAACGTCACTTTGACTAAAGCCAAATAGAATTAAACCCTGAAAAATATTTGATCTAAATTCCTGAACCTCTCCCCACCCCCACCCGCTTTTCCGACCCGATAACCTCCATCTGTGTCCGTTCCACCCGATGTCCTGGTGCCATTTTCATGCCCAATCTCCCCCAGAAAGCGCAGCAGCAGCCACAGGGACACAAATCCCGCCACAAAGCGCCCGATGACACAGAGGATCCAATGCAGCACGAGTCCTTTGATGTCGCCACAAATGCGCGAACAGGGTCCACCCTGCCACCGAATGGGTTGGAAAATCCGGAGGAGCCGGTTGGAAAATTGCCCCCCTTGGTGCCCCTACGACGACATCACTCGAAAGTGACGCCCCCGCCTCCGCCAATTTTCCTGGAAAACTCACTGCTGCAGCGCCAGTTCGCGAATCCAATTAGTTACTTGGGTGGACCACGACTGCAGCCGCGCAGTAATCGCACCAGCATCGACTCGATATTATCGCTGGATTAGCGCCGCAGCCAGTCCTCCGCCCACTCAACCCCCTTTAAGCCGCGCAGACTAGTCACAAACTCAAACTGTCAACTGGTGGGCGGGAAAACCCCCAGTGGATTCTCTTCCCCGATACCACAACCTCAACTTGGAAGCTCTTTGTCGGTTAGAAACTTTAAAAAATGTTAGTTAGCCTTAGTTAAAATACAAATAAATTGTTAAACTTGATCGTTTGGTTTTTAATTCCTAACAAAAATGAGATAAGAAAAACTGTAAGGTAAGATTTGATGATAAATAAATTAAGTTAAATATTTAACTTTTACTATTTTTGGCTCTCTAATGGACTAAAATTATTCGAAGGCCCTTAAATGAACTTACATTAAATTAAAAGCCAAACAAAGTACCCACTCATAAAGAAATATGTTTACAATTAATTACAATTTTAAACAATTTTGACGTTTGTATTTTTTATGCAAATGGGTAAACTTCCACATGAAGATTTACTTACCGCCTTACTCGTATGCAAACATCGAAATTAAAAGTAATTTAAAGAGCATTGAAATTTTTTCAGTTTGATTTTTCAAAAGTACTACAAAATATTTATATTGAGTTATATATTTATATTTTTTTAAATATTCGAATTCCAGAATAAATCTATTACAATGCTAGCAAAATACGGTTGAATAAATAGAACTCCGTTAGAACCCAAAAATAATACCACGGCCTTTCGTATTTATAAATATTTATTGGATTAGATTAGTTTCTGCGTGATTCGCCACATTGTATCGCTTAGACGTTGGCTTTTCTTACGTTTGCTTAGCTTATACACTTTCGATCTGCACAAATTGCCTTACAATAAATTGTATTTTATCTTACGATAAGTTTAAGTCCCGCCCATTGATAACTGAATTTCCCCATGGAAAGCGATGGATTTCAGCTTACACATAAAAAAGCGAGCTGATCGCAGGGGAACTTATAGAGGGGCGGATAGAGGGAGCCGTGGGCGTGGCTCAGGGGCGTGGCTTGAGGGCGGGATGAGACGACGCTAGGTGAAATCCGGCGGTTTGTACTTCGGCGGTCGCTTAATTGGCTTCTATAACCAATTGCGGCCGCCACGTCATATGTTGTTCTCCTTGGCGCCCTTGGCTCCGGTGCCGGAACCCGATCCCGACCCGGATCCAGCATTAGCCGTCGCTCCAGTATCATTATCGCTCTTGTTGTTACTGTTGTTGTTGCTGGTGCTGTTCGTATTGGACGCCGTCGATTCCTCGCCATCAGCTCCATCACCTTTAAACAAGATACAAATGTATTATTATATTATTAATATTTTTTTAATATTTATCATGTATTTGCTTAAGGATCATTGACAGACATATACATAAGACTTAAGAATTTATATAAGATGCAATTAGAATCATTACAAGCTCACAAAGTATTATATAAAATTCGTTTACATTCAGACTTTTAAAAAATTTTAGTTCCTGCAGTTTATTTAATATTAAAACCATCAACAGTCTTTGATACCAAATTAAAAAGGGGTTCCCTGCTTTTATAATAAAATGAGGATTTTATAAAAATTTGTAAATTTAAAATTTGCAAGATCTGTGGACTATATACAGTATATAAAACGTTAAATCGTAATATGTGTTCATATACAATTTCTAAGTCTTGCGGATTCCAAATACTAAGTCAGTACAACACCCACCTTTATCCTTTTCGTCCTTGATTTCGCTAGACGTCTCCGATGAGGCCTTGTTGCTGTTCGTATCCTTGTCCAGACGCGGTCGTTTCCGCTGGCCCTTGTATGTGCGGTTATCCCGTCGACCGCCTTCACCCTCATCCTCCGAATCGGAGTACTCGTTCTCGGGAACAATGCGCTTGTCCTTGTCGCTCTGTGGCAGTCGATCGTCCTTGTCGACCTTGTCCTCGTCGTCGGACTCATCATTGATGGCGTCCTCGGGAATCGTCTGGATTTGAACGCCTGGTGCATGGGGCAGCATACGCAGGTTCTCGAACAGGCGATTCTTGATCTTTTCCAGGTACTCGGACGTATTCTGATTTGTCATATTACTGGGACTAATGTGCAGCTTAAAATCGGGTCCAAAGTACTCGAAGTAATCGTTGTAGGGCAGTTCGTTGGCGATTTCCACGGCAAGAGCGACGGAGGTCTCATAAGTCCAGCAGCGGGAGACGTTACGAATGGTATAACCACCACCGCCGACCATCAGGAATGGCAGGTTGTACTTCTTTACGAACTCCACGCATTTGCCATGACCCTTGACCGTGAGATTGAAGCAACCTAACCGATCGCCAGTCAGGGAATCGGCGCCACACTGCAGCACCACCGCTGCCGGTTGGAATGTTTCCATCACCTTGCTGATAATGGGCACAAAAATGCTCTCATACGCATCATCATCCATGCCATCACGCAGGGGTATATTCACCGCATAATACTTTCCCTTGCCGGCGCCAATATCCCGCAGATCGCCGGTTCCGGGGAAATACTCGCCGTACTTGTGGAAGCTCACGGTCATCACACGATCGGTGGTATAAAACGCCTCCTCTACGCCATCGCCATGATGGACATCTATATCTATGTAGAGAACACGCTGGTGGTACTTCAACAGTTCCAGAATTCCGAGGACAATATCGTTCACATAGCAGAAGCCGGAGGCCTCCGATTTCTTGGCATGATGCAGACCACCGCCCCAATTGATGCAGATCTCCGAGGCTTGTTTGTTAAGCTTAACGGCTGCCGCCACGGATCCTCCGGCTGAGAGTTGGCAGAACTCGTAGAGTCCATCGAAAACGGGGCAATCTTCGCCCACATTGAAGCGCTGCATCTGCTTGTTGTACTCCGACATGTTGTCAGGCCGAATGGAGCGCAGGAACCGGACGTACTCGTCCGAGTGGAACTTGGTCATCTCATCGGCAGTGGCTTTATGGGGGCGCTGCAATAGGAAGGGAATTGTATTAAAATAACCACAGATGAAGCTAAATATATAGCAAGAACATCAATAAATTGCTCCTACAGCTGATAAATACAAAATTTAAATTTAAAATGGTGAAATATTGATCATTTGAAATAATTTTAACGTGATATTATTATTATTATGCCTATGTCAAATAAATTTAATGAAATCGAAATCTGTTTTAATTAAACTGGTTTAAGTTAGATTTATAGAAGTTCCATCGTATACTAATTAATAACTTACGTAAATCTCCATTTTCCTATAGAGCCCATAGTTGAGCAGCAGATTGTGGGTCATGCGTATGCGGTGGGGCTTCATGGGATGACCCTGGCCATAGTAGTAGTTGCCAATGTCACCTGGGGAGCAAAATCTCGAATGTTAGCATCTTGAAAAAACAATTAATTGCCACGCTATGCGGAATACAAATTTTACGGCCACTATCGGCAAGGCGTCTGTGGGAGAGCAGCACTTTTCCTGAACGACCGCACCGGTCGCACTTTCGCCCAGAACGAAAAGCAACAAAAACACAAAGGGGTGTGAGAGAGACCTACAGGTACACACACGCACACGCAAACAAGCGCACTGCGGACGTATTGGAAAAGTGCGCTGTGGACCGGAACGCGCTCGTACAGTCGCCGTAAAACTTGAAATTTGCAAAAATGCTATCATCTAAGTCGAGTGGAAGCGAAAAAAACACGAAGTCGGCATGAAAAACAATAGTGCTACTTGGGAGTCTTAATTTCCCTATTAAGTAGGCTTTTTACTATATATTCGATTTAAAAACTTACTGTCGTAGTAGTAACAAACGCGTTTTTTGCTATGAGACTGCATTTTGCGGCTCTGTCGGTGGTCCTAAATCTCCTCTAAAACGATGTCTGCCGGTTCCTTGAACCTTGTTTGTTGATCGGGGAAACCCGAAATATTTAGAAGATATTTAACTTAGGCGCCGCTCCGATTTTTGCCAATTTACAGCCAAGAGAAAGAAAATTCGCGCACAATATAAACCACCAGTGTGGCCGCGAAAGAGATAAAGAAGACAAAAGATATACCTTTTATACTATTTTCAAATATACCAAAATATATACAATATACGGTCACCCCGCTAGAGATGGGATCAAGTAGGACTGTCCGCGGCGAACCAATTATTGGTTATTCGTTGGACAATTTAGTGACTATCTGTTTAGAGAGGGCAGCATCACAGTTAATTTAATTTAAATCATAAAATATGTGAAAGTTTGTCCGTTAGGAGTCCCGCATAATTGTTTCCCCGAGCTGCACCACTTTAGCTCATATTTTCGTTACATTATCGATGTATCGCCAAGTATCGATTCTCATAAAAAGCCTATTCACACTACAGGTTTTTTATAGAACGATGAGAATCGTGGAAAAAATTAAATTTGGGTTGCTTAAAGATTCAATTATTTTAGTGATAGGTAAAAAATATACTCTGTAAGCAGCTTTATATAGGAACACCAGAAGTTGATTGTGGAATTTTGGTAAAATTTGAGACGTGTTAATGCACCATTATCGATGAAGAAGTGTGAATATGCTACACGACTAATCGTGGTGATGCTATCGTACCTCGTCAAGCGAACGAAAAACGAAAACAATCACCACTCTGTGTTTTTTAGCTGCTCCAAGAGGACGCGATTCTCTTCTGTCGGCGTTTTTCGGCGGCTTATCGACAGACAACAGTATAGTGGATGAAACAAATACGGAGTTTTGCAGTGCGGAAAGCTGAATTAAAAGCAATTGTTAATTTGAAAAAAAATAAAATAAAACGGCAACGCGTAAGTTTCAAACTCCCACTGTTCGAGTGTGTGTAAAAACAAGAGAAAGAAGTATGGAGTTGCAGTGGAAGCACAAACACCCTCTCCCTCGCACACACACACAATCTCATGGGGGCGAGTGAAAAAGTGGAAAAATTAAATTCGAAATAAAGTGACAAAGCGGAGTGGCCAATAAATAAAGAAACGAGAAAAACAAAATGAACCCGCAGTGCCAATTAAAATCAAAATTAATAGTTTTTAACAGACGGCTAAAATATCCTGCGCAGCTCCTCTCTTTTCGGATTTTTCTCTTTTTCCCGGAAGAGTGTTTTTCATATCTTTCCCCCTTACAGACCAACGCCTCTCCCTCTGCAACTTTCTGTTACTTTTTGTTAACTGCTCCCCCTTCATTTTCTTGATTTTCCTTCTTTTTGTTGTTGTGCCCGCAGGATATTTAGAACCTTTTTTTGCTGGCGTTAATTATAGTTTTTCTCCTCTCTTCTCGCATCTCTTTTCCAATTAGCGCCGAACTTTAGCCTAAAGTAGAAAAGCAAAATACAAAAAAATTCATATTTGTTGTTTTTTTGGCCCGCAGACCGTGAATTAAAAACAACATCAAGTTTAACTACAGTGGCAGGCGTAACTGTAAATTCCGCTTTGCTTTTGATATCAAATAAAAAATCCGCAGCAGAAGTTTTGATTTATTCTAATTAAAAAAGGTAAGTACGATAAAAAAAACCGGATAATAGCTCTTATTCATTCGCACCTCCTTGGCATAAAGTGCCGTTAAGAATAGAAGCCAATGAACGCAAATAAGTAAACACAAAAACTAAAAAAAGAGTGAGAGCCAGATTTGCTCTCCCGCTGCATTTCTATTTATGCCTTTGCTGCTGATAAAATGAACAGAGGACACTCGAAAGAATGAACAATTTAATAAAGGTGGACACTATTAGTCAATAGGTTCCCAATTGGTAGAGTTAATTTATTTAAAAAAATAATCCTTTAAAAAAGAAACTAATTTAAAATTATATTCTCATTAGGAAGGCCATGTAAATGTGGTAGATAGTTAACAAACTACATTTTTGAAGTTAATGCTACGAGTGTGCACTGTATTTATTTATTCATTTCTCTGGCTGCTGTAAAAAGTCAAAGAGCATTTCTGGTTGTTGTTGTTATTGTAATTGCCTTTAATTTGTGGAGAATAAGGGGAGAAGGAGGATCGAAAAGGGAAGAGTGGGGTAGAAAAGAAGAAGAAGCTGAAGAACAGCAGGCGTCGGCGCAGCAGCTGCTCCTTCTATCTCCCTCTTGCTCTCTCCTCCTGGCTTTTCCCTTGTGCGCTGTTTTCGGCATTTTGTGCTTATTTATTTACCTTTTGGTGGCTTGTTTATTAACCCCCCTTTACACCCACCCCTCCCTCTAAATCGCTCCATGTGCTTTGAAGTTCAAGCCACAAAATTTGTTTTTTCTTTTTTTATTTGTTGATTTTGTTGGTGTTTTTGTAGCTTATCTGTTGCAGAGGAGTTTAACTAACCCCCCACCCAGAAAAAAAGGAAAACCCTTCAATTAACATTGCTGCCGTCTGTTTTCTGTCTCTGCGACTCTTTCCCTTTTCTCCGCATTTTTCTCGCTTTTTTCTCCTTTTTCTTTTTGTGGCCAGCCGCTGATAGAGACCACAAATAGTTTGTCTTTTGCCTCACATTTTTTATTTACAGTGGCTATCGGCTAATCGAAATTTTAAAACAGGAAATTTAACTTCCTTATATGACAGGAAATACATTTTAATTTCCAAGGAATTATAAAATTCAATGCATTTCTTTGTTTGATCTCGATTTTATTATGATTAGTTACTGTGAGTAAAATTGGTTAAAAGAGAAGGGCAAGAAAAATTGAGGGCATAAATGATTTTATGAAATCCAAATTCAATCCGATTTTAATCGCTACTTTATCTTATCGTTATGCACAGTGCAGATTTATTGCTGCTTCTTCTACAGGCTCTTAATGTTTAACCCTTGATTGGTGAGTGAGAGTTTTGAATGGAGATTCATTTGAGTGCAACTGGGCAGTTATACTTTTTGGCCTCTGCACTCTCTTATGACCCCCTTTCCCCTTTTTTCACCCTCTTAAATCAATGCAAAATGGCAATCGCAAAATGCTCTCAAACAAGTAAATCTGCTTAGCTCGGCTAACGGCAAACTTGTTGAGATCTTTTCATTTCTCTATTTTGCTCGTAGTTTGTTTGCCGTTGCCGTTGTTTTTGTTGTTTTTCTTATTTTCTATTTTGCACACAAAGCGTTTACATGATACGGACGACCACAAAGGCAAAAGGCAATCAAAAAGTAGCGTGGGGAAGGGAAGGGAGGGGAGGGATAAGGGGATAACACAGCGTGGGAGGTGCAATAAGGAGAATCCAAACGAATAAAAAGTAGTCAAAGCAAAAGAAGTGGCGGAGAAAGAAGCAGCACAAGTAGAAAATTCAATTGTTCGCCACTCTCTTTTGGCTCCTCCTTTGTTCCTTTTCCCTGCCAGTTGTGCGTGTGTGAGTTTGTCCACTTAGCCAGCAAACAATGCACACAGCAGCAGCGTTTTATTGATAAGAAATGAAAAGGAGAAGAGAGAAAGACGGTGGAGTGAAGAGGAGATACGGCGAGGAAAAGTGGAAAGTGCGTGGCAAGTGCGACAAAAAAGCAATAATGTTGAGATGATTGCGTGAGCGGAGACGATTTAAAGACTTCCCTTTTTGTAACAAATGGAAAATATTTTAAGAATCTTAATAATCTTTAAGAGTATCTTAGCATATATAAGGATACATAAAATAGTCTGAAACATACTGCATTTGACTCCCCATTTTAGAAAATAAAATTATAATTCTTAAATTCGAACTGAATGTAACGATTGATTGATCTACAAATATTCTAGCAATCCTAAAAATTTGGGATAGATAAATACATATACAAAATCTATATTGCCCCCTTTTTATTTATTATTTAATTTATTACAAGTGGTAAAAACACAAAGAATCTAATATAACAAAACAAAAAAATTCTTAGGGCAGCAACTTTATCCTCTGGTTTAAGTTCGCCTTAAAATGAATATCGTCTAGAAAAAAATCCAAATGGGGGCCAAAAGTAAAAAGCATTTTGTACAAACATCGGTTTATGGCCATAATTAAAAGTTCATGACTAGAGCACAGTTTTCCCCGCTTCCTCACCTGCATTTCCTCGGCGCTGATTAGTTTCTCCTCCACCTTTAATAAACATACCAAAATTCGACCAAGATCGCGTTGGATGTAGACAAAGCTACCTTCTTTTACGGATGTCACGCAGATACAAACGAGTCCTTGAAGCGCCCAAACCAAAGGTTCTCCACATCTCAATTCATGGTTAAGTTTGGCCAGAGTGTCTAGGTCGTAAAAATAAGAATACCACTGCGGGATCACTGGTAATCTAAGCCAAAAACAGTCCCAATAGATTAGTATCTTATCATATAGATATTTTCCCAGATTACAGAAACACCAAAAATCCTCTGGTGTCTGACATTTTGGAGGGCCTCTACAAGTGGATCGTAGACGTCTTGGTGGAGCAGGTGGTTTTACTAATGATCGAAGTCCCGGATTCTTCGGCGCTTGATTTTTCAACAAGTTGAATATTTTTTTGCAAGGAGCAATCTCCAAACAGGACTCCATTCTGCCCAGAAACTCATCCACCATTTCCAGTATAGCGTCGCAAAGCTCATTCCAATTTCGTGTTCTATTGAAAGCTGGCTGATTGAATAATTCACTACATAAAGTGCCCGACGCGGCGGCGTAGAAATCACGGGCTGCCAGTAATCTAAAGCCATATGTTTCGCTAGTATCCAAAGCCATGGCGATCGGTAAGGAAAGGGTATAGCGTTGATAACCCATCGGCATAGGTTTCATTCTCATCATGCAAAGAAAATATTGAAATCGAGCCGATATAAGATTATATAAATTAATATCCAGATACTCGTGCAGACGTCTTGAATCATTAATTAACGATAATTGGCGCTGCATAATCAAACCATAAAGTTCCCGAACAATGTGTAATTTAGCCGTGATCAATGTGGATAGCAACCAGCCTTGAAAAAGTCGTTTGGGTTGCGTTATAATCATAGTAAATCCTGTAGAGACTCCATTAGTTGTAGTTGTTTCCAAGTAGGCCATAGATGGCCAGTAAATCAGGGCAAATAATAAAGTGGGAACCAAAGCTTCTTTTCCAGAACTTCTGAATTGGTAACACCACATTTGAATAAGGCTTCCCTTCATATCCAAATGAACTATGGGCAATGGAAATCTTCTTAGGGATCTTCCATGATGTTTAAGAAAGTAGGAAATCCCATTAAAGCAGCCAAAGGTTATAAGATAGTACCAGGATCCTCCTAACAGGTAATCCACATCTATTAAATCCACGAAAGATGCATATAACCAGCTGGTTCCTATAGTTACTGATAGTATTGATGAAAGTAAGCAAATATGTACAGGAAACTCATTAACTACTCGCCAAATTCTGTAGGGATAGCATTGCGGATTGACATAATGTACGTGGCATAAAATCAAACCATAACCAACCATGCACAATCTTATTAGCAACATCATTGTCGAGGTATACACCGAAAAAAGAGTCCATCCCAATATCTCATTAAGAGAAAACAGTGGTCGTCTCACCTCAAATAAATTAATGCACAAAAAAATGGCAAGCATCTGATAATCCAACCATGAGCACAGTAATGTGGCAAATAGAAAGCGATACAGAATTAGCTTCTTGATCTTACGGGGCAGCGTTATAAAATATTGGGGCACATAGCCAGTGGTCTCAACGTTTTGCTCCGACATTTTTGTATGAAAATAATAGATTTGATTTGGCAGAGACTTGATTTTATAAACTACGCCTGCTTGGGTGCAACTTGTAACCTTCTTTTTGTCAGTTTACTGTCTCAATTGACATAGTTCCCAAGTTAGTTGGCCTGGTCATCAATCTATTTAATGGGCTGCCGTTGACCCAACTTACTCCCTCGTTGAACCTCTCGCCGCCCCTATTTGCAAAAGTTCAAAAGTTTTTATGCCAATTTAAAGTTTTTCTTTTGGGTCACCCTTACATGAGGTTGTATTATTTTGTCATTGATTTGGAATACGGATAGAAGGGTCTTGAAAAATATATTTAAGCTTTTTCCCCAATTTCCTATTCAATATTTCTTTGTTGCAAACTGGTTTAAAAAGTGTAATTAACAACTTTTTTTAGGTTTGTATGAATTTATTCAAAAATAAAAGCCCAAAAGATTGTTTGTGACAAATTGCTTGACAGCCCAAACAATAAATCTCCTCGATATTATTATATCATTTTAAGGTGAAATGACTTGATATTTTTTTCCATAATCATTCTAGGGTATTTCAAGCATCAAATCCCCACAGAAATATTTTTCTCGTTGCTGTTGCTTCTTTTTTGCCATACAGGTGACAAGTCAGCCAGGACTAAGTGCAGCTAAAAATAAAGTTGTTTGCCGCTGCAGGCACAACATTGCATTTCGCAATTGTTTTTATTCAGACAGCGACTCTTTATTGGAGCTCAGCCACCTGAGGGGGGATAAATTGAGGTGGAGCTCGTGGAGAAGCTGCTCCCAGCTAAAGTTCTAATTTATGTCGTTAAGTTTTTGCCTGCGAAAGAAAAGTTTGCAGTCACATTTAATGGTCGAGCTGCAGGCGCAATTTCCACCGGGGAAAGAGTGTATTTCAAACGGGAACTGGACATGGACATGGAAATGGACATGGACATTGTAGAGGATGTTGCTCTTGTCCCCCCTTCTCTTCTGTTTGCTATTTCGGCCTGTGTGTGACCGCCTAACCCAAAAGCGGGCCGGGAGTGGTGCGAGGCCGGGGCCAATTAGATTTATGGGATTAGCACAGGTCGTTGGCTATAAAGCACTCGCATGCTTTTGTAGCGGGGCAGAATCAACGTGAAAATCGAGACCATGAGGATGAGGATCCCCTTTGGAAACACACACCCATTCGCAAATGGAACCTGAAATGGTCGGATATGTGTGAGCACTGAAAGAATTTATTGGATAATAATATGCTCCATGCTAAAATCTCTTTTTTAATTAAAAGAACTGTTAAGTTATAAATTCGGAAGATAAAACTTTACTATACTTTATTTATTATCTCATTTTGGATACATCGATCAAGTTTTATATAAATCCTTATACAACCAAATGTAAGGAAAAACAGATATATTTTTTTTTAATTTTTGAATTCGAAGGAAACATAATTTTTTTAAGTGCCACATAAAATAGATTTGTGAACAATCTGAATTTAATTAGCACAATTTAAACAGAGTTTTTTATACTAGTTTTTCTGTGCACGCTGCAAACATTTGCATTGTTTGTCCTGTTGAGCTCCTCTATCTCCCTCTTGCCATATATCTCTCCCTATCTTTCCGAACGCAGCTCCTGTATTTGCCCACTCTCCACTTAGCACTCCCTACTTCACCGCTTACCTTCAGTGCATATCCGCTGGGCAACAAAACATTGTTTCATTCCATAAACCGCCGCCAACTTTTGCATCGCTCGCCGTCGGTGGTTGTTTCGCTCACACACTCGGCGAGCTTTGTTCCGGCTTTCCCCTGGCTCTTCCTGCCGCCCTTTCCCACCTTCCGTTCCTTGTTCTGCCCCCATTTCCATCCCCACGTCCTGTTTGCCTTGCCATTGAGAGGCCGCGACGATGACGCGTGCTCCTGGCCCTTTCCCAAAACCACGTTCCGCCGCACACATTTCCGGTCTCAACAGGACTGATTTTATACCCTGGAAAGGGGTATTGGAAAATATGACAAATTATATGACCTTTTCAAGATCACCATTTACTCATCCAGGATTCTGATATATCAAACTAAATATGTATACTTACAAAAGCTAAAGCAGAAAGTTGAAAAATATATAATATAAATACTAATAATATAATATAAATACTAAATATATAATATAAATACTAAATATAGTATAACCTATAGACCTTTGACAATACAATTTAGGGAATCCTATCAAACTAAGTCTACATATAGGTTAAAAAGTAATAAGGGTATTCTAAACTTCGCTTCCCAAATTTTCCAATTGTTACTTCTTTTTCGTGTGTTCGATTGTGTGAGCTGGCGGTGGTTGCTGTTTTTCCTATTTCTGCCTCTGTTGCCCTGTTGTGTTGGCTAGTTTTCGATTTTATCGATTTTCATAAAGCTGCTTTTATGGGCGGCATTCAGAGGCAGAAAGTTTGCGGCTCTGTTACTCCAATTAGAGCACAAAAACACATCCATGCAGTAAAAACGCACAGTCGCTCAAACACACGCTGGCGGAGATGAACAATTTGGCTGCTGACCAGGTGAAGCCAAACATTTCTGGCATTCCAATCGCATTTCTCATTGACTCCGCTTCTGTGGCAGCTGAGGGGAGATTTTGGTATTCGCTTCATAAATTTAGTCTTTACTTCTTCCCCTGTTCGAATATTCCTTTGTCGATGCATCCGACCGAAAAATAAATTTTCTCTATGTATTTATTCCGTTTATGTTGACGGTCTGAGGTCATAAACAAACTAATTCGGGTGGAATTCTAGATTGAAACTACTAAGCTGATTATTAGGAGGTCAAAAGTTCAATACATTGACGAAAATTGTAGTTTCACCGGATGAATTTATAATTAAATTCAAAGACTTATTTTTCTTTATAATGAATCGGTAGTAGATCTTTAAAATATAATCCCTACGGCTTAATTAATCCTTTCGGTCAGTAGAACGCTTTTAATGAGTGCTGGTCACGAATAAGAAACTGCAGCTGCAACTTAAACTCGACCCAATTCGAAGGCTCAAGTTTCCCATCCAAACTTATGGGATGACACTAAAATAAGAGCGCTCTGCTTTGCGACTTAGTAAAAACTTTTTAATTACAAGGATCAGGACAATAAAAGTTTATGAGGCGAAAAGCCCTGTCCCTCTGTGCTTCCTCTTTTTCTCTCTGTAATTTCTGGCAAATAAATACCAAAAGCGTGGCAAAAACTAATAAAACTGAACTCAACTCTCGGCTTCCAACAGTCATCGTAAAAAAAAAACCAGAAAATCGAGTTGAAGTTGAACGCTTAATATGTGCGGCAAAACTTGGCTAATCCCTTCAAAGCGAAATAGCAGAGATAGTCAATAAATAGGGAAAAATGAGACTGTTGCGCTTATATTGGATTTTTGGCACAAAGTTTTGTAAATATTTTCTCGGACGAGTCAGAGGTCCTGCGAACTTTGGCTATGGCCTGTGACTGGGCAACGAAATGGCAAATCGATTTCGAATGCAATCTCTGCCTCTCTACTGGGGCTAATATTCAAATGAAATTTCCGTGCATTGAACTCGAAATCAGCAGTACAAGGTGTGAATTTGCCAGCGCTCCAAGGAGCATAAGCAGGAGCATTGGCAGGATGTGAATTGGTCGGGGGCAGGAAGCAGCTCCGGGCCACCAGCCAGATAAATATAAACACGAAAGTGGAGCACAGGCAAAGCTCGAGCCGCAATAACTGTCTTGGGAGATATAATTCCCACTGCAGCTAACCCCATGCACTGATAACAACATTGTATTCAAAGTGAAATTAAATAAATAATTGTCGATCCCTAAATAGTCCTTTATTTAAAGAACTAGCCTTCGATGGAGGTAGACTTCAAATTAATTTTTAAATTCAGTTATAGGTTATTTCTCTCAAATATTGAAAGAGGTCAAGAACTAATTTTAGTTAAGGTAATACCTGCATACTAATGAGTATTAAAATATCTAGGCTATTATAAAACAAAAAATTATAACTTTTTACAATTTTTAATACGATTTCTTATATTTCGAATGCATAAACTTGTTAATTTTCCAAGTGTAGTCGCAGTCAGTTGAGAAGTGTGGATGCTGTGTAAATTCGATGCAAAGGCATTTCCAGAATGACAGCGAATAAAGCAAATGCTCGGGATGCTTGCAACCCTTCATTCTTACCCTATTTTCCACTCCCCCTGGTAATTCCCCAAACGCACAGAAAACTTGACAACTTCACATTTCTGGGAGGTCTTAGACAAACTCGCACACGCTTCCACACACAGAGATTCCTCACTCAAAACCTTCAAATGAAATTAAAAAGTTAAACTTCCAACTTTGAGGGAGAGACAACCCCTAACTCACATCTGAGTGTGTGCTTTCTAACTCTTCATTTTCTAGACATTTTTCCTCCAGTGCTTAGAAGAGACATTAGCCAGCTACTTTGGGTGCAGGAAGTTCCTTTGACTCTAGCAATTTTGTGTGTGGAATAGTTGGAATGGAATAATGTTTGTAATTAGTCACTACTGCCACGAATCTTTGGAGAGGTAAATGTGCAAAACAGGGTCACAAAAGCAGCTTTGCAGAACCGTATTAAAAAGATACTAGTTGTAGTAATAGTCACCAATTATTGAGTAGCTCAAACTTATGCAAAATTCAAAGCTGTGAGAAATATTTAATTAACAGCTGTAAAATTACCTTTAAAGTCATTTATTGATGAAACGGTTTATTCTATTATTCTTTTTGATAAATTCTTTACCGAAATTTATTTTCCTGTGCATACAAATTATGTGAAACATTTTTTATTATTGCACCTTTAGTCCTGTTCAGCCATTCATAAAGTTTTCAGCTTATTTGAGCACTATTTCCATTTGCCCGACTATTTGTTTCCAACACGTGAATTCCTTGTGACAAATACGTGATAAATTTGTTGTAGCCTCATCAGGCAAACACGCGCGACATGAACTTAGTTTAGGTCTGAGAGGTCTTGAGCTCCACAAATGCGCTTTGAGGGGGAGGGGTTGGAGGTTGGGAAAATACTCGAGGAGTGAGTGTTCCTTTTGGAGACAGCTACAAATTTTCATAGCATATTTCATGCTTCGCTCACTTGGCATGAAGGCGCCACACAAACGCTGGTGATGGAAAAAATAGAAAACACCAAAGAAAGAAAAGAGATTTGTTTTGCTTTGATAGTTTCTATGGCAAAGTTTTGATAGAGTAAAATACTTTGATGAAATCTTTTAGCTCATCGCAGCCGATCTAAACTATGCTTTTAAGACAACTGATTGAGGATAACCGAGTTTAATACTCAGCAACTGAATCGCTTCTCAGATATTTCGTTTTACTTCATACATATAATTTCTTTTTTTATATATACTCACAGCCTTTGAAAGTAATATATGTTTTTGTTCAGTATAGACATTAAACACATTCTTCCATCAAGAAAAAATCACCTATATTTATAATTGTCTATAAAGAGTGTTCGATGTTGAGATACTTAATCTTGAGACATTTTTTTATTGCAATTACAACTAGTGGAATCTAGAACAGACTTTTTGTGCAGTACTTCCACTGATGAAGTAGTAATTTGTCTCCACTTTTTAGCTTGACTCGAGTTATTTCTTTGCAACTGCCTCAATTGAATGACTGTCCGAGCGACTGACAAAATGTCACGCTGCGATTGTGCCGATAGCGAAATCTCGTTCTCATTTTCAATTGGGTGGGCAGAATTTTCAATGCCCCTCTTCTCATGGACTTTCCTCCCATTTTCCTGCTGCATTGCGCCGGAGCTTTTGTCTCAAGTGCATTGCAGTTGGAATTGTGTCTAGAGTGGGCTGCACTCGTCGCAAAAAAGGGGAAAAATCACCAACAGCAGCAGAATCAGAAGCCAAAACTAAAACTGAACTCAAGTGAACTGGAATTAAATGAATGGAAGCCCAGAACGCTCCCCAAACGCTTCTTCAATCCAATGCACTTTGCTGATTATTATTGCAAGTTTTTTCGCTCGATTTTTACTGGGCTACGTGACGCAGCTGTAATCAATTTGACATAGATTTTTTAAATCAATATGTAAGTTTGTCACGAGCCAGGCTAAAGTGGGATTTGACCAGGGCTAAAGGCCCACTCAATTTCCTTCTCAATTAACACTCTGTAGGGGATGCAATAAAAGCTTATATCTACTGCTGTTTGCTCACCAAACAAACAATTCAAGCAAACAAACAAACATTTCTATCTGAACTATTCGTTTTCTCTTTCCCAATGTTTTAAATTCAATTTGGATTCACATTTCCAGCATTTCTCAAATGTTTTTTCGTAAATTGCAATTTATTTTCGCTGCGAGGAGGATAATTTTCAAATTCCTAATTCTTTCGTGTGGTCTATCAGAAAATATTTTCCCACATTTGCATCGATTGTACAAGGCAGCTGTGCTGCCGGAAAAATGTTCACATGTCCATATTGCATGTTCGAGAGCTGCTGCAGCCGCCTTTTGCCACCGTGCCACATAAAATGCAATTTTAGCCGGGGCAAAAACATGCTGCTTTCGTTGTTTATGAGGATTGAATTCGGCCTTTTTTTGTAATTTAGATTTGGCTTGTATAAAAAATTGGAAACTTATATAAGGAAAAGTATTTTGAAATTATTTAAAGTTTATTTGATTACAAGTCCTGAATGCATGATCATAACTTATTGGAGTTTGCAATTAAATCAAGGTGTTTTCAGGTTTGTCATATTTTGACGTCAATTTCAAGACGAAACGAATTGGGTTCCCAGAAAAATATTTTGCGATAAAGAAATTTGTTTAACACTCTTAAATATCTCATGCCTTAAAGCTTATATTTTATTTATTTACCTAATATTTACCCTCAAAGCGTATTCCTAAAAGATGACTCCCATTGCAAATCTATTTTTGCAGACTTCCGTTTGATAACATTTTCTTGGTGTTCAGTCATGTTTAGCTTTTAAATAGATTTGTTCCTTAATAAGTTACGCCTTTTTTGCAGTGCACAAACTAAGCTTTGAGTTGAACTATTTTTTGTGCCGCCATATAACAGCTCTCTTGAGACTCACTTATCTGGTCAACACTTGAGTTTTGCTTTGATTCCATTTGCGGTTGCAAACAAAAATGTTTGTTTTGTAACTGATAAATCTCTTTGACGGTGTCCATCTATTACAGATAGTAGAATATTTTATTTAGTATCTGTATTTCTAGCAGCATCTGTTTTAGGAGTGTAGCTTTTCATAGCATCTAATATTAATCCAATAATAAAAATCCAATGTAAGGGTTGTTTATTATTTGGTTTTATTTTCAATTCTGCAACTCCTCTACTTTATGTTTTTAGAACCTCAAAGTTTCCTATCTAAATTTAAAATCTTCCTAATGAACCATTTTTATTATAGTTACCAAAACTTTTTGTTTCATGTAGAGCACTTTGTATTCTTTGATATTTCGAGGTATGGTAAAGTCATTGGTCTAGAAAAAATCCAATAAAATGGGTGTTCATCGTTTGTTCTTTTTTACTCCCTGTTGTTTGTTCAAATTTTGTTTCTCGCGCTATCTTCAAGTACCCGATCTAAAATAAACATGAGAAGTGTGCATGACCCTCGCCGCTTCAACGCTTTTATTTGGGGCGTACACTCTTCAGAACGGAGCAAGAGATATAGAGAAAACGAGGGACAGCTGGTTTGGCCCATGTTCAAGAGAGAAATCCAGCTGACTGACGGAAACCGAAAGTGATACATCTGCTTCTCTAACGACCCGAGCTGGGCTGAGTTGCCTTATAGGTTCTGGCGCACCTCGTGCTGGAAATAACCTTAGAAAATGCCTCGAGGCGCAGGCCACACATCCTGAGACGTTTTTGCGTTGACTTTGGCAAGCAGGTCACGTGAACATTTCAGCAACGAAAAGGATAAAAAGAAGGGGAGCTGACAAAGGCAAATCCTAGCAGTTCGTAGGGGTGGTCGTCCTGTAAATGTGATTGCTCGAAAAAAAGAGGGGGCGTAGCCAACTGCCTTTGAGTCTTCCCTCTCATATCATAAAATGCAGAACAAATTTCCTAGATTTTTTTTTGCCCAGCTCTGTTTTAGCGCCTTTTCTTGGCAATTGTTTCAACGTGTTTGAAATATTTTAAGCGCGGCCCAGCCAAAAAGCTCAGGGTCTGGGTCTCTTTTGTTTTGTTTTGCTTTGGGTCTTTTGTGTTTACGCATATTTGGCTGATGCATATAAAAATGAAGTTTCTGCGGGGTTATAAATACGAAATATGCTCTTATACATACAAACATGAAAATCAATATTTGCGCCGCGTCGCCGTCATCATCGCCAGTGTTGCGTTCTTTTGATTCCCATTATTTCCAAAATTGGAAGGCATATTGGGCTAAAAGAAAAAGTGCAAATATACAAAGGCGAAATTTTAACACAATTTTCTATTAGGAGGTACTACATTGCTTTGTAAGATAATCAGTAATATTAACAAACTAAATTTTAAAGGTTCTCCAAATAAGTCAAAAACAGTTGTCAAAAGAATCGCTTTATCACTGGGTATCTCCTAGTTGATATTAATATGTGTACTGATTTATTATTACACTTATTTTTTCCTTTATTTGTTTTTTCTGTTTGCGCCGAAAGCAGTCAGTCAGAGTAAAAAACTGAGTCAGACAGCAGCAGCTGATAAGCCGCGATGCGGATGTGAAAATGTGCATGGGAAGAGACCTAGCAATAAATCTATTTACTTCCATGGATATATATATTTAATACAGTGATAACTGTATAATGAATTAACCAGTACCTCTGAATATAATTGACGAACTCTCTATCTCTCTTTCATTTCAGGTTGCGATAACCAACTTTGACCGAATCAAAGGTGAGCAGAACACAGAAAACTAATGGAAATATGTTCCTTTTTTTGCTGGTTATTTTTTTTCGGGGTTTTCCTTTTTGAGACTGCCAAGTTTTTGTCACATGACCGCGGGCATTTTTGAACTTGTTCCACTTTGGCAGCAGGAATTTGCGGGGGCAGCTTTATCTTCGCATTCATCTGTCTATCGGTGCTATTCTTTTGCCCAACTTCTCCTATTCTGCCCCTAACGCCCAGATAAAACGCGAAATATTCTTTTTTTGGTACACAGTATTTTCCTTTTTGCTTGCCAGCTGTGTGCTCAATTCAAAAGAAAAAAAAAGAGCAACGAAAAACCTGATGGAGCTAGAGATGCTGGAATAACAGTGGATACTCGAGTAGCTTGCTCCAGTTCTTGAAGTGGAGTCCAAAACGAGTTTTTCGGCACTTGCCCAACCGCCTGCCACCTCTAGTCCCCGCCTCGCATACGTAAATCATTTGAGTTGAGTTAGGTCTGGTTTTCTGATAGTTGCTTAAGCGAAAAATAAAACAAGAAACCAAGATCCATAGGCCTAATACCAAGGTTTTTCAGCAAGTATATTCTTTATGACCGCATAAAATCCGTTATTATATCTTTGACATGTTCCTAACTGGTAATAAATTTATATGTGTATCCACACATCTACAGCTAATTGAGCAAACTGAAGCAACGATTTGGCTGGAGGCTGAAAGAGAATCGTAAAAATAAATAACTAAAGCTTTATATTGAAGTTTATAGCTATAGGAATGTGCATTTAGATCTGTAGTGAAATGTTGTTTTTAAGGTTTTGCAAACATTATGGATTTGCCTTAAGGTCTTTAACATAAACTTCTAACTTATACTTGAACTTTAAAGATCTTTTAAAAAGCATTATAATTCTTAATGTATAAAGATGTTTTCTACATTAAAATTGTATATCAAAATAAATCATAAATGGAAAAGGGTAATCGAGATTTTTTTTAGTTTCTCAGTTTTAATTTTACATGAGTCTGTTTTCTATCAGGTCTGTCCTCTAATCGTTTCCAATCTTCATAAGAAGGCTTGAAGAGTGTTTGTTTTCTCTGTTTTCTATTCCCGCTGACGGATTTCAATGGATAAATTGAATTACCATGTTGCCTGCGCCACACGCAATGCGGCTGTCAGGTCCGGCTTTAGCTTTTTGTGATATAGCCCCTCAAAGGGGAAAGTCATTGATGCATTGCCAGTACTGGCATCGTGTACCCTGCTACCCATTCCCTTTTGGTTTTCCATCGATGCATTCCTTGGATCTTTTGTTGTATAATATGGAAACGTGTTCAAATCACCTGGGCCACATGCTGGGCGAAGAAGAAGAGAGGGCATAAACAGTTGAGGTAAATAAAATAGCACCTGGAATTAATTGTTACCTTTCGAAATCTTATTTTTCTTAGTTAAATATAGTTTTAAATGGAGATAAATAATATGGGTTAATCGCAGCTGCGCAAATATTAACTGTGTGCCAGAAAAAGATTACCGATGAAAGGCGAGACTTTGTTCTGAAGCAAACTAGAAAAATCTATAAATAAACAACATAATAAATTTTAATTTATCGCTTAACCCAAAGACTCATTAAACTTCTGTTTAATAACAATTTTATGATAACTATCTAAATTAATGCTTAAGAATTTATGGGACATTCTCATAAAATAGGAGACGTAATTGATGTTGGATATTAACTAATTTATTGGCCTATCGAAGCCAATTAAAATTTAATTGATATTAACGTTTAATTTTGTCTTCGGTCAAGGGCATTTTAAATGCTAATATAGTGACCAGCGGTGTTTAAAGGTAGAATGTGTGAATGACACACGCGACAAGTAGCCAAGCGCATCTGGCGGGCGGTTGGGTGTACGACTTCTGGGGGCCAAGGGGACTGGGGCAACCCTTCAATGCCGCCTAGACAAACCCTCGGCACGTCTCGGGTCTCCGATTTCATGACTAATTATACGGGAACGCATGTGCCAGCGGGTAAGGCGAGAAGGTTAAGCGCCTGCCTGCCTGCCTTCCCCCACATTCCCTTCAAAAAATTATGCGGATTATAATTGTGTTCTTTGGCTGCTTTTACTTGCGATTGCTTTTTGCCCTGCTGTGTTGCCTTTTTCGCTTTTTTGGCCATTAATGAAGTAATGGAGCTGGCCCTACCTCGCCTATGGGAAGCAAAAGGGGGGTTTGTTATTTGGTTTCATGCATAAAATAGCTGCACATAAGTGCAAGCTGCAACTGCTGCATGAAATGATGATAAAAATTTCATGAATTTGCAACGGACCAAAGGAGCGGCGGCGTATCCTCATCCCTTTTGGCCCAGTTGTGGGATGAAATGCAATTTTGCGCTGCTAGTTTTTTGAGTGCCACAAACAAACGAACACATGTGCAGCACCAGCACACCCACACTTTTCCATTTTAATAGGTGTAAAGGCCTTAAGTTTATAAAATTATGATACTCAGCAAGTGTGTCTCTGGCACTGGGAGAATCTTTGGCTAGTTTTTGTGTATTTAAACTTGAAATAAGAGTGCTGTTACTTAAATTATTAATTGTTTTAATAAGATTAATGTTTAGGTTGGTATTATGATTTACTTTTGAGATTAAGGCAATTCTGTCATCGCACTTAGTAATTGATTGGTTTTTAGAGACTGTAACATGAACTATAGATAAATGTTGATGATAACATATAGTTTAACCGAAGGTTATAAATAAAGCTCTTGATGCAAATAATAAATGTAGTTTATTTTGTGTTAATTTCAAAACATTTCTATATCTTTGTGTTCCGACTTGTGTTGTAGTTCTAGCACTTTTCAGTGCAAAATCAGTTGCCATGGCAAGCTGTTGCATAAATCAACTTCACCTGTGAACACGAGTGTTTGTTTTTTCCTGTACTACGGGTGCGTGTGTTTGTATTTTAGATAACTCAGCGTTAAGCGCCCGCTTGAAACTATGTCAAGCCCTCCCAGACACACAAACCATCGCACAGCAGCAGTAATGCCGGCATTAACCCACAGCTGCTGCACCTGAAGAGGAAGCTTCGGATGCTGCCGGCTGCCATCGTGTGTGCTCTATAAAATATTTGTTTAAACTTGCACTCCCCCTTGGCAGCCAGCAACGCCCACATTTTCTGCATTTTCTGGTGTTGATAAGCACACTTTGCTCGGCGGCCACTTGAGGCAGCGCAACGGGTAATCACAACTTAAATGAGTAGTTTAATTTTGTTCAAGTGCAACGCTAGAGATTCATCTCGCGAGCAGGAGTCAAAGCACAAACAGAGGCAATCATTGCCTCACTTTAAAAAAAAAAGTATGTTCTTTGTTTTCAACTTTTTTCCTATTACATCTCATCGAATTTGACAACATAAATTTTAAATTAAAAGGATAAACACATCATATTTTATAATTTAACACTATTTAATGAAGAGCTACAGTTTGTAACCTATTACATAATAATATTATACATATTTTTGCCCAGTGCTTGGCCTGGTAGACGTATCTTTTATGTTTTTTCCCCTGTCTTCGGTGGAGATATAGAGTCAGAGACCTGCTTTATGACCAGGCCGAGTGGCAAGTTGCGTTCCCCGCTAGAATTGCTGTTTATTGTATTCCTCTAAATTGTTGTTTATGTCTGCATTCAGACAGCAACTGCAGCTGCAGCTGCAACTGCAATAGCGATGGCAACTTGCAAGTGCAGCAACATTGGCAGAGGTAGAAACATCAGCCAGCGACTCGTCAACAACCTGACAATTTGTGCCCGTCTCCCGTCTGATGGCAAAGTGTGGCCGTTGTTCTCTGCTTCTGACAGTTTGCTGTAGTGGCGGCAGCAGCAATAAAAGTGCTAAAAAGTTTCATGCCCCCAGACTGCATCCTGTGCCAAAGTCCTGCTGCTGCTGATGTTGAAGTTCCTGGTGCCCACAGAACATTTTTTAATCTTTTAAAACTGAGCTGCATTGTTGTTCCGAGCTGTGTGCTGCATTTGAAGTTGAGGAAAAGAGCGGAAGAATGCCGGAGAGAATGCCGCAGTCCACCCCAAAGAACCGGCTGAATCCCAAACCCCGGTTGTGTCCTTGCATATTCCTCAAGCCTAATGAGAGCATTATAACTTTATGACAAACTTTGCCGTGGCTGCTAAGTTGGGAAGGCGGGTTTTAAGACAAAAAAAAGTAGCTGCTACTGATGCTAATGAGAGAAAGAGGTTCAAGCACAAATTGTTTTCATTAAATATGAAATACAGCATACATTTTTTAAACAGACAACACTGGTTCTGGTGTTTTTTTTCTCGATAAAACTGAAAACTAACAAAATAGTACTGCCAACAACAAAAGAACAAACTCATTTAAGCGGGCTGTTGTCTTTTAAACAGGCATTTCTCTCTTGAACGGACAAACATGTCTCTTAGACGGACAACATTTAATATTTACCTTGTGCAATACCTAAACCAAACAAAAATTTAAAAGCCAAACGCAGTTTTGTTTATGAACAAATTACATTTTTTTTTAAAAGAATTTCGAAGAATCATGAATTATGATTTACAAATGTACTTTTCCAGCGCATTTCAAGTTCGTTAAATGGCATTAGTTAAAGAATTTGTTTTGTTTTTTACATTTTTGCTTACTTTTCTGCTTATCTTTCGTTTCGTTCATATATTTCGTCGCATATGTAACTGCGGGGGTTGCTTGGAGTGTTGCAGGATGTACCTGATATGTCCCTTGGGGGTGGGATGTGGGGAGTGGGTGTTATAAGGAGGTGGGTGTTATGAGAAGGCGGTTGGAACAGAACTTTGTCGCGTTGTCAAGCCTTTGTGGCTGTTTTCTATTTATGTTATGTTATGTTACCGCTACCTGACTGGGACACCCTGACTTTTCCCTCCATGTCTGCTGTCTGGCTGGGTTTATATACCACCCACTTGCCCGTTCCACCACCCCCTCCTAGAATGTCTGCACACGTACACAGAAATGACATCAGTGGCAGCCTGAAGCTCAGACTG